TCAGAATCTCGCTTATCCAAGGCTTATCCACCGCTTATCCTTAACCCCTGGATAAGCCCTTATCAAGCCCTTAACCAGCCCTCAACTCCCTAACCCCCACAGCAAAATCCAGGTCAAGTCACTATTGGACCTCCCAAACTTGCCGCATGAACATCCAGAAAGTCAGTTTTCTTTCGAAAAATGATCATCTTTGCTTATCCATAGCTTATCCAGAGCCCCCCCCCATACTATGGCCCCCTCCATTACCCCATGAGTAATATATCTTCATATCCTGTATATACGACATATATCTACTAATGTGGGGTAAAACAATGTGATAAACCACGCATTTGAGAATGGTAACCATACCACCTATAAAAATGGTGATGACTGGGGGATGGTTTATGGCATTGTTTTACCCACATTATCTGGTTGGTGGTTGACCTACCCCTCTGAAAAATGATGGAGTGAAAGTCAGTTGGGGTGATTATTCCCAATATTTGGAAAGTCATAATCCATTCCATGGTTCCAGTCACCACCAACCAGATACAGTAGATTCCAGTATGTCATATTCCAACCAGTCAAGTTTGGGGTGACGGCGGTGGCCTCGGCCTCCTCAGGGTCTTCCTGGCGAAATCCGAGTGGGGTATTTTTGTTCGAAACCGGGGGCCATGTTCATGTCATTGAAAAAAAGAGGTGTAATTGGCTAAGAATCCGTGGATAATCCTATGAAATTCTATGAATAGGACTTGGATGTAACTTGGAGATAACTTATGGCTTTTCCCATAGGATTTCATGGGATTTCATGGTGATTCATCTGGATTTCACCCACATTCGAATGATCCGTTCATGGGGATATGAATCCAGGAATTACCCTCTGGATCTCTATGGTATTTCAACAGTTTGCGAACTTATATCGATGAATATCGATGATCCATTTAGATCAATGGTGTGCCTACTATTTATGGTGATGTTTCATGGCAAATATCACAATTTTGGGTGAAATCTAAAGCACATATGAGGGTAAATGTTGATTTATATTGGATATAGATGCGAAGTTGATCGAAGTTGATGGCCATGGATATCATATAGACTCATATAGATAGGTAACGTTTTTTTTGTTGATAGTGAACTTCTGAGATTCGCGCCGCCTTAATATCGCAAAATGTCCATTTATGATGATCTTTTTTTGCGCCAATGAGTCATCAGAATGGGGGTTTGAGATCATCTCTACAGTTATGGCCATTTACCAGTTATAACTGGTGATTTCTATGGGATTATACATTCTATAAATGGGGTTTTGTTCGTACTTATAACTGATAAATGGCCAAAACTGTACTGATGACCAAACTTTCTAATTTGGGGATCAGTTTTGAGGCATAAAGTCTATGAACATCTGCTGTTCAACAGTTCAACCACCAAAAAAATCTATGAAAATGATTTTTCAGATCTGCTTTTCAAAGCCCAAAAAAGAGTTGGGGTTGTGATAAATATTCGATCAATACTTGGCTTTTGATGGTATTTTGGTCCTTCCAAAAACTGTTAGTTGGGCTAATGGTGGCTGATCATCCATCAAGGTGTCTTGGTGAACATCCAATTGGGGGTTCCTAAATTGGGGATACCCCAATTTCTCATGGCTTCAATTTGCTTCAATGCTAACATCTCGGCTAAAAGTTGGATGATTTGGGATTTTTGTTGGCCCAATTTTCGGAAACTTCCAATTCTTGGTGAAACCGGTGAAATCTCCATGTTTCTTGCCTCACGTCCCACTTTCCTCCCGTAAAAATTGCCCACTTGACAGTGGAAACGGTAGAATGACATGGCTCCGCTCGACTCCTCCGTCGCTTCATGTTGGAAGGCAACTGGCGCCTGCAGAGAAGCCATGATTTCAACATGGGAAACGATGACCCCCAGAGGATAGGCGAGCAAAAACAGGGGAGGTTAACATGAATTAATATAGGGATTTGACAACCAGAAATTTGAGAATGTTCAATTTAGAAACCAAGACTTTGATTTGACATGATTTTAACCGAACATATAGGATATTGAGCAATCCCCTCCTCCGATCGCATTAAATACCCACAATTGTCATCAATTTTTGGGGTCAACAAATAAATCCATATAAATCCCATAACTACACTAAACTAGGGTTTCTATCAAGGGACTAATGATTCAACATGGGGATTGAAGCAGGATACTTTCCCCAGCAATATTATCAAATGATTTGGCCTTTGGAATCGAATGTCAATAAAGTGGTTGTTGTTGGTAACCAACAGCCCTATCCACAAACCTTCAAGGACCGTCCTGTCACCTTATGGCGGCTTGCCTGAATCCCCATGATACGTAATTTGCCACTTTGCCAAAGTAAACCATAAACAAAAAATGTCTAGTCTAACTAAGTGCTTATAGGTTTCACATAAAATATTGAAATTGATAAACCTCAGATCTCCCAAATTTCATGGTTTAAAATCAGTGTCCCATCATTTTCTCATCATGTTCCCATGATGTTTCCATATTTTCCCATTGATAGACCTCGCTTGCGCGTAACGGTCCCCCGAGTGGCCGAGTGGCCCCCATGAGATCGTCGCCGCTCATCATGGACTGGACGTCATCATCCGCCTGCAGGGCATGAGGAATAGATGAAGATAGATGAAGAATGAGTGGTTACTGTAATAGGTGGTTGATACAATGCGGGGCCCCCTAGATAGCTAAGTTGGTTTATCACTCCAATAACTATGGTTTATTGTACTTATAACTATAGTTAATGGAGTTTATAAACCAACTTATAACTGGGGGCCCCACATTGTAGGTGCTTAATAGGTGGTTAATGATGGTTTATAGTGGTTGATAGTGGATATTATATGATGATACTAGTCATTGTTAATTGCCAATGATGGTTGATAGTGGTTAAAACTTGTACTTAATAATGATTATGTTCATGGTGATGAGTGATGATTCATTGTGATAAATGTAGAGTTACTGATGGTTGATGATGGTTAAGATGTTTCTACAAATGGTAAATGATGGTTGAACATTGTTCATAGTTCATATTAATTGTATTAATTAGTAATGTTCTCGTTGGTTTACAACTCTTTAGGTCTATATCCAATTTCAAAACACACCCATACCGTGGATGGCTGCAAAATTCTGCACCAGTTGGGATTTCTATTGGTAACATAAACTTCAACACTGTAAATAATGATGTGGTTATAACGGCATGCTCACCACAAAGGTACCAACTGGTGCAGAATTTCTGAACCATCCACAGTATGAGCCAAGAAAGCGTGTTTCTGTGTGAATGGAAAGGTTTATATTGGATGTCCTATGTGTGTATATATATATATAGGATTATAACACGATATGATATGTCTATATATAATGGTAACTATAATGATATGATATTGTATGATATGACATGATATGATAAACATGATATAAATTGATATGATACGATACGATACGAGATGATATGGTATCAATGATATCATACACGTATCCATGAGTGCATGTCTGTATGATTCTGTATGTATGTTCTTGCTATATAAATCTATATAATAGAATCAAACCAATTACCAGTCACCAGGAGTTCTGCCATTCCATGCTGTGAAACTTGCATGGGTCATGACGGTCATGGCTCAGTTCTGCTATAAAAATAGGGTAGCTTAGGGTCACCAACTGAGGGCCCGAATCAATCCTCAGACAAACGAAACCTGACGTGTGACAGGAAACACAGCCTGCTTTTTCTCCGATGTTCTACGCCCGTCTCAGCAAACAGAGGGCCCCACCTGCCGAAAAAGAATAACATCGTGCAATTGTGCAGCAAACGCAAAGAGGAGCTTCACCGTTCAGTGGGTATTTCATTCCGAAGGGCATGGACATGCATGGACGATCTGAAGATATCTGAAGTGTATCGATAGATGCAGGCTTTCGAAAAAGAATGTAGTGATATCAAGGCTGAAAATCATCCGGTGCGTAACAGGAAGTGTATGGATTCATGAGGCCTCTTGAGAATTAAGACTTGGTCGAAGGAAATCCCCCTTTCACCAATCTCCTCAGTTCGTGCGCACTTCGAGGCTACAGGTGTCGCACCTAGGTGTGACTCACATGTCATGCACTTGGTCAACGGAGGTGTCGCCACGGATTCACTCCTTTGGGCGCCTCAAAACCATGCACGTCACAAGCCAAGGAAAAGGCACTGCCAGCATCACGAGGCTTTCAAGAGCTTAAACCATCTTTCCTGGGAAATTCATATGTGAAACCCATCTTCTGGGGGGTTATGATGTTACATCTTCGTTTTCAGGGTGATACAATCCATCCCAGACATAGGCATGGAAAACCCCAGAAGCGACCAACTGAGGCAGTAGTGAAAACACATATTTTTTTCGCACCTGCACCTGTATAATAAATCCATCATAAAAGTCAGATATATATTACCCTCTGGTTATTTAACATAGCCATAGAAAATGGCCCATTTATAGATGGTTTACCTGGTGATTTTCCATTGCTATGTTAGTCATAACCAAAGGGTAACATCATTTGCTGATTTCGAAGCTCATGGATTTCCATAGGAAATGCCCCCTCTGGTTGGATCTGGTTGTGGCCAGGGCTTATGGCGCTTATGGCTACAAACTATGGTTAGTAATAACCTAGGAGTTGTAACATGTTGTAACCTCCATAGCTTGGGGATATTGGGGCCCCTACAGTTATGGCCATTTATCAGTTATAAGTACTAACAAGTCACCCCATTTATAGAATGTTTCTCATCCCATAGAAATAACCACTTATAACTGGTAGCCATGGCCATAACTGTAGAACGGCATGATGAAATGATCCACTTCTTAGTGGAACTGCACCCCCTCCGGTGCCAACGTTGCTGGGGTCCAATTTTTTTCGAGCCATAGCAATTTCTGCGTATTTAGAGCCATTAAAAAAAAATCTGTGTGTCCAACATGAAATCCATTCAGAATTAGCATTTCAGTTTCAATGCATTTGAATATAATCAATAACATCCCCATTGCGCCAAAAAGTCTGAGCCTCCAGCAGGGCAGGGTCAGAAAACCTTGTGACGCTGAGACCAGGCTTCGACCCATTTTTCTACATCGAATTCACAGCTGCGTCAGCAGATCTTGCACCTTACCTCGAAAAAAAAACATGCTAGTGATGGGTCATTTAGTGCAGAAAGCAAGAGTTGTGGTGTGGCTCATCAAATATCCAAGTTATCAGTGGGTATTTCACATTAGGGGCAAGGGATTCGCCCATTCTTGGCTCAAAAACCGAAGAACTACTATGGTAATTAAAAACGAGCACAAAACTGTATACCAATCATCAATGATTATTATACGTTACACAGACACACATCTATACTAGTCATAATTGATTATTATATATCATTATAATACTATAACTATATATATTATGTATATATAATGACATCTGGCTCCCTAAAGAAATCACCTCTCTTCAGCCAGCTGCCTGTGTCACCGCCAGCATCTGCCTGGCCCCAGGTCACCAGCTTCCCCTTCGCCAAGGCAGCGATGGCTGCACCGTTGGCTGCCAGCAGCCGCTGCACACGGAGATCTTTCGGTGGCGAGGCGTCGAAATCTTGGCCCCAGGTGACCACAGTACCTTGAGGGCCGAGGATTTTCCATCACTTATTTTGGAAAAAAAACAACAACAACCAAAAAAATCAATCAAAATCACCTCTCATTCTTAACATCCCAAAAAAATGTCTTGATGGTTCAGTTCTACCATGTTTTACCAACTTTTTGTTGATGAATTAGATATTTTTTTGATTAAAAAAACGTTGCAAGTTGTAAATCCATCTTATGGGTTACTTAGTTACTGCAGTGTCACCATTTTGCTTACCTGATTAAACCATGGTTTCTTGGGTCCCATTTTGGTTACCCTCTGGTAATTTCACATAGCTATGGAAAATGGCCCAGCTATAGTTGATTTACCTATTACAAATGGTGATTTTCCATGTTTTTTGTATCTTTACCAGAGGCTAATTGCTATACCATTTTCATATTTTCATATCCACTATTAACATTATTAACCATCACTAACCAGTAATTGTCCACTAGTTCTCCAGTAAAAAAAAACGTCCCTAACCATCATCAGTAACACTGGAGAATAACACCATTTGCTTCTCCAGTAACTTGATTAACCATTTAACCATCACTAACCATCATTACTGATGAATTTGATGATTTACCATCATCATTTTGGCACCAACCGCCCCAAGAGATGCCAAGTCTCCATCCTTCCTCCGCGCCACAAATCCGAGGCGTCTCCAGTTGCACAGCAGCTGCGCGGCGTCGTTGCAGGCGCAGCCCGCGTCCAAAGCGCCGCCGTAACGGCGGTGGCCGCAGGTGAACAGGGAGCCGCCCTGGGACCAAGGGGATATTCCATCAACAATCATGGGAAATAAAAAGGGAATAATTCATTATAGCGTTTATATCTGTATGTATATATATATACTTATGATTGATATTTGATCATTTGTCTATTATACATTATTATACTACTTCTTATATCATTGGGGATAGTTCTACTATTGGGATGGAGGATATTCTCAACTAATCCCGTCTCCCTAAGATGAAATACACAATTTCTATGGTCCGAAATATGTGTAAACCCCTTGTTGAATCATGTTTTTTTTTGGGGTGCAATACGAGGGGGGTGGAATTAGTTAGTGTAGTATCACCTGTTAATGTGTTTTAACATTTTTTTTCTAGAAATGGGGGTAGTAGAATCAATTGAGAGATGAAGATATCAGATACATTAGACATGGAAGAAGGTGATACAATTAAACATCAGGATTTGGGAGGTACCAACAACCAATAGGATTGACCACTTTTTTCAATGGGATTGACCTCATCTGGATGTTAATGAACTCAGCAACAATACGTGGGGAGCATTTTTTTTAAAAAACAACCATAATGTTAGGTGTTACCTAAAGTCTACTCATATATCTTACACGCCCCTGAAAGACGTAGCCTGATACAGCCTGGTAGCTCCACTATTGGTATATCCATGGGCGATCCACAAGGGGCCGCCCTATTCGCCAGAAATTGGTTGCTGGGTTTATGGTGACGAAAATTGGGTGATATAATAATTACAACTTCATTATACCATAGGTGCAAGACCTGCTCATTTGGGAATGGTAACCATACCACCGATAAAAATGGTGATGACTGGGGGATGGTTTATGGCATTGTTTTACCCACATGATCTGGTTGGTGGTTGACCTACCCCTCTGAAAAATGATGGAGTTCGTCAGTTGGGATGATGATTATTCCCAACATATGGAAAAATAAAATTCATGTTCCAAACCACCAACCAGAATTTATAATTACAACTGTTGGTTTAATGTTTTTTTACAAATCAACTGGTGAGCCGAGAGCACCTTGTAGTGAAATAGATCAATTATGAGGTGCCACAATGCTATGTGCCAGAACATGGTCAGTAAAATGTTTGAAGAAATGGCTTGTAATCCTCAAAGCAAAAAGTTTCAATACTGACAATGCACGAAGCCTCACTTTAGTGTGATGCCATGACTCAGTGTCCCATCACGGGGGGCATCCATCTGGGGGGCGAAGATTCTTCATCTTACATCTATAGTAATCTGGATCTAATAATCTATGTTTTATATACATATAATTATATAATGTATATATTTATTTATATATTTAATATATATATATATATATGTGAAATCCACAGGTGCCTATCCACCACGTTGGTCACATCTCACTGGTTGCATGTACAGGGAACATTTGGCTGAAGGATCCAAAAGGATGAGCCCGAGCGATCCCACGGTTGGGAGTCTTGAGTTTCCGCATTGGTAGCGGAGCCCGGACAAGCCGTGCCCGCGCATGGTTGCCGCACAGGTCCCACGGTGGTGACCTTGCACAGGTGCCTATGGCGTCTTCATCGACTGGAGTTGATGGCCCCGGCGGGTCGATCCGCTATTTTAGCGGTGAATCAGAAGACGCCCTGGAATACAAGAGGTGGCGTAATTGGGTGGCGAACAAGCTGCTCACACTGGACAAGTTGCCGAAAGAAGCCTATGGGCCATACATCTACACCTTGCTGTCAGGCAAAGCTCTGGAGTGTGTGGAGCATTTGGACACAGCAGATTACCAGAAGTCAGGAGGAGACCAGGTACTTCTTCAACTCCTGGACAGTCGTTTTCCCCAGAAGGAGAAGACAGATGTCATGGGTGAGATATTGGGGGAGGTGTTCAATTTGAGATCCAAATCAAATGAGCCGTTGAAAGCATGGGTGGCTAGGGCCACCGAACTGTTTGACAGGTGCGAAAGGAAATGTGGTGTCAAGTTTCCGCCTGAGGCTCGTGGATGGATTCTGCTTCATCGAGCAGGCCTTACAGAAGAACAGCAGGCCGTAGTGTTGGCCAGGGCACAGGGCAAACTGGAGCGAGAGCAAATCTCAGTGGCCATGAGGTCCTGCTATCCGGAGATGATTTGTCGTGGTGTCAAGTCTACAGCTGCTCACTTGGTTGAGGAAGATTCGGTTTTTGATCTGGACGAATCTGAGGCTCCCACTTTGGAGGCCGAATTTGCTGATGTGGAGCTGTTGCTTTCAGAACATCACCATCATGGACTGGATGAGGTCAATAGCAGTAGTGACGCGTTTTTGGAGACGGACGTTGCCGAAGTCCTTCAAGTTTCCTGGCGTGAAAAACGTGCCGAGCTGTCCAAGTTACAGAAAGCTCGAAAGTTCACAGCTGCCAAGGAACTCCGCCGAAGCTTTCGGGTGGAAGTAGAAGAATTGAAACGCAAGACCAAGTGCCATAGATGTGGAAAACAGGGACATTGGTCCCGAGAATGCAAACAGCCCAGAACGGATTTTCCTCAGAAGTCCGAAACCAACAAGGGCTCTACGTCAGGCGCTGCAGTGGTGCAAGCAGATCAATTAGATTTTGTAGCTGCAGTGGAACATTTGGTCCCACACTCTGTAGCCTGGGTTGGTCGTGAGTTGACGATGCTGGAACAGCTGCGTGAAATGACACAGAAACGCACCGAATCTCAACAGACAGTCATCGAGAATGAGGTGCTGCTGGTATCATCACCCGGTTTTGGGGTGCTGGATTCTGGATGTGGTCGAACGATCATTGGAGTCGAAACACTGTCTGAATTTGAAAAGATGCTGAATCATCGCAATATGCCTCAGCCAAGTAGAAGAACAGAGTACAACAGTTTTCGTTTTGGAAATGGTGCTACAGAGATTTCAACTGAGGTAGCAATGTTGCCCTGTTTCCTAGCTGGTCGAAGAGGTGTGATTTCAGCAGCAGTGGTGCAAGGAAAAGCTCCCTTGCTCATCTCTCGTGGGGCTTTGCAAACGCTGAAGGCATGTTTGGATTTTCAGAACAACCAGATTCAGTTGTTCGATGATCGGGTCGTAGTGCCTTTGGCCACAAATTCTGCTGGACAGTATGTGATCAATTTGTTGGACAAGCCCGACAATGCCAACGCAACAGTTGAGAGTGGATCTGAACCGCTTGCTGCCGTGCCTTCTCAAGAGGCCCTGCCGGTTCTGCCTGATGTTGAGCATGAAGACACTGTGAACGCTGGCTTTCATGAGCCGTCCAACGAACCTTGCCAGGTGCCTCAGGACAGTCCGTGTCCTGCCCATGAATGTCCTGAAACCCCGAAATATGTGTGGATTAGAGAGGATTGGGGAAATAGCCATGGTCCCATAGCCACTAATGGGGGTCCTCAATGGGAGAAGGTAAAACGTAGGGTAATCCGCACTGCACTTCATGGGAAGATCCTGTGGGATGAAGAAATTGATCACAGCAAACCTCGTAAGTGGTATCATCACAAGCTGCCTGCACATGTCGAGCACACCATCACTGAATTTCACCATGATGATCCATGTAAACATGACCCCAAGCCTCCCATGCTGTCTCAACGTGATTGTCGTAGACTGCAACAACAGGCTATGTCATGTGCCGTGATGGATAGGACCCATGTCAAGTCGAAGCGCATGATGGTGGTCGAAGTGTTTTCACCTCCGAGATTTGCTGAGGCGTGCCAGCGTGTAGGACTCAAAGCTCGTAGCATTGATCTGATCACCGGCCAGGATCTTACGGTGCCAGCCACGTGTAGGGAATTGGAACAAGACCTTAAGGATAACCCTCCCGAGCTCTTAGCCCTTTGTCCCCCATGCACTGATGAAGGTGGTTGGTTTCACTTGAACAAGCATAAATGGCCAGTTGAAGAGTATTTGAGACGCATCACCCAGAGCAGGAATTTCATCAAGTACTGTTGCCGGTTGTTCAAAACCCAGGTAAACCTAGGAGGTCGTGCTCTGTTCGAACATCCGAAGCCTGCCAAGACTTGGAAGTATGAAGAGATGCAGAACTTGTTGAAGAAATTTCCTTCTGTTGACTGTGACATGTGTCAATATGGGTTAAAAATTCCTGACAGTGATCGTTTCATTCGCAAGAGTACTCGACTGCTCCTGAGCCATGAGGACATGAGATGTCTAGGCAAGACATGCCCTGGTTCCAGTGATCCGTGTCATGTGTGTCATGATCATGTAGCAGGTTCACATGTCTCGATTGGCCGAGTGAGCACGTTTGCGGGTCGATACACGGAATCCTTTGTGCAGGCTGTGTTGGAAACCATTCCAGCATATCGCAAGCATTGTCACCAATGTCTAGAGGTGCACGAAGATGCAGTTCCAGACCGTCTCTGGCCGGAAGTGTTGGCTGTGGCTGAGAAAGTAGGCGAACAGTCTGATGAAGAACTCAAAGCTGTTTTGCTGAAGGCTCATAAGAATCTTGGCCATCCTGCCACACATGACCTTGTGCGCATACTCCAGAATGCACAAGCCAGTGACCGTGCCATTGCATTAGCCCGCACCTTAGAATGCCCAGTTTGTATCAGCCAAAGCAAGCCAAAGGCCGCTCTGCCGGCTCAACCGCAAAGGGTTTCCGAATTCAATAGGCAGATCGGCATAGATGTGAAACATCTCACCGGCTGGCGTCCTAACCAGAAGATCAAGGCGTTGAACATTGTTGACACTGCGAGTGGCCTCCAACGAATGATTCCTTTTATCAGTCCTGAAACCAGTAAGCTCCTGTGGTCCCTTTTGCAGGAACATTGGATTAGTTGGGCAGGCCCACCAAAGGAAATCGTGTTGGACCCATCTGCCACAAATTTGGGAGAGCCACTTATTGTTCCTTTAGAACACCGTGGTATTCATGTCCGCCAGATTGCTGCCGGTGCTCACTTCCAACTAGGGAAGGTAGAATCGCATGGAGGTTGGTTTAACCGTGTGTTGGAGAAGATCCTGACGGAGTTTCCGCCTTCAACTCATGAAGACTGGTTGGAATGTGTTTGTCATGCCCATGTCAAGAACAGCATGTTGCAACATCATGGAGTCACGCCATATCAGTTTGTGTTTGGTCGTAATCCCGATGTTCCTGAAGATCTTCTCAATGAACCCCAGCGGGTGGTCAGTGCCACTGCAGCTCTTACTGACGAAGCCATCGACCGAGCGAACAAGATCAGACTCTCAGCAAGAGAAGCTGTCATTCGTTTGCAAGATGATCGGTCCCTCCGGTTGGCTCTTGCTGCACGTCCGAGGGTTATAGACGATTTTAAGCCTGGAGATATGGTGGCATACTGGCGTAATCAGAAGTGGGTTCAGGGTAAATTGATGTTAGGGGGTAAATGGTATGGAACTGCCATAGTGTTGGGTAAAGTAGGCCGTAACTACGTCCTTGCTCACCGAAAGCAAATCCTCAGAGCTGCCCCTGAACAAGTTCGATCTGCAACCACTGAGGAAACCACTCTGCTGAAGACAATGGATGTTGAGTTACTGGGAATCAAAGATCTCATTGAAGGAGGTGCTTTCAAGAGTCAGCAGTTTCATGACCTCACGTCGCAATCGTATCCATCGGTGGCCAATGTGAACACCGGTGAACCCACGTGCCTGGAATCAATTGAGTCAGAAAGGACCCCTGATGCTTCTGCCGCGCGAGCCAGTTTGCATGTGCCTGACAACCAAATGCCACCCCTGGTTCAACAGCGACCAGCCGTACCAGAGTCTGCAGTAGGTGATGCCCCAACAGTGCCTGAATCTCTCGTTCCTGAACCGGAGCGTAACAACCCGGAAATGAGTGATCAGACAAGCCACTCAAGTGATGTGTCCTCCACTTATGGTCCCATGAGAAAGGTACGAGGGAAGAACGGGCCTGATGCTTTGTGGCGTCCACCCTCCATGAAACAGGAGGATTTTGTGTCCATCATGCAGGAAGTTGCACCACAGCTCATCAGTGATCTTTTACACCAAGAACAATCTGAAGTTGCCGATTCAAGCATGTCTGCTAGCAGCCATGTAGGTAAGCGGAATCACGAACAGAGTGAATCCAGTGCAAGTGAAGAGCCCGCAACTTCCAAACAGCGTACAGCGTCTCCGAGCACAGAAGCCTTGTCCGTTGAGTGGTTGGATACATGTGACACTGCTGAAGTCCTCATTGCAGAATATCTCAAACATAAAGCTGCCAAAGAGATTCCCCATAGTAATAACTCACCAGAGGTTCAGAAGAAAGTTGATCAGGGTAAACGACTCGAGTGGGAAACAATGGTCAATAAACCTGGGGTAGTCAAAGTTCACTATGGTAAGCATGCTCAAAAGATTCTTGAGGAACAGGCCCATCGTTTCATTGGCAGTCGTTTTGTGTTGACGCGGAAAGCAATTGAGGAAGGCCAGGCAGTCAAGCCTGACGATCCAACTACATACACTGTGAAAGGGCGTTGGTGTTTGCAAGGTCATTTGGACCCGGATCTACAGCAGAAGGCTGAAGAAGGCAAGCTTCAGTCTCCAACATTGAGCCAACTTAGCCGTATGGTGTTGATGCAAGTCATTGCCAGTCATGGCTGGGATCTTGAGCTTGGAGACATAAAGAGTGCCTTCCTTGAAGCGGGGTTGTTGGACGACAAATACCGTCCATTGTATGCAAAGCAGCCACCAGGTGGCATTCCAGGTCTCCCAGAGTCTGCCGTGATTGAAGTGTTGGGAAACATCTACGGACAGAACGATGCCCCTGCAGCATGGTTTGGAACGTTCAGACAAGCAGCAATTGACGCAGGATGGATGCAGAGTAGTTTTGACAGCTGTTTGTTTACGCTTCGATCCAAGCAGGATAATTCGCTGATAGGAGTGCTGGGAGTTCATGTCGATGACACAGCTCTTGGAGGAGCTGGTCCCGAGTTCCGTTTGGCCGTAGAGAAGCTTCGTGCACGTTTTCCATACAGAAAATGGCGTGTCAACAGTGGGGAGTTTTGTGGTGCCTTTTGATCAAGATCCCAAGACAAAAGTCATTCGCATGAGTATGAAGAACTGTGCAGAAAAGCTTCGCCCAGCCAATATCAAACGAGGTGTACCACCAGAGACACCTCTTGATGCACTGCAGCAACGCACTTTGCGTGCAATCAATGGTTCATTGAATTGGTTGGCCTCGCAATCCAGACCCGACATTTCAGCACAAACCAGCATAAGTCAACAAGCCTTTCCAAATCCCAAAATTCGACATCTCCGACATGCCAACAATGTGGTTCGAAGAGCCCGCATGCACAGTGATTTAGCTATAACGTTCACTCCAATCAAGCCAGAAAAGCTGACAGTCGTGTGTCATTCCGATGCGGCCTTTGCAAATGTAGGTGACTATACCCAAGCTGGTCATATCATTGCTTTTACCGAAACTAGTCTACAGGATGGTCAGGTAGCTGCATGGTGTCCCATAACCTGGAGAAGTCACAAGCTCACGCGAGCAGTAAGTTCAACTCTGGCTGCTGAGAGCCAATCATTGGCTACGGCGTCAGGTACAGTAGAATGGATCATGTTGCTGCTGTCAGAAGTTTTGGATGGACCTTTCAAATTGCGTGACTGCCGAGAGAAGCTGAGTGTTAGAAAACCAATCCTGGTGACAGATTGCAAGTCCCTTTACGATCATCTCATGTCACCATCGGCCCCAACTGCAATTGAAGACCGTAGGACCTCCATAGACGTAGTCATAATCAGAGAAAGCATTCGTTCTCTCTCAGCGTTCATGCGTTGGGTTCCAACAGACCGTATGCTAGCAGATGCCCTGACGAAGGATCAGGGCGACCCTCTGGATATGCTGCGTTCGTGTCTAAAAAGCTCTGTGTACCAGATCTCGCCGGAAGATCATGTGTTGCGAATGCAAGCCAAAGAAAGAGAAGACCGACTCCAAAAGAGACTCAAACCAAGTTCCCCAAATTAGATGCGTCAAAACTGGAAGTTAGCCTTTCTATGCTCGTGGTTAGCTAGTCTTTCTGTGGAAAGAATGCATAGATGGTCATTCGTTGTGGGGGTCATCATGAACGAGTGTGCTTGTTAAGCTGTAACTGCCAGGCGTTTTCCATAGGATCTCAAATAGCCAGGGTCATAGCCAAGTACAGTAGTTTTTCCCCTCATGTCGCTCTCCAAGGGATTGAATGCCGATGAATCCAAGATGCTGCGCTCCTTGCTGCAGCGTGCTCATGAGAATGGTTCCTTGAACGTCTTCTTGCCCACATTGGGTTCTGAGACGTCTGATTGGTCAGAAGTCGAATCGCTGGAAGAGGATATGTCTGCCGCCATGAATGATGCGTCCAAGCGCCGCCTTGTGAGCCCAGATCGCCTGGATGCTAAGCATGGCCAGACCAAGCAGCTTTCAAGCAAAGCTGCACTGGCTGCTGGAACAAAGTCTCCGACAGAGGAGAACTCAGTGAAGATTGACGTTGCAAAGATGAAGATTCCTTCGGATGTGCAGAGCATCGAAGATTGGGGCACCACAATCATGGCTGAGGGCAAGACGGCTCCTCGCCAGATGTCATATGCTGAGTTGGCCTCGTCACCGGAGGCAGATATCCAGCGCTACCTGCGTTGGCTGATGTCCAATGTCAATGCCAAGAACTTGCCGCAGTATCAGGATCTCTCTCACTATCTTCATGTCACGAAGTATGGTGAGGCTTCTGGGCCTACTGGATTCAACCGGGTCCGCAAGACCGGCTGATCGATCTATGGATGGAGCAAAATCTGTGAAAGATGTGATGAATGAAACAGGCTTGCTATGGGGATGGCAAGCGCACTGTGCCTTGCACTACCATATGGAAATGGTATCATGCAAATCATCACCGGAGGACATGTCTTTCAATTTTAGATTATGACCGGTGTGAAATCCACAGGTGCCTATCCACCACGTTGGTCACATCTCACAGGTTGCATGTACAGGGAACATTTGGCTGAAGGATCCAAAAGGATGAGCCCGAGCGATCCCACGGTTGGGAGTCTTGAGTTTCCGCATATATATATATACATACATATACTGATCACCAAAATCTTGAAATTGGGAAAGTGTCTATCAGACTCCATTTACCTGCACGATGTTTGACCAAACATTTCCGGCGCTTGCACCATGTCCACCATGTCCCAACGTACACAAACCTGGCCTCAAAATCACAAAAAACAGAGACAGAGACGGTTTAATTAGATTATTTACCTCTTGAAAGTCACTAAAACAGTTGTTATCTTCCAATTTCAAATATTTCAATATCTTATCCCTGGTTCTCAGCTATAAGAGCCAACAATTGCTATATAACCCCGGCTTAAAATATGTCAATATCTGGTTCAATATATGCTAGTAATGTGGTAAACCCAATCATAAACCGTTCTCAATTTATTGGGCATATTTGGGATGATTTCAAATGACACACGGGTGGTTGGTCAATATGATGGTTTAATCTTGGGTTTACCACATTATTCTCCAGTTAAACATAACATAGTTGAGCCCCTGTTCCTTGTTATACTTATATCCCTATAAAATCTCCACAAAATAGCTGTAAAATCCCTATATATATATGCATATATATATGTTTCTACACTGGATGTTCAAATCAATAAATTGATTTTTCCATGGTGATGTTCCCTAGCCAAATGATGCTAAATGTATATAAATTTACCAGAGAGCAATGTATGTTGATATATGGCTTCCATGAAATTCTGGTTCTCACCCCGTGGTTTTTCCGGTCTCATCCTCACCCGACTGCCTCCGACATCACAGCAAAGGCCGCCGCTGAGCCATGCAGGATGTCATCGTTGCGCAGCTTGGGGAGGTGAGTGCTGATGGCACTGCCTGGCCGAGGGAAGTCACAAATAGGCCAGGAGCCAAGCAGCCATTATAAATTATACACACATAACATGCGTGTGTTTTTCATAATGTATATATATATAATAATTAATAATATGATATTTATGAGTTGAACATACTGAACAGTATAGATTGATAGTAATATGATGTTTGATGTTTATGAATTCAACATACTATATAAAGTATATAGATAGATATAGATAGGGCGTTATTCCTCTCAGAATTTGATTCTACATAGACCCTACCGACATTCTCCACTCGTTTCGGCCGCACCGTCGCCACCGTAGTCCGGATGTCCCCAGGTCACCACGTGGCCCTCCGTGGTCCGCGCCGCAAAGGCGGCGGCCGAGGCCGCCAGCTGCTGGACACGCGGCGAGACGAAGGAACCTCAAAAAATTGGCATTTCACCATAGAAAAACATAGAAAAACATGTTGTTCACCAGCCAAAAAAAAGACATGTGTATACATGTGTCAGATGATTTCACCATATTTCACCCAAAAAACAGATCTAAAATATGGCCTTTTTGGGGTATCTTCCATGGTTGTAGACTTCCCGTGACTTCCCATTTGAACTTTGAAGCCTTCCGCCAGTGTTCCAGGCAACAGTCTCCACCATGTCGTGGGTTTCCCCAGGTGACCACAGATCCATCGGCCAACAGCGCCGCAAACGCGCCGGCGGAAGCAGAGATCTGGCGGACGTCTCGCAGTTGATCTTGGACACCACGGCTGTCTCCTGGTCGTCATAGATGGTGCCCCAGTGATGTTTGTTGGTTAAAAAAAACCCATGAACCGTAGTTATATCAAGGTAATTATATCTATCATAAACCATAGTTAAGCCACCAAAAAAAGGCAACTCAGCTATCTTGGGGGCCCCATCCTGTATGTAATAACACATAATATAGTCTCCTGGAAACTAACAATGATAATAATTAGACGGTATATTATGATAATAGTATATGATGATAATATCTAACAATGAAATAATGATAAGGATGTATACTGATAATGACAATATCCAAATGTGAGGCTTCAATCATGATATTCATAGATTTTCCCTGTGAACATTGTGATTTTGGGATTCCGGATGGTGAGATTTTAGTGATGTGCATTCTCCTGCAAAACTCTGGAAATTTTGGATCCATAAATGGGGGTTGTCCAAAATACCTTTTCCCGGACAGCCCTCAATCGCTCAGCCAATCGCGTAGCAACCGCGGTACCACAGTGAGCAATCGCGGAGGGGTTTGTTCTTCGTTGATCAGATCATATACATAAAATATCATAAAATATAAGTTATGTATATATTATATAATGAAGCGTGACAAAAATCTTATGCTAATTCTTTGTAATATCATTGCTTTTCTGCTGAATTTGAAACAACTGCTACTGCTACTGCTACTGCTAGTGCTGCTGGTACTATTGTGAGTTTTCCGGACCGTTTCCGGACCGCACAAGCTTATTTTGCTCCCAAATTTGAAATCGAATGCGTTCACGCATGGATCCTTACTCTCATTATAAGACTTGCTACTACTCTTAGTACTACCGACGTATTCTTGGGGGAAGCGATCCAGGGCCCTGCGCAACTTAATGCATACCCCTAAAGGAGTGCGTCGAAAACAGAACGGGGCTGGTGATCGGTAAGGAGGATGGTAATATACCCGAAGCTATTACAAGATATATAGTGGCATTATACTGGCAGTCTCCACTATTACATTTCGAAAGTTCTGCCTTTGTTTTTTTTCCAAATGACAAAGGTCCCACTGAGGGGTCAGAAATCAGTCAGAAACCAGTCAGAAACCAGTCAGAAACCGGCCAAACGCAACCTCTCTCTCTCTCCCTTGCCTATTCCCTCACCCTCTCACCAGAACTCCTACGCCTACTCCTATTCCGATTTCCACTACCACTACCGCTACTGCTACTGCTAGTGCTGCTGGTACTACTGTGAGTTTTCCGGACCGTTTCCGGACCGCACAAGCTTATTTTGCTCCCAAATTTGAAATCGAATGCGTTCACGCATTGATCCTTACTCTCATTACTAGACTTGCTACTACTCTTAGTACTACCACCACACCCGCTGCTACTGCACCACCACTACCACTAGTACACCTAGGAATTTCTGCCTTTGCTTTTAAATCCAATTGACACGAGTCCCGCTGAAGGGTCAGAAACCAGTCAGAAACCCGTCAGAAACCGGCCAAACGCAACCATCTGTTCCCCTCCCTCCCTCCCTCCCTCTCTCTCTCTCTCTCTCTCTTTCTCTCTTTCCCTCCCTCTCCCTTTCTTCCCTTGCCCTGCTACTAGAACTCCTACTCCTATTCCTACTCCTATTCCTACTCCTACTCCTACTCCTCCTACTACTACTACTACTACTACTCCTGCTGCTACTACTACTACTACTCCTACTCCTACCCCTACTCCTACCCCTACTCCTACTCCTACTCCCTCCTACTCCTACTCCTACTACTGGTATTACTGTGAATTTTCCGGACAGTTTCCGGACCGCGCAATTTTCTTTTCTTCTCAAATATGAAAACGAATGCGTTCATGGGCGGATCCTTCTACTAGTGCTGCTACCACTCTCAGTATTACCACTAGCGCCGCTACCACTGCAACGCCGCTACCACTACTACACCGAGGAATTCTTGCCTTTGCTTTTCTCCACTTGACAAAAGTTCCACGGAAGGGTCAGAAATCAGTCAGAAACCTGTCAGAAACCGGCCAAGCGCGAGTATATACACCTATGACTAACCTATGACTAATTTGGATGAAAGTGTATGGTGGAGCTATACAAAACTCAAACTAGAAAGGAATATATGATTTCGGACCGATTCCGGACCGCGCGCACTCTGGTTGCCGGCACAACTTGTATACACCTATGGCTAAATTGGATGAAAGTGTATGGTGGAGCATACAACACTCAAACTAGAAACTAATATATGATTTCGGACCGATTCCGGACCGCGCGCACTCTGGTCGGCGGCACAACGTGTATACACCTATGGCTAAATTGGATGAAAGTGTATGGTGGAGCATACAACACTCAAACTAGAAACGACTATATGATTTCGGACCGATTCCGGACCGCGCGCACTCTGGTAGCCGGCACAACCTGTATACACCTATGACTAATTTGGATGAAAGTGTATGGTGGAGCATACAACACTCAAACTAGAAACGAATATATGATTTCGGACCGATTCCGGACCGCGCGCACTCTGGTAGGCGGCACAACGCGTGCACACTTATGACTACTTTGCATGAAAGGGGACGGGGGAATTTACAACGCTCCTCACGTATATTGCCTGATCCACCCTCCGGAAAACTCACAGTAATACCAATAGTAGGAGTAGGAGTAGGAGTAAGAGTAGGAGTAGGAGTAGTAGCAGTAGTAGTAGTAGTAGGGGTAGGAGTAGGAGTAGGAGTAGGAATAGGAATAGGAGTAGGAGTAGGAATAGGAGTAGGAGTTCTAGTAGCAGGGCAAGGGAAGAAAGGGAGGAGACAAAGAGAGAGAGAGAGGGAGGGAGGGCGGGGAACAGATGGTTGCGTTTGGCCGGTTTCTGACGGGTTTCTGACGGGTTTCTGACTGGTTTCTGACCCTTCAGCGGGACTCGTGTCAATTGGATTTAAAAGCAAAGGCAGAAATTCCTAGGTGTACTAGTGGTAGTGGTGGTGCAGTAGCAGCGGGTGTGGTGGTAGTAGTAAGAGTAGTAGCAAGTCTAGTAATGAGAGTAATTCGATTTCAAATTTGGGAGCAAAATAAGCTTGTGCGGTCCGGAAACGGTCCGGAAAACTCACAATAGTACCAGCAGCACTAGCAGTAGCAGTAGCAGTAGCAGTAGTGGTAGTGGAAATTGGAATAGGAGTAGGCGTAGGAGTTCTGGTAAGAGGGTGAGGGAATAGGCAAGGGAGAGAGAGAGAGAGGTTGCGCTTGGCCGGTTTCTGACTGGTTTCTGACTGATTTCTGACCCCTCAGTGGGACCTTTGTCATTTGGAAAAAAAGCAAAGGCAGAACTTTCGAAATGTAATAGTGGAGACTGCCAGTATAATGCCACTATATATCTTGTAATAGCTTCGGGTATCTTACCATCCTCCTTACCGATCACCAGCCCCGTTCTGTGTTCGACGCATTCCTTTAGGGGTATGCATTAAGTTGCGCAGGGCCCTGGATCGCTCCCCCGAAGAATACGTCCGGTCCGGGGTACACCCGCTTCTGTTGATGGAACCGTTTAAAGTGATCGGCAGGAGCTACTAGTAGTAGTAGTGGCAGTAGCAGTAGCAGTAGTAGTAGTAGTAGTAGTAGTAGTAGCAGTAGCAGTAGTAGTAGTAGTAGTAGCAGTAGCAGTAGCAGTAGCAGTAGCAGTAGCAGTAGTAGGATAGTAGTAGTAGTAGTAGTAGTAGTAGTAGTTGTTGTTGTTGTTGTTGTTTTTGTTGTTAGTAGTTGTTAGTAGTAGTTAGTAGTAGTTAGTAGTAGTTAGTAGTAGTTAGTAGTAGTTAGTAGTAGTTAGTAGTAGTTAGTAGTAGTTAGTAGTAGTTAGTAGTAGTTAGTAGTAGTTGGTACCCGGCGCATAGACGGCCGTGGACCGAAATACATATTTTAGCAAAACGGGGTTGGGTGGGGTGGGGGGGGGATATTAAATGTCCTTGCCTTCATGTACATGGGTGGGGGGGATTTAACGTTATGTACCTTGCCTACATACGTGGATGCTACGCTGCTGCTACGTCACTGGGCATGGGTGGGGTGGGGGGGGATATTAACGTTCATGTACCTTGCCTACATACGTGGATGCTACGCTGCTGCTACGTCACTGGGCATGGGTGGGGTGGGGGTTCATGTACCTTGATGGATGCTACCCTGTTGCTACGTCACTGGGCATGATTAACCTTGCCTACATACGTGGATGCTACGCTGCTGCTACGTCACTGGGCATGGGTGGGGTGGGGGGGATATTAACGTTCATGTACCTTGCCTACATACGTGGATGCTACGCTGCTGCTACGTCACTGGGCATGGGTGGGGTGGGGGGGATATTAACGTTCATGTACCTTGCCTACATACATGGATGCTACGCTGCTGCTACGTCACTGGGCATGGGTGGGGTGGGGGGGATATTAACGTTCATGTACCTTGCCTACATACGTGGCTACGCTGCTGCTACGCTGCTGCTACGCTGCTGCGAATTTTTGGAACACTTGGAAGACCTCCTGCCGCAGGATTGATGCTGTCAGATGAGGAAAAAAAGAAGCAAATCCTGGCATAGACAAAGTAGTTACGTCATTTCAAAAAAACATTAAAATGATCGTTTCGCTGAGGCGAAAACGCCATTTTGCTAACTTTCCAATGGAATTCAGCCACAAAAAGTGTATACACCTGAAACTTGAGAAATCCCCTTACAAACGTGCAGAAAATCAAGCTGGATGATACTCATTCTTCATTTTGAGCCACGGCCGTCTATGCGCCGGGTTCCTAGTAGTTAGAAGTAGTTAGTAGTAGTTAGTAGTTAGTAGTTAGTAGTTAGTAGTTAGTAGTTAGTAGTTAGTAGTTAGTAGTTAGTAGTTAGTAGTTAGTAGTTAGTAGTTAGTATTTAGTATTTAGTAGTTAGTAGTTAGTAGTTAGTAGTTTGTAGTTAGTAGTTAGTAGTAGTAGTAGTAGTAGTAGTAGTAGAAGTAGTAGAAGTAGTAGTAGTAGTCGTAGTCGTAGTCGTAGTAGTCGTCGTCGTCGTCGTAGCCGTATAACCAATCGCCAACCAATCGCTCAGCCTATCGCGATGCAGGTTTTGGCAATCGCGCAAAGCAGAGTAAACGCATCAATTCATAAATTTGTTACCTGCTTTTACGGACGGCTCCCAAATATCTATAAAGCATCATCAAATATCCTCCAACTTGTGCTTTTTCAGATGAACTTGTGGATGCACGTACTGCTCGAGCATGATGTATTGTAGCCATTTTTTTTGGCCCCCGAATGGGGTTTCTGGAGAAAATTAAGGGACACCTCATGTTTTTTTCAGCGGCAACCTGAACCCAGAAATCACGTGTAGGGACACCGCAGTTGGAGCGCGAGCAGTCATCTGCCAAAATATGTGGTAAAGCCAACAAATAGACCATCCCATTCACAGGGATTATATCCAACAATAAACCTCTATTAGTGAATAAATGGGTGACTAACTGACAGACTGAGGTCACCCATCGCATTCACCATCCATTCCAAGCCATATGCCACCATGATGTAATTCCTATTAGTGATGGTTGGTGGTACAATAACCATCTTGAAAAATGATGGAGTTCGTCAGTTGGGAAGATGACATTCCCATATATGAAATGGAACGTCATAAAATTCATGTTCCAAACCACCAACCAGATAAACCTTTTTTAGTGATGGTTTAACATAATAAAGGTGACATATGGTTGGCCCACCTGGAAATTTCAGCCGTATGTCAATTACAATAATACTAATACCAAAAAATAAAACCAATTTCATGGTGAATATATTGTTCCGTGCCATTAGCATTGGAATATATGGGAATTTCATGGTGACAGCTGGCCCAAATGGAACCTCCCATCCGACCTCCAAACTGCCTGTGGCCCCATGTCACCACGCGGCCGCTGCGGGTGCGCGCTGCAAAGGCCGCTGCGGAACCCCGAATGTCCTGCCGTGAGGAGAACCTTAGCCCCACCAACAAGGAAGCCATGCTGAAATAGGGGAAAATAAGGTACAAATAGTGAATAAACCTAGGAATATTGAGTGAATAAGAGAATATTTAGCAAATAGTGAATATAGATGAATAATAGATGAATAATAAGGGATTGAAAATAAACCCAGGTCTCGTTTTGCCTAGTCTCCGATGGGTGCCATTGCTATAAAGCAAATTGACTTGTTCACCTATGTCTTGTCATGGTTCGAAGTTCAATCCCGATGTTTAATGGTCTTATCAGCTATTTCGATATGCAAAATCGCAATGGTCGAAATTTCATCAAATTCATCAGCTATCAATAGCTTCATAGCTATGAATCTGAAACTCGTACCTTCTGGTAATTTGACATAGCTATTGAAAATGTACCATTTATAGTTGATTTACCTATTCAAAATGGTGATTTTCAATAGCTATGTTAAATTACCAGAGGGTAGTTTTTTACCCCGAAAACCCTCACAGTTTGATTCCAAACTCCCCGAAAAGTCCTCCACATCTCGCAGCTGCTCCTGCACACAGCAGCTATCTCCACCAGCAGCAGAATTGCCCCAGGTCACAACCCTGGCGGCTCGATGATGGAGAGTCAATGGTGATTGAATGGTGATTTATGGTGATTTAATGGTGATTGAATGGCATCCTAATGGTGACTGAATGGTGATTTCATGGTGATTGAATGGCATCCTAATGGTGATTTAATGGTGATTTCATGGTGATTGAATGGCATCCTAATGGTGATTAAATGGTGATTAAATGGTGATTTATGGTGATTTAATGGTGATTGAATGGCATCCTAATGGTGATTGAATGGTGATTTATGGTGATTTAATGGTGATTGAATGGCATCCTAATGGTGATTGAATGGTGATTTATGGTGATTTAATGGTGATTTAATGGTGATTGAATGGCATCCTAATGGTGATTGAATGGTGATTTATGGTGATTTAATGGTGATTTAATGGTGATTGAATGGCATCCTAATGGTGATTGAATGGTGATTTATGGTGATTTAATGGTGATTTAATGGTGATTGAATGGCATCCTAATGGTGATTGAATGGTGATTTATGGTGATTTATTGGTGATTTAATGATGATTGAATGGCATCCTAATGGTGACTGAATGGTGATTTATGGTGATTGAATGGCATCCGAATGGTGATTTAACAGTGATTCAACAGCACCATAGTTCCGTTTTATGGAAACTCATACGCCAACAGCTGGTGGATCTCGCCATGCGAAGGATGATGAGTTTCTCGGGATCGGTCCAAAATTCGGATTCTTTATGACTGCGAAGGATGAAAACCCGCTAGTTACATCTATTTACCCCATTTACCCTCTGGTAAACTAACGTAGCTATGGAAAATCATCATTAAACATTGATTCAACATTCGATTACCATTTAAAATCATTATCATTCTGTTTTTATCATCATTTTTAGTAGGTAATTCAGCCACCTCCCGCCTGCCATCTGCCAGTACCGCGGCAAAGGCCCGATCTGACGCTGCAATGCTTCGCACCTGGACGGCCAACTAGCCATGAACGAGATGAAAGATGTGAAAACATGTCAATATCCCCCAAAAACGATAGAAACATATCATTGATCCTATCTCAGTAAGATTTTACTTATTTTACTTTTCTATCTTTTGGGGGGTTACTATCTACATACGATACACAGTATATTATATATATAGTTGGAAATACTAGATAATAATGCCAAGACTTAAAATGATTGATGCCACACACACACACATGTTTTCAATTGTTTTCATCTTCTAACAGTATGTCAAGAACCAGCAATCATGGCATGTTGTTGGTCTCATTTCATTGTTATTGGCAGCTTATCTAGGATTTGATTGCATACATTTCTGATACATCTGAATTGGCGTCCTTGCTGGGTTTACCACTGAAAACATCAGATTTCCGAGCCTCAAATCCCTCCACACCAAACTCCATTGGCCCAACCCCTTCATTGCCCATTTTGTCCCGTTGAATTATCCCTATTACCGTTGATCCATTGATATCATATCCCAATATGTATACAGTACATACTGTATCAATCAATATATTGATTAAAACCCAATCTCCAGCTATCTAACAGGGACAATTTGTGAGATCATCTGTTGTAGGTATATAATTCTATACAGCTATCTGAAAATATCTACAAATACATCATTCATGGTTAATTCATGGTTAATTGTACATTACATCTTCCTTGCAACCCTGAATATGTGTAGTATATATATATACATAATATGTATGCATATTTGGTATCCCCAGTAGATACCCCTAACCAACCTAATAAAAGTATAGATAAGTATATTATATCTATTTTCAACTAGATTTCCACTAGATATACACAATACAATTAGATATATTTGCCTGGATATCGATTTCCAACTAAAAGTATTCTTATGTCATAATACTATATAATTATATACAATAGTAGTACCTGATTGGTGGTATACCTACCCCTCTGAAAAATGATGGAGTTCGTCAGTTGGGATTATGACATTCCCAACTGAATGGAAAGTCATAATCCATTCATGTTCCAAACCACCAGTATATCTCATTAACCATTATTAACCATTATTAACCACCATTAACCACTATTAAACAATGTTCCAGTCACCACCAACCAGATACAGTAGATCCCAAGTATATCTCCCCATCTCCAACGGTCCATCCAACGGTCCAACCTCCTTCAACTGCCGCTGCACATCTCCGCACGTCTCACCCCCAGCCGCAGGATCGCCCCAGGTGACCACTGAGCCATCGAGTCTCAGCGCGCAGAAGGCGCTGTGCGAAGCTTCGATGACCCGCACCTGGCGAGGGAAAGGGGGGAGGGTAGGTGATATGTATAGATATATATGAGGATAGATACTATTATGATATGTATATAATGATAATAGATAATATCGTATATAATGATATGTATATAATGAGTGCATAGTATAATACAATGAGGATATGTATATAATGAGCGCATAATATATCGTGGTATAGATACTATTATGATACAATGAGATATAGTTGGGATATAATTGAGAAGTAATGGGATATGGTATGGATATTATGAGATACAAGATGTAGAATGGGTATAAAATGTATGTTTAAAAGAGAAAAATGGGGGGGGGTGCAACAATCATAATAGGAATATAGTGAGGCATATTAGGGATATGAAAATTTCACATTGATTTCCAAAACATGGGATGTACAATGATCAGACCAACCATTTCATGGGATTTGCTATAATCATGGTTCATCACTAAGAGGAATTTAAACAATCAAAGAATGAGAATCACATGGATATATATATATATATATTATTATATATAGATAGACAACAATATATACCCTCTGGTTATTTAACATAGCCATGGTATAGATGGCCCATTTACAGATGATTTTCCCAGCTATAAAGCTAGATGTTTAATGAATTTTCCATGGAGAACTGTTAGTCATAACCAGAGGGTATATTGGGATGTCATAGGGATGATGGATATATATAAATATCTGGTTGGTGGTTGACCTACCCCTCTGAAAAATATGAAAGTCAATGGGAAGGATTATCCCATATATTGTGGAAAATCAAACATGTTTGAAACCACCAACCAGATATATATATATAAATAGATAGATGTCATAGGGATGGGGGTTTTGCCATTTTTGTCATAGGGAAAACTCCAAATGTGCAATCCTGGCTGCCTTGAGATGATCCAGATCCATGTGGGGATCATCCATGTGGATTAACCAGAGAGATAAATCATGAAGATATGAGAAGACTTGGGACATGTTTTTGTTGATATTAGATATGATAAATATCTCATCTTTGGTTATATCTTAATTTATTATGTGTTTTTTTGTGTTGTTTTTTTTGCAGTAAATCATAGCTTCATTATATCATGGTTTGTGTAATATCCCAGAATGTACAAAAATCAAGGGTTTGTCAATAACATCATATACTTCGGATACCATGATCTTAATCTATGCTTTTATAATGAAGCTTTTATAGTGAAGATAGAATGATTGGGAAATTCTATGATGATTGACTTATTCGATAAAATGAAGATACCATGACGTGCTTTCCATGATTTTATCCATCGGATCACAAGAGTAACCACAGCAATTCTTATCATGTATCATTCATATGTCTGGGTAAATTATAAAAGTTCACTAACCTGAATTAAGGCCATTTGGGGATGATTTCCCTTATTTACCATGATTCCAGGGTTCGGTCGCAGTGAGTTCGTTATAATTTACCCAGATATGTGTATATATGTATATATAGTTAAACATATATATATATATAAATGTATATTATTGAAGTTGTATATCATCATTGTATCCCCATATTGTTGTGGTTGGTGGTATATCTACCCCTCTGAAAAATATGAGTTAGTCAGTTGGGATGATGACATTCCCAATATATGGAAAAAACATGTTCCAAACCACCAACCAGTTATTATTGGTCATATAACCCCATTATGATCTTCTTGCCCCACCATGAAATCCCATCTTCGACGCACCTCGCGCAGCTCTTGCTGCACATCGGAAACCTCACCACCGAAGAGAGGATCGCCCCAGGCCACTGCCTCCGGCGACGCCGGGGAAAATGGGGCGTCTGGATAGGGTTGAGAAGCAGAAATTGATGGAATGGCTTCAACAATCCATAGGATTTTAGAGGATTCATAGGATTGTGATGGAATCTATAGGATTTCATAGAATTTTTTGGGGGGATTGTTTTGGGGATACAACGATAAGAAGAGGAACTTAACTATGTTCAACAAGAGGGGTAGAATTTGATGGACACCAACATATGGTTAATGATGGTAATGGTAATTACTGTAAAACCATGGTCAAGCATATAGTTGTTAACGATGGTTTATATAACTAACTCGCCGAGACACCCTACCCCCGTGCGTCCACAGCGCGAAGGCGCGCCCCGTAGCCGCCATCTGCGGCTCAGCAGCGATGGCCAAGATGTGGGCCCCCTCGAAGGGGCGCAAGTGCTGGTCCTGGGGATGGATGGAGGTTGGAAGATGCAAAAATCATGGGAAATCGTAGGAAATCAAGGTGTTTTTAAATGGCATTGTTTTGTTGTTTTTGGGGATTGATATGGCATTCCATTGCTTTTTATAGCTTAGTAAAATCAATAGAAAACATAGGTCTCATGTGCTTCTATATGGTGTATCATGGCAAGAAATCATTGGAGATCATGTTTTTATCGCTGTATTTTGTGATGCTTCATGGTTTCATCATGGCTTTCTTGCAAATCTTCGAAGATCCAGAATGTGGGCAACCTAATAATCAATGCGAATTTCAGGATCCTAAAATGGAGGTACGTTAGCACCATATAAGGCAATATTTTGTGGGGATATCCCCTTACATAGGCCAAAAAAATAGGCCAAACATATATGGAACCGGTACCTCCAATGAATCGGTTCCTGAGTCATGGCCATTGAAATTACGGACATAACATTTGGGGATCGTCTACACCAATCAACTTCCAGGATCAGTCGTTGAGAACGACCGCCAGCGAAGGCCGCTTGGAAGTGGGATTCTCCTTCATGAAGAAGCGCTTGTGCTTACATATGTATACATATACCATGTAATACATGTATGTATGTACATATACAATAATTATGTGTATATATATAATTATATATATATAATTATATATATATATATCATATTCAGATACATTTAGGAGGGTTTGTTGCCTGCCTCCGAAACAGAATTTCGATCTTCTAAATTCTACCCACTACCAATAATCAACAGTACATCACCTTCCAATTTCTTCTCCTTTCCCCCCACCCCACAGACCCCACACTCTTCACCAAGGTGCCACCACCGCTCCATCCACCACGAAGCTCAGGAACTGCTGCTGCAAGGCCTCTTGCGCCGCCCGCTTCAAATCCCCATAGCTGGCTGGCAGAGACACGTTGCAGCTCCGTCCACTGGGTAAGGAGACGTTCACCACAGCCATGGCGGAAAAAGCCCCGGTGATCGGCTGGTGGAAAATATGGGTGAACCGAGATAGATTATGATGAATGTTCTATTATATATATAATATTATATATATAGAGGTATATACACCTATTGATACATACTAATAACATATATATATTTGCCCGATTTCTGCCGAACATTTCCCCGATTGGCTGCGTGTTTGTGGAATTGTCTGGTGACTTCGCCAGAAAGTGAACCTCAAAAACCTGCCGATCACCCGGCCACACCGCGGTGGGCCCGGCCAAAAAATCCACCCCAAGGGCCGGCTGCGAGGCGGCATAGATAGGACCATTTCGTGCCAGGATCGTTTCAGCAGGGTCCTGCTATCTGGGACACCTAGATGTTCTTGCAGTATCATCCCTCTTGAACAAAATAAAAACAAATATCATCACAGATGACCAAAAAATGTTGACTTTGGATTTGACTCACCCTGAAAGCTGAAAGAAATCCCCTATATGGATCGCAAACCAAGACATTCTAGGCTAGAAACCTGGTCAATCGCTAGATGTTGTCACTTCTTGTTGACATGTTTGATAGATATCCCGATCCCCCCTGTGCCACCTGTGCCACGTTCTGTCCAAAAATAGGGGATTCTTTCAGCAGTTTATGGCCATTGTAATGGGGAAAATGATTTCCTCAACCCTGGGATTGTCCAAACCTCGGTTGTATGAATTTATTATTGGATCCATTCATTTTGGGTTCCTTTTTGGCGGGATTTACCATATATTTTCGGATGATATTCCAAATACTTCAGGATCATGATGATATCGGACTCCAAATATCCCATTTCCAAATATTTCCTTTCCATCCATTTCCCATAAATGCTGGTAATATTTATATCCGGCCTCCATAAATTGCATGGCAAAGGAGCGCGCATGACTCCGAAGTGCCTGGAGGGTATCACCAGAATTGAGGATGCACTGGGTTCAATGTGTTTCTAGGCTATTAGAGACATATTATGGTTAAATACATTACTATGTTATAATATATATATATAGCTGGTTGGTGGTTTCAAGCCCTCTGAAAAATATGAAAGTCAGTTGGGATGATTATTCCCAATATATGGAAAATAAAAAATGCTCCAAACCACCTATGCATATACAGCTTCAATACTGACGATTACAGATTGTGGTATAGATTATATGGTCCCGAGTCAAAATTGTGTATGGAACGTTCCGCGGTGTTCCGGACGTATGGAACGAAGGGGCTTCGTAACTGGTCTTGTTGCGGACCTTTGGAGTGTGATGAAATATAGGCTATATATCCATAAATAAATAAATTAATAAATAAATAAATATATATATATACATTATATGCAATGTAACATATATAATTTACTCCTCATCTGCACGACATCCTTGTTGTACACCTGTTCAACGCAGGTTTGCCTTGCATGGCTAGTGCTCGTGCACTAGACACGACACGGCCGGTAGCCAGTGTCACCCACTGGCTACCATGTGAAGCTGTCGACTCAGCTTCAGACCTGTCACGCAGGTCCCACCTCCTACTCTTAAAACTCAGAGGTCCCTATGGGGTAGATTGCGTCCCTGCATAGCAAGACTCTACCCTCCCACAACGAGCAGTCTATGTGAGAACCTGCCATGTGTTCACCAGTGGGTCAGGGGTGGTACAGGTGGTCCAGGTCTGGAACGGGTATGGAACGGTACGGAACGGGGTCTGGAACGAAACGGCCCACCCCAGCACAGCACTGCCACCACGCAGCACATCTTTATCAAAATTCGCAGTTTGGAGCGAGAATAGCGCAGCAAGCAATTCTTAGACTGCCAGCTGGCAGCAGCCAAGCGCATCTCTACAATCAAACACCACAGCTGTGCCACAGCCTGCAGCAACTTTAAGTGGTGCAGGCACAAACCTGCCACAGGTTGAGAGGGAGGGAGGGTTACAAGCAATCCATTCTTAGACTGCCAGCTGGCAGCAGCCAAGCACATCCCTACCATCACACAACAAAGTAGTAGCAGCTGTAAGTGCTGCAGGCACAGACTTGCCAACACAATCACAGGGCTTGGGCATAGTAAACGTATTCTTGCATGTATGCACTCATGTATGTACGTGTGCTCATATATGTGCGTACAAATGTAAAATCAGATTGCACATAATCAAATATATATATATAATTGTACATATATATATATAATAATTATATAAACATATATTTATATATATAATAACGTATGGATCAGAGGTATGGAACAGAGGTATGGAACGGATCCTTCAAGGAGGTATGGAACGGGGGTATGGAACGGGTGTGGTCCCCGAGCTTGCTCCGGACCTCCTATTTTGACTTGCCCCCATATATATATATGTATTTGACATTTGGGGTCCATTATTTGGAGGTATGTAGTATCATCGGGGGGAATTTTCTGGATCCCACATCGTTGCAATTTTAAGCCAAAGATTCAGCCACATCCTGCTTGATTTTTTGTGGAGGGCTCTGGGGATTTATGAATCCAGGGTTGACATTGTAGGTAGGTTATTAGATTATGGTGAAATACTATGTTACTATAGAAAATATGCTTTATATACTGGTCCAGGTTGGTTGAAGACCCAGAATCCATGAAAAATACTGTGCCCGTGTCCTTTTCAAATTGGTTATTTATGTAAAATGCATGTAAAAGCATATCATCATATCCCTTCTGGGAAATGCACTTTTGATTAGTATATCAATCCAGTATAGCGGTTGAATTATAGGGCTTCCCATAATAAATAATAGGAGACCGACTCCCAAACTGGCTTACAGTGTATATCCCCTACTTGATGTTATTTAGGACAGCCCCCATATGGTCGAGAATTCGGTACGCTTTGTTCGCGTGGATCATTTATTAATTGGGGTGATTTGATCAAATCTCGAAAATGGTATTGAAACCATTGGGGATATGATCCAAAATATGACCCATAGGATCCATGGTGCTGCTATATATGGTAACATGGATCCCATCAATATACCCCCTTTATGTTAGCATATATACCAGCACCATGGATCCGTCATGGGTTATATAGAACAACATAAGGATGTAAATGAATTGAGATGTTGGGACCATCATTGGGGGAATTGAGAATGGCATGACATGTTGAATAGCGGCTATGGGGATGAGCAGCATGGCGTGGCTCGTAGAGCTCTGGAGTGATACGTGCAGACATGTGCAGACAGCGACACAGCAGCAAGTCTGGCAACTGATCTGATTTTCATAGAGAAAGTGGAAACAACATCCAGATCATCCAGTGTTCAAACCCTGTCAGCTCGGGAAAGGCCACCTACAGTTGTTGCCACTGAAAACGCCGTGATCCGTCTCGCGGCTTCATGACTGCTATGAACGAAAGGATGGGGAGGAGATCAACTCCCTTGGTGAAGAAGCAACCATCTGAAAGTCCCTCTTAGTCCGCTCATAAAGATTCACTCAACCCTGGAAAAACATATCAAATGCCATTGGAATGACCCCCTGTCTGGTCATTAAATCAGATTGAATTTGGTCATCCAAAGCTTTGATGTTTTCTTTACCATTTACCCAAGATTTTCTGGCGAAAAAAAACAAACATCGCTGGCAGCTATCCTATCCATCCAAAAATCACCACAAAAGTCCTGGCTGTTGGCACCTCTAGGGGGGAAGATAACTTCCAGGCGCCCACGGAATCGGGTACCTGCCCGGGGGACAACTGTCATGTCGTGGTCATCAAGAAATACAGGATGTTGTTTGAAGATGTGAAAAATGTCAATGGTTTTTGGGAAGATGTGAAATGGGAAGATGTGAAAATTCTCAAAGTGTTTTCAAGATGTGAAAAATTCCCAATCAGTCTTCGTTGGGACTATTGCATTGCTATTGATATGCAGCCAGCCCTAGAGCATGTCCATCTCCAGCACACGCCATTCTCCTGATAGAATATATGTCCAAAATCTTCTCGGTGGTATTACCCTATTTTCCAATGGAAGCTGCGCTCTCAAGAAACTGTTGGACATGTCAAATGTTTCTGGTTACCAATCAATGCCCAAATCGAATGGGTCGATTTAACCTGAAAATAACCAGTGGGGGCTTCAAAAAAAGGTACCTTCTTGAGGGGCCAAAAAAAATGTTTTTTTTGCGCCAGAGCTCCACAAAAATCCATCCCCACAGCGTGTCTATTGCTCTTGAAATTACATTTATTTGGGTAGGTGAACATTTGAATCCCGGTGTATGCTGGTCAGATTCATCTGTTTACTATGTTTGTTGTTCGAATCAACCAAATCCCATTTTTTGGTAAGTTGATTCACATTGTTCTTGTTGAGTCTACATTTCTGCTGGCTAGCTCCAAAAACCTACGGCGAAAAAACATGACAAAAAAATCAGTGGTTAACTCCTTCAGTTTTCCTGGCCAAATCCCACATTTTTTCAATCCTTTTCAGTGGCAAAAAATCCTCATTTCTACTGCTTCAACCCTCAATTTTTGCTCACGAAATCCTGAAAATCCGAGTGGTTCAATCCCCACATCGATCGCCTCCGGGACCGCTGCAAAGGGTGAAGGCAAAGCCATAGGTGTGGACACCTGGCGGAACCATGGCAGCTTGGAACCCATGAAGGATCCAAGATGGAATATGATATATAGATATATGATGTAGATATTTGATAGGTATTGATCCATAGTGATATAGATTTTATTTGATGGTATTGGCTAAAGTATATTGTTCCCCACCTGCCAGGTGAGGGTTGTTAGATTTTATGTCAGTTGCCTCCTCCTCCTCCTGCCTCGTCCTCCTCTCCTCCTCCTCCTCGTCCTCCTCCTCCTCCTCTCGTTGTCCTCCTCGTCCTCCCGCTCAACTGCGACTCGCGATCCACAGTGTTCCCTGCCGGACCTCAACCACGACCATCCACGCCCAGTGTTCCCTGCCGGACCTCAACCACGACCATCCACGCCCAGTGTTCCCTGCCGCCCAGTGTTCCCTGCCGGACCTCAACCACCATCCACGCCCAGTGTTCCCTGCCGGACCTCGCCCAGTGTTCCCTGCCGGACCTCAACCACGACCATCCACGCCCAGTGTTCCCTGCCGGACCTCAACTGCGAGTATCCACGCCAAGTGTTCCCTGCCGGACCTCATGTAGGAATGTCAGATAGACTGCCAGATAGAATGCCAGATAGAATGTCAGATAGGATGCCAGATAGAATGCCAGATAGAATGCCAGAAGAATGCCAGAAAGAATGCCAGATAGAATGCCAGATAGAATGTCAGATAGGATGCCAGATAGAATGCCAGATAGAATGCCAGAAAGAATGCCATGCCAGATAGAATGCCAGATAGACTGCCAGATAGAATGTCAGATAGAATGTCAGAATATATGTCAGATATAATGCCAGATAGAATGCCAACATATATGCCAGAATATATGTCAGATAGAATGCCAAAATATATGTCAGATATAATGCCAGATAGAATGCCAGAATATATGTCAGAATAAATGACAGGTAGAATGCCAGAATATATGTCAGATGAAATGTCAGAAAATATGTCAGATAGAATGCCAGATAGACTGCCAGATAGAATGCCAGGTGGAATGTCAGGATATATGCCAGATAGAATGCCAGAATATATGCCAGAATATATGTCAGATAGGATGTCAGAATATACTAAATATATGTCCAAATATACGTCCTGACATGTCATGGTGGGGATCACACGAAGTAGAGTAATTTTTTTTAAGGTACGGGTATATGAGAACATGGGAGCTTATCTTGGATTTGCGATCCAGGAACGCCCAAAAAAAACAAACACTTGCCAAAATAGATTTCCCAGGGAGTGAATTTTAGACTGGAAAAACAACACATAATCTTCAGCAAATCCAAGTTATTTGACAATCCAAGTGATATGCCGTAGGATTTTAAGCACATGTTTCTTGTTTACACCCCATGATTGATAATTATATCACTATATTTCGCAAAACTAGAAATTGAATAATCATACCTTACCACTTCAATAGATAGAAATTCGTGGAAACGTGAGGAAAAAACATATGATATATATCACAGCATTGAGATAATACCAATAAATATGCCAATTAATATCCAATGTATATATATATATATTATATGTATAATATGATTTTTCCAACGTCTCAACTTCTGGGGCTATCACAATCATCACAGGCCCACCTCGATTTTGAGCGATGGCAGCTCCGAGCCATTGCCCTCCCGCGGCACCGGCGCAGCCGGCGCAGCCGCCACGGGCTCCTGGTGATGGGAATGCACCTGGGAAAGGCCTGAAAAAGTCGGAGAATTTCACCCGAAACCATCTTTTCTGCAGTGAAACCACCGAAACTGCGAAAAAAAATATAATATGTATATGATATATATGTGCTAAATGATGCTAATATTTAGATGGTAGAACTGAGGATTTAGCTGCAATGATCATAGATGTTGATTGAACAACGGTGACTAGATAGGACTCAATTAGGGCTCATTGTGTGTTCGTAGCCAGCCTCACCAACACCACATCAGCCGATCGATGCGGAAATAGCTATTGAACCAACAAAATACGGTGGATGGGCCAGCGAAATCCTGCACCACCTTGGATGGTCGAAACCCCAACAAAATAATGGGATGTTTACCATCTATATATCAACTGGTGCAGGATTTCGCAACCATCCACAGTACGCTGATTCAAAGAAGAGTTTTATCATGTTTTATCTGGAAAAAATAGCATGATAAAAAAGCGAAGAACAATGGGGATTACACCAGTGGAAATAAGGGGATTTGGATGTGTTTGTCACAACAAGGATGGGAATTCAACGGAATGTAGCAAGCAAACATTGGCAAATAACAAACATCTAGTGGCGATTTCCGAGCTTTCTTCGACGAATGCAGTTCGAATGACTGGCAACGCAAAAATGCCTTGAGTTTTCAGTGAAGAAATAGATTGGTAGTCGGTAGCCTCGTTGATCAGGAGTTTGAATCTAAAAAGCACATTCAAACCTACCAAAAAGCAAATTACCATAAATATCCATAAATTACCTCTACTAATACCCTCTAATGGTCTTCAGGAGTAGCTGAAACAGGTGGATTTTAAGCTGACCTTTCTGGAAAATGGCAGACATTGACCATCCCAAACAATCAGAGGGAAACCGGTTGAGTTTTGGATCGTTGGTTGCCGGTTGATCCGGTTGGCCTAAGGAAAGGATTGCCAAGGCCCATGCCAATAGCCTCAGCCCAATCCTTGGTTTTCGACACCACTTGCCGGCTCCTCAGGACTCTCACTTTGGATCGGAGAAGGCACTCTGAAGCCTCCAAACTCAGCGGGAAGTTGTTCCCAACACAGCTACGTTGGGAGGTAATTGTGTGAACAAAGAAGTCAAGTTCCAATTTCCCCAGCCTTGTGGCTATCATGTACCATTTTCATATAGGCTCTAAGTGTGTGATTTTTGGAGTCGAGGGTTCTCATGGGGACCATGGTTCTAGCTGAAGAAACAATCCTATCTCGGATGGGCCCACCTCTAATTATGAAATTCCATTGCTGCAAGGTTATCATCATATGTAATCATATGGGGGGTTCCAATGGAGGTACCCCAAATGGATGGTATATAATGGAAAACCCGATATTAAAATGAATGATTTAGGGGTACTGTACCCCCATTTATGGAAACCCACACAGAAAAACACCCAACACAGAAAGACCTTTGAAAACGCTGAGACCAAAACCCACCTGCCCAAAAGACTCACTGCCGTCTCCGAGACAAACGTGACAGGATTTTTCTTGGTCCTCCTTTCGAGGATGACAGAGGTAACTGCTGGAGCCAGCCTGGCTTAGGACTGGCAGTTACAAACCAAAGCATGAACAGTCTGTGCCGGATTGACTCTCGACTCACATTAAATCCACAGAGACCCGCTGCCTTGTGAGCAGGTCATTGCGAACAAATTGTGGGCTTGGATTCAACCATAGTTCCTGGAAAACGTGAAACCACTGGAAGTACGAACGTGGAACATGTTTGGCAATGGATCGCCAAGTTGGGGATGGTTCATATTTCCAACCCATTAAATTGGGATGTTCGAATTCATGAGCTTACCCAATTTCTTGATTGGCATTCTGCAAATAAGCAGTTTCCACATTCATGTCCAGATGGTAATTTCGCTGTCGCAGCAAGTTCAAGTGTAGTCCTCCGAGCTTACACCGCCTGCTGCGGCAACGCTCCAGGAAAATGTTGCTATACTGTTACTGGGCTATACAGATTGGACCCCGGTCGGGATATCCCAGGTTTTGAGGATGGAAGGTGTTGGCCACAGGCCACAGGCCACCAGGACATGATGTTTTTTTCTCAAAGGCAATCTTAAAAAAATTACGAAACAAAATGGACAAACCTCTGCTGAAGGTAGCAATTTTCCATCCCTTTAAGATTTGTCAGCCACGTCTTATGCCGTCATCTTGCTGAGCAACATCAAGTTGTAGGCCACTTGATCCAGGGCACTCTCATAGCATACCGAGGAGCCTCGAACCCAGCAGGCAGCCATAAACCCTGGCACCCTGATGGATCATGTAGATGAGCGTGTAAAAGCAACAAGGAGGGAGATATCCCAGAAGGCAGCTTTAATAAATGATGGTAAACCACCAAATTTGCGTTGTTTCTCCTTTTCAAATACCCCCGAGATTCAAATTTGGATTCCACACAATTAGATGCGTCAACAACCCTTCATCCCATCCATCTTGTTTTTTTTCAACCACACCCAGCCTATGAAGATGGTGTTCCTCTTGCCCTGGAGGTCCAGGATTTTCCACGGAAATTCCTTGACCAAGGCCTCGTTCTCGAAGTGCGGAAAGTAACCCCAAGCCTTCTGCAGAAGAATCTCCACCTCAGGCTCTCCTGCATAGCTTTTCCTTAGCCAAGGGCCAAGCACCAGCTCTGGGGGGATTTACCAAGAAGAGCTGGGAAAATTCTGGAAATTTCAGGGATAGGTCCAAAATTCAAGGCCCGATTCCAAATAGATTCTCAAGGAGCTTAACCATCTCCAATTCTTGGTGAAGTCTTCCCAAAAACCACCGGGCTTCACCCCAAAGGTGATCCCCCAAAGAACGTAAGGCGTTTTTTTCGTCATTCGCTTCGTATGCTAACCCGAGCCGCAGATTTTCCTTCAACACTTTCGCCAGTTTTGCCTCGTCTCCGGTCTGCAAGGGTTTGGGCATGTATTGATAGGCCACCCGCAGCTCCACGCCGTTGGGCGGCAAGTTGGGGCGCGCGGCCATGCGGCTGTTGCGCTGGGCGTAGAATTGGCCCACGCCGTCATCCATGATGCCCATCCTATTGTGGGAGATGGGGGTGAAAGGCTGCAAAATAACAACGATGACAATAATAATCATCATCAAATTATCATCATCATCATCATCATCATAATCATAACAACAACAATCAGACTTTAATTATCAAAGAATAAACATAATCCTATATTCACCATAATAGTGGTAATGAAAATGACAATGATAATGGTAAAACTAACAATAATAGCAAAACAAAGAAGAACACTATAATAAATTAAAAAAAATCGATAATAATCATATAGTGATAATGAAAAATATCGACAATAATCATAATGATAATGGTAAAACTAACAATAATAGCAATAACAAAGAAGAACACTATAATAATGAAAAAATATCGATAATAATCATAGTGACAATAGTAGTGATGATGATGATGATGATGATGGATGGATTCGATCAAACCTCAAGAAAGCAGTGACCGTAAAAGTGTGTGGACTTACTAACCACCAACAACCACAAGTGAGTTAAAAAAAAAAAAACAGCGACAAGTATCATCGGGGGTTGGTCAAATCCCATGATAAAGATGAACATGAAAAAATGCAAATAATGGCAACCTAGGGATACTTAGGGAATGTTTATTCGCTGGGCTGTTTGATTGAGGCCCAAGAATAGCTATGATTTTGAGAATGACAAATTCAATCACCACATACAGCTGCAACATGCTGCAACAAGAAACAGCTGGTGCTGCCTCAGGCATCCCAATTCATGGTTAAGAATTGCTGCGATCGCCAAAAAAACATATAGATTCTTAGATAAATAGACTTAGACTTGGACAGTGTTTCTTCCGTCAAACGTGCTGGAAATCCCCCAAACCAATTCCCTCCCCGCATGCACCGTCATCCCCCGTCCTCCCGAACCAGGTTTCCACCGTATGCTCATGGTCTGTGGTCTTCCCCTTGTACAAAGTTGTGGTCAGGCTTTGTCCTTGCAACCTATGCAGCTGGATCTGGCGGATGATTCTTTAGGGGCCAACAGGATCCACTGAAAACTCAAGGCTTTTTGTGGTGGACGTGGTTCCAGCAATCAATGTGATTCAGTGAGTTTTTGAAGTTGACAAGGATGGGATGGGTGCGTTTTACTTAGCATCTTGTCTTCACAATAAAGGTTGTGGCACCCGTGTTGCTATCAATCCCAATTCATGGGATCATTCTCCCCCAACCAAAAACACCAAACAACACGTATGGTGAAAACGAACGACGGATGGTGAACATATTCACCAAGCCGCTCATCATTACGGATCTCTCCAAAAATAGAGTTCAATGATCATCCACATCTTTCTTAAGCTAATTTCAGAAAACCCAACTGCTAAGTGGTTCAAGCCATGGAAAATTCCTAGGCAACCAGGCTCCGACACCCTAGCCTTTCAACATCTCAGCTAGGCCACTGGGAAAAGATCTGCTCTTCTTCAGGGGCCAGGTCGCAGATCAGGTGTCGGAAGCGAAAGAGGTCGATCGCAGTGATGACCACGTCACCCTGAAGAGTGTGCAACCTGGGTGGCTTCGACTGGTAGTTTTCTCCAAAAATGGATAAAAATGGTGTGTACCTAACAGTGTATCCATGTGTACCCCTCCATAAGGCAGATAAACCCTACCATGTACATGGATTAACCACTTTATTTATTGCCATGTAGTGCTTGATAGGTGGTCATCAGCACGTTCTCCCTTAAATTGGCTATAATTGGGCTATACCCGATTTTCAGTCAAATCCCGTTGGTGAAAACCGCAGGAATTTGTGACTCATCCTACTTGCCCTGATTGGCCCAGTTGGCTGCGAAATTGTACAAACAGCTTGAGCTGAGGGCACTGTTCTTAAAGTTTCTTTAATTGTCGCTTTATGTCCCTTTAAGCGCATCTTAGAGGAACATTTTTCCATAGACTCTTGTATAAACTCCCACACAAACTTAGGGACAGAATTTCTCAAATCTCTTTGGCTTGGCCGGAAAACGCGGTCACCCCAAAATCCCCAAAATGACCATTTCTGGCTTCATTGGGATAAAGCCAGATTCTCCCAAATCTTCAGACACAAACATCCCGTTGTGGCCGATTAGATTCAGATCCCCATAGCCATCAAAGCTATGGGTTTATCCCAAAATGGGGATACCCCCAACTCATAGCCAACTCATAGCAATCATTTGGGTGGCTTGCTGGAAAAGTCCAGCAAGCAAACCTCCATGAACATTTCGGGGATTTCCCAGCGACGTTTGATGACCGAACACATAGGGGTTCCCTACATGGGAAAAGCATGATAAAATCCACACCTAAATGGAGGTATCCCACCAAAATAGCAGCCTAAAGGAGCATGGTGATTGGCCGAAAAACGATAGCTAAGTTGGTTTACAAGTAGAATGATCAGGATTCATATGCATGGTAATTCAAACTCTAGTTTTCATGCGGCAAACATCAACCAACAACTACAACTGTGGAGACTCCAGTGGAGACCCACCTTATTCCGTTTAAACCGGTTAAACCCCGACAAAATCTCTGAAAACCTAGGCAGATTTATGCTGCTTTATAGTGGAATATAGACAACTTGGCTGATTTTATCATGGGGTATCATTATGGCTATATATGAATCAAACCCCTGCTACCTAGGTATCCTAAAATAGCTGGTTAAGGGACTTGATTCCCAAAAAACGGTTAAACATATGTTTTGACCCATCCCCATACCCATAGGATCCATGTAAGCTATATATGGTAACATTTACCATCAATATTCCCAATGTTAGCATATATACCATACATGGATCCTATGGGATATAAACAACCAAAACAAATCTGCAAAAACTGTGTTTTTTCTCAACCAAAGCAGCTTCTCACCCTGTCGGTAGGTCACCTCCACCGTTGGGCTGCGTTTGATCTCAGTGACGCTGGCGCTGGTGATGTACGTCACCTCTTTGCTGTGCCTCTCCTGAAACGTGGCGCACATCGCTGGTTTCCTAAAGTATGGCTACCCCAAAACCATTGGGTTTTCCCATTGAAAACAGCCAGATGATTTTGGGGTACCCTTGTTTTAGGAACCCTCCATGCGGTGTTTTTTTTGGAGAAATTCGAGCCCAAATTCGCCGTGTGTTTTTGAAAAAATGGTGGTATACACCCCAAAATGTCACTTTACATGCAAAGAGGGAAAATATGAGGATACCACATTGAATTTTAGGGTACCCCAGTTTCAGACAAACCCATCTACGGAATACTTAATTACTCACGTTTACCCTAAAAAGAACCAGTTATGTGTTCAAATGTAAGTTTTGCATAATATGCTTGTAGCGCTACCGGGTAGGTTGGAAACCCAACTGATTCTTTACAGCAAATCAGTTGGCTGTGTTGGGAAATACCTATCGAAAATTGAGTGAAACAGAACCTATTCTTTTTGAAGACAGGGATTCGGGATGCCTTAAATTCTCCCATCAACCCATTTTGGGATATTTTGGGCACAAGAAAAACAATGACAAATCGACGATTGAAGCTGTTGAACCAGGGGAGATGGTTTTTCTTTCCCACCAGGTCGCTTTCATCTTCAACCACAGGGATTGCCATCCGTTCTTCAGCAAGGCCAAGCCCGGGTTGGGCGGACCACCCAGGATGGCACCGATGGTATTCCTGGCGATGTCCGGATGGTTCCACCAAAGGAGGTAGAACGCAGGGACCTGATCCAACATACCATAACCTTGGACCTGCTGGCTATAGATGAAGATGGGCGTCAAGATTTCCAGGCCGTTCCTTAAGGACGCGGGCGGACGGACGAGGACTGCGGTGTGTTTTTGGTAAAGTCGGTAGAATCTTCTTTTGGAAGACGATGGAAAGATGATCAAAGCTGACAAAATAGGATTAAACAAACCAAAGCAAAAAAAAAGTGATAAACTATGATTTAGAAGCCATCCCAAAAAAACCTTTACCCTTAACTGGACCACCGTCCCCCACATGACTTAGGAAACCTCCAGCTATGCCAGCTAAGAGTCTGTTTCAGAAACTCCTGTGCCGTCATGTTGATCCTACACCAGTCCTTTGGTTTGGGCGGCATGCCATAGGAGTATCGCCCGAAAATCTCCACGTGAATCCTTGGATGTGCTCAAGAGATTCTGTTCACCAAAAACTCAGGATTTTCAGGACTTCCATCAACAAAATCCAGGATTTTTGTTCCAGAAAATCCAGTTCCCATCAAAAAATCCCAGGAATCTTCAGGTATTTGGCGAAGGCCACGAAGATGGGAATGCCCTGTAAGGAGTCCGGAAGGCACCAGCAACAAGATGGGCAACTGACCTTTTCCGCCTCCTCGTTGACCTATGAGATGACGCAGGGTGACTAGGCAGGACCCTTCCCCCGGTTCACTTCCCCCTAAAACCATGCTTTAACAATGGACTATTTGCTAATGTTGGATTTGAAGGGACTTGTGAGCCCCTATTTCCCGCAAAAACTAAAATAAACGTGTCCAACACGTGCATAAAATTTAGTTTGCGGTAGAAATCTCGGAGTAAGTTCGATATGTTTCTTTCAAAAACCATCAGGTGGCGGGAAAAGTCTGATTGTAGTTTCTTGGCTCCCCATTTTCCGTAGTGAATCTGGATACCATAGCTGCTAATCGCTCCCTCCATTACTAAGCATTCTGTACGGGGACGTCGTGGTGAGGTCGTTATAGTTCATCCGATTCCCATGAAACTTTCCCATTACCATTCGTTTCACACCAGAATCACTCCATATCATCATGGTTATCCCAATGATCCTCATTATACCACCATGGTTGGTGGTTAAATCACCATTTTGTGCTGGTTAATTAAGCCAGTTTATAACCCAAATATAAATATATATATACTAGGTACCTGTGACCTAGGCCTAAGGCCCGCCTGGTGACCTAGGATTTTGTGCACCAAGTCCTAAGTCACTGGTGTTGGTACCAGGTGATTTGTGTGCACCAAGTCCTAAGTCACTGGGGTTGTTATTGGACTCAAGCACTTTTTAGGGTAAAAAGAAAAAAATCTTCTCATATCTTCTCCTAATGTCCTAAGTCATCAGAAAAGAGTATGGACTTGGTGCACAACATCCGCTACCACCAGAGGGGCATAAGTCCTAAGTCATCAGAACCTACATACTTACAGTACAGTACAGTACATTGCACTACAGGAAATTACGTTACATTACAGTACATCGCACTACAGTACATTACATTATACTACAGTACATTACATTACAGTACAGTACAGTACATTACATTACATACATGCATAGGACTTGGTGCACAGAATCGTATGTCACCAGAGGGGCACAAGTCCTAAGTCATCAGAACGTGTATATATATATAAATATACATTACAGTACAGTACAATACATTACATCACAATACACAATACGTCAAAACATTTTTTTTATATAAACAGAAAGAAGAAATAATAAAAAAAACAATCAACAATGAAAAACATAAAGCCTTATATGTTTTTATTTATCTGCTTTAAAATAATGTCTGTACATAAATCGAAGGAGAAAAATGAAAATCGCATATTTTTTGAAGATGGGCACAAGTCCTAAGTCATCAGACCACTTACATTACAGCACAGTACATTACTTTACACTACAGTACGTTACATTACCTTACAGTAAAGTACAGTACATTACACTACACTACAGTACATTACATTACAGTACAGTGCGTTACAGTACATTACATTACATTCATGCACAGGACTTGGCGCACAAAATCGTATGTCACCAGAGGGATGCAAGTCCTAAGTCATCAGAACCTACATACTTACATTACATTGCAGTACAGTACATTACACTACAGTACATTACATCACATTACAGTAAAGTACAGTACATTACACTACACTACAGTACATTACATTACAGTACAGTGCGTTACAGTACATTACATTACATTCATGCACAGGACTTGGTGCACAAAATCACATTATATACATTACATTACATACATACTTGGTGCAGCCCACGAGCATGATGACTTAGGCCCATCTTAGTATATTTCTATTAGTGTATTCCTAGGTCATCATGATGTACGAGCGGTCCATGCCGCACTAGATTCTTGTAAAAATCAATATTTTTCAGCAAATCAAAAAAATCAAACATAGTTCCTATTTTCAGACGGACACCTGATGAGCCGGGACTTGTCCAGGGGGGGTCCGGCGCATGATGAGATAGGACTTGTCCACCCCGGGGTATCTTTCACAAGTCCTAGTTCACGGGTACCTAATATATATATATATATATTAATAATAATAATAATAGATATATCATGATATGTATATCTCCATGACTGATTCCGCCAGATTTTCCGCTGTTCGCGAAGTGGCCCAGTCCGAGTAGTCCAGTCCTTCCGTGTACTTCCTCTTGTCCTCATCCGCAATGACCACACCGAAGGCCATCCGGCCATTCTTCTCGTTGGCGAATTCCTCTTCGGTATTCTCCGGATCGTACCTCGGAAATGAAAGGAACGGGGCGGGAGGCTTACCGGTACGTTGACTTGGTTTCATAGTTGGATGTTTTCAAGTACGTACTCTCTCACTGCTCTCACTGTGATAATGTCAACATTTCTGGAATATTCAACTTTGACAAATCATGTTTTTGTTGTCCGTTTAAGCTGAAGAAATTTTGGGAACAATGAGGTCAACATGACACGGCTTGCCGTGCCTATGACCAGATCCCATTGGCTTGGCACGTTTCCTCATTTTGGTAGGTAGGTCTTTATCAGACATGCAAACATTGTGATTCTTCAGTCAGAAAAAATATCAGGTATCAGGTACAGTATTTTGAGTGCAGGTGATGTTGGAAAATTCCGTCATCTTCTTTTACGGTTTGTTAGTGCCCTTGAATTTTCGGTTTATAAATTCGTTGAGAAAATGGGTGAAAAATCGTTGGACAAAAAAATTGCATTGTGGCAAAGATCTGGCCATAAATCCGTCCAGATGCTCTTCCAAGAGACTCCTGACTAACTTGTACTGGGCATTCAGGTAGCAGGTTCCCATCCTTACCAGCGCGTTCAGCCGTGAGGATCTCATGGTGCTGCCCCATTTCCCTAATGCTAAGTTGGTGCACTAATCGCTAGATGAAAACTTGGGTAAATTGGTGGATACATCGAAGTTAGACGGGGGTTGTAAACCAATTTGTAGCCCAGCATGTATATCATGTCGCTTGAAAAACTGAAAATCTAGAGGTTGCCTCTCAGTAGTGTCAGATACATGTATATAATTAATTATAATTACATGTGATAGATTCTAGATTTTCCAAAACTCCTCAGATCTGTGAGATTTATGGTTTTACCTTAAAGTAATGTGGTCAACTCGTCAACCCAATTCTAGACCGTCTCCATGGATCATCATGGATCCATGGACTGGCCGGTCAAAAAAAACTTTCCCCAAATGGGGGGTTCCATAGTCATGGGGGTACCCAATATATAGCTGGATGGTTATTTCATGGAAAATCCATCTATAAATGGTAACTGGGGTCACCTCGATTTTAGGAAACCTCCAAATTCCCCTGAAAATTGGATACGGTTCATCATCATTTTCCCAATGAAAAAATGCCAATATTTGAATGTAAAAATCCCCCAAGTTCAGACCCAAATAGTGCACACTGTCCCAGTGCTGAGTGGCTCATTTGGCACACTGGGCAGGGCATCATCATAAACCGTCAGCGACTTGCCTCCGATCTCCGGCTCTGCTTCCAACAAAGTCACCTGCCATCGATCAGTGAACCAGTTTCACTGATCGAAATTCCTAGGGCCTTCACGGGGCTTCATGAAGAAACATGGTGGGAGTATGGGGATATTATGGGGATATAGTCAGGTGATAGAATATATATATATAATGGGGAAAAAAAATCCATGGGGGATCTGACTAATAATGGAAGTGTAAGGGTGCCCCCAGGACCGCCCAGCAGGGGGACAAAATCAAGTAGTGACCACCCATAGATCTCCCTGAAACATCGTGAAACCATGGAAGTTTTACCCCACTGTTCCCACCAAAATTTGACTTATTCCTATAAAATGGCCTATAGTTCACAAGCCCTGTCAAACCAGGTGCTATAAGCCATGCTGTTACAAAGTCACCTAACAGATCCTAACAGTGTTGAGAGCCATGGTGAAAATATCCCAGACAAGAAATATATGGGATATGTTTTTGTAACCGGGGATGTTTATCAGATGTTTCTATCCCATAGTTTCATGAGTATACCGTATAACCCCAAACAAATTAAGTACATCAATCAGAAAATTTCTGGATTATCTCCCGATGTTCGAAGGTTTTCCAACCTTTACTCCCAAACGCGAAGACGTCCTTGCAAGTCATCTGTTTTTATCCAAATCAGTATGATACCTAAAAGTCTCCATAAAAACAGATCGACAGGGTATCATATCAACCATGAACTTATATGAACTTATGGCTATCTTCATGTTTTCTGATCCAAATCATCAACTATGAACTCATCAACGCCAGGGTCCAGGTTTTTTGTTCCTGCCTTGGTGTAGCCCTTGGCGGCTAGGCACGCTGACATGTGCATCCCTGAAGGTCCACCACCGACGATGATGATCCGTTGCTCAAAGCCGCTCAACTTTAAGCCTCGGTAGCCGCTGATAGCTCGGAGGCACCGAGCCTCTGGTAAACGTTTACATAGCTATAGAAAGATCCATTATTTTTAATGGGTCAATCCACTATTTCAACTGGGCCATTGAAAACAATAGCTTTTTAAGTATGTTTACCAGAGGGTAGTGGAAAATGGTGAACATTGGGATTGAGACACAAAATCTTGTGATTTAAATGGGTAAATCACCATGTTCTAGCTGGGTAAATCAACGAACTTTCTATGGCCATGTTCAATAGCTATGTGAAATTACCAGAGGGTATAATGTGGTTAAAACAATCATGTTTACCACCCATGACTGGGAATGGTTTATACATAGCACCTATATATTTATGGTGATTTTGGGAATGGTTTATGGCATTGTTTTACCCATACATTGCAAAATTGGATGTGAACCACCAAGGTTGAGGATTGATATTGGATTTCTGGTTTCATGACGGAGGCGCATTTTGTGCCGCATTTTTTTCCCGCACAACTGAGGGGGCAAGGTTTTTGGGCCTTTGCAACTGAATATGTTTATATAGTCAGAAACTCGAAATACCGATTGTGACAACACAGTGCTGCGGACATATTTTTGGGCATCCGCTTCCAAGTCGCAGGGTCAGCCAAGTGACTTTCCGGCAGCAAATTGGCATTTGGATTTGGATCGATCTGTGGAAACAAGGACTTCAGCGGCTTCAGCGGCTTCAGCGCCATGGCAGGATGACGGCACAGACTGCTTGTGCTTGTGGCTGCAACTGAGGCAGGGCAGGCGAAATGGGAATCATTGAGGGAGTGAAGGAGAAGGTTTGCCATTGGGGGGCAATGGCAATTGAATAGATCTGGATTCAACGATGTAACCAGGGTTTCGATCCATCAACATCCATATTTATATTATATTCATATTTATACCATATTTATACCATATTTATACCATATGCACGAGATCTAGACTAGATATGAATTAGACTTCTCCGACTTATCCAATCCCCATCCCAATCCCATGTGGTACAATCCCATGAAATGGGGCCCATGTTATGAATCCGACGGTCAGCTGCCAGCTCTGCAAAGCCTGCTTCTTTCATCAAACTGGCAGCCGCCTGAGAGCAGCCCGCTACCCGTAGCTACCGGGGTCCTAAGACTACTATGGGATTATGGGTGTGTCTGAGAATGGTGGTATATTTACGTATTTATATTATAGGGTACCTGAGAATATTACCAGAATGTGGGCTATAATATGCTATAGTATTCCTAGCGATGTTTTGTAAGGGTACCTGAAGAGGTAATCAAACATCGCTGGAAAAAATCTCAGCTAAGGGGCATTTAAATTGGAAAGCGATCTATAATGTTTAGGGAAAAAATGCATTGCCATGTTTGACTACCATACCAGAGGATATACCCCCCAAATGGCAATCTTAATAGGATGACCATTGATTAATGATGATCAAACGGTGGATGGAATGGGGTACCCTTTTTGCAGAGAAAACACCGTGAAAGTATGTGCATCCAGATATGTTTCATCACTAAACTGAGACTGATGGATGATGAACATCTTAAAAGAAAAAACATCACCGTGGGTTTTAGGGATCATCCAAGTATTGAATGTGTAGTGTGATCCTGGGCAAGACTTTTGCTGCATTCGGGGAGTCTGTGTGACTTTGCCCTGGCTGAATTCCCTGCCTTTTGTGGCCGATAAGTCAACTTGGATCCCCATTTCTTTCCGGAGAACTCTCGCATTTTTCTCTGGAGAAATCTCCCTTTTCTTGTTGCTTGAAGTTCAATATCCCTATGTTTGCTACTGAAACACTGCAATGTCACCCATTTTGCTGAATAATTTGACTAAATATCATGATTTTTGTTGGTTGAAGATCCCTTGGGCATAGCAAAAAACCGCTCCCGATTGCCCCGGCTGGCCTCACTGGGATCCTTCCGCACTCCTGGCCCGCCCTAGGATCCAGATGTATCGGCTGGTTGGTGCAATAACCATCTTGAAAAATATGAGTTCGTCAATAGGAAGGATTATCCATGATTATCCCATATATGAAATGGAAAATAAAAGATGTTTGAAACTTGAAACCACCAACCAGAAAGGGATTTTAAGAGTTCAACTACACAAATGCGGATTCAACCCTGGGGATATCTACACACAAAGGTGATGTGATAGGTCTGTTATTACTGGGCCAAACTGGGCACATCATTCATAGTAAAGCCGCGGAAAATATCTGGTACATCACGTAATCGAGGGGGTGTTTTATATATCGCGTTCCATTCCCGAACCTCGCTTTGCCTACCTCGGTCTTGGGGTGTGCCCAGCTAGTTTTGCAACGCCCATCATCCCGGGTACCTAGACCCTCAAAGTACCTTCAAAAAGGATAACTCACAAAACACGAACCCCTAAAATATGTCATAATTAACACTAATGAATCCGAAAATATCCGAACATGATTTCGGAAATCAAAGGAACTGGACATACCAATTTTAAAAAAGTATTGGTGACGTGAATGGGTCCAAGGTCCTTCGCATCTTTTCCAGCAGCCCGTCCTGTAGAAGGCGCGAAGTAGAGATCCTGGCGTCCAATATTCCCATGTATATGGTATTGATATTGATATCCATACATCCATCAATTATATCAACTATATATATATACATATCAATTACCCTCTGGTTGTTTAACATAGCCATGGATAATCACCATTTTTAATAGATAAACCTCTACAAATGGGCCATTTCCCATGGCCATGTTAAATAACCAGAGGGTATATCTTTATGGTTGGGACAAGGTGAGGCCACCAGTTATGTTTCTTGATTTATAAATCCATTCACTACAATTTTTATCCCCCACAAACTAGTGAACCAAGTGATGTGCGCAAGTGATGTGCGTCAACTTCGCTATCATAAATCAGTTGTTCCCATGAAATCCCATGAAATCTTCATCTTTGTTGGTTATATCCACCATTGTTCACTGGTTGAAACTTCCGACTGCCCTGGAGACACACCCTCGTTCTGCCGTCCTGGCTGTCGGCTCCCTCCGTGTCACCCTCCAAATTCCTGTGGTGCGGGCAGCTCGACACAAAAAACATGGACGTCACCACGACGAGATTGGATGTATCTGATGTGATGTGGTTTCCTCCATTTTTGTAAAGACCAAACTGACCAAACTATCACATTGCTGATGATATCCAATCATGACTCCATTATATACTCAATATTACCATTATAACCCAATCATGTATATCTATTTGGATTGTTGGCTATATAATTCATTCTATTTCAACAATAGATCATATATCCCTAGTATATCGGATTCGATTTTATTATTGTTATTGCTTGTAAAAAAAAACACACGCAAACAGCCCAGACGGATGATTTTAGTGTGAAGTGATATGATAGCCACAATCTTCAGATAGTTGATTATATCAATTAAATCCCAGATTCCCGTAACCTTCCAACCATATTCTAAATATTCCCTTACATTCCCTTACTATTCCAACAGTTATTGTTGCCCTTTACCAGTTTGAAGTCAGCAAGTCACCCCATTTATGGAATGATATCCCATGTATAACTAAACCATCAAAAAAAAAAACTCAGAAATAAGGCTCTACTGAACTCTCTATATATATATATTTTATTTGTATATTCTGAAATGTTCCTATAGCTATCCCCTGGGTTGCCTTAGCTATCCCCACTAGAACCCGCAAAAATGTCGTTCCAATCCCACACCTGGGACATCTCAGTTGCCAGCACGGATTGAAGAACTCCGGACGGGTGCCTGGGTGGCCAGGAGGACGCCCTGATGTATGTCGAAGTAGCAAGAAGACTGGTTCAGACAGTGTCTGGTGAAATGAGAATTAGGATCAAACAAGTGATTCAAAAACCAACAGAAAATAGGATTTAGACCCAAAAAAACTGAGGATTGAAGCAACAAAAATAAGGATTTCACAGAACCAGACAGGGGATCCATATAATCAACACAAATGAAATAAGCTCCAAGGTGGTTCAACCTGGGTTTTTAAGATCTCAAATTTGGGGGATCCTTGAATCAACATCTGTTCAAGACAACACTTGAATTGGCCCAAATATCAACAAAAATTAAACACAGATGTTGGGCCAAAATTGGGACATCTGTCGTTGTTGGAAAACCCGATGGCCTGCCAGGTCTTCCCCAGGGTCCACACGTTGGAATCCGATGCCCAGGACATCTTCATCCACCCTCAACAGCTCCTGAAAAACGGCCATGGTTTTTTTGTGGGGAAAATGTGAAGAAAAACAACCTGTGGATTAGATGGTTTAAAGATGTTTGAAACAAGATGGGATAACTTGGGAGTCATGAAATGTTTGCAATGAAATATGATTCTGAATTATCCATGGTTCAACTTAAAATGCTACTAGTATGTAGAACAAAATGGCTAACATTGGACTCTTGACATTCATTTTACCAACAATCATCGGGAGCCCGTGTTAGCAAAAATGGAAACTCAACACAAACAATGACCATGTTGCACAGCGTCGCCCTAAGTTCTGAATGGTGTTTCAAAGACATCAACCGGTTTTGGTAAACCAGCCCCATGGCTGGCTGGACGCAAAATATCCAAAGATTCAAGGGCCGCGAAACCCTGGAGAACAACAACATTCCGAATGGAAATTCAATCTAATGTACATATCTGGCTTCATCCATCAGCAATTTCCTATCATCCAAAAATGCTAAAAACGCTGAGTTCAATCATCCTCGAGAAAGCCCTGGATCATCTCGATCCGACGCGTCACCCGGGCGACCAGCGGCGCGCTCCGTGTCATTCTCGCCCTCAGGACGTTGCTTGGACAACTTCGACTGGAGCCCTGCGGCCCAGTTGGGCCCAGTTGGGTCGATGCTGCGATGGAACAGGGGCCCCAGTTGGGAATTGCTGAGGTGCAAATCACTCCAAGAACTAGGGTTCATTAGGGGTATATGTTATATATATATATGATATTTTATATATATAACTACAGTTAAAGGGGATAAACCAACTTATAACTGGGGGGCACCAGCCTGAACCACGTGTTCAGATAGCTTTGGGGAAATGATTCTCGCATCGATGGTGCCCTTGGCCAGTAGATATACTTAGAATTGCCATAAGCCCTAGTGAAATATGTGTGAACTAAATCAATTTAGCTAGCATAATCAACTATAAATCCCCATTTTGCTTGGTTAAATACACATGCTCTTAAGATATATCATCAGTTTTTTGTGGTGAAATACAGATTCTCCACATCAACAACCCCCAGCCTGGTCTTGGTCTGCGTGGCATGGCTAAGACACCATGCTGGCTGATGAGCTGCTGACTAATATGGCGTTGCTGGAAAGTGGTGGGCTGAAAGTGATGACTTGGATTGCAATACCCGGGCTATTAGTGGTCATTAGTAGTAGTATGACGTAGTAATTTTGACTCAATCCTGGTTCGTTTTGCAATTGAAGAATTGGGAAATGGTCGGATTGGATTCGAATGCTTCAATATTGACTGAATCATTAGTAATATTCATATGATTGCTGGTATGATACATCAATCAAGCGAGGAAAGAGGTATTACGACTATATAAATGCGCTCAAAGGGGTGCAGGATGATGGTTTATATGCAGCCTGTGATTTGTTGGATGAGTCGTGCGGATGAGAGAAATGTAAAGCAATTGCTTTGGAAAATTCAAACTCTAAGATCGCAGGAGCCTGCAATCCATGTCACGAGGTGGGTCAAGACTGGCTATGGAAAGCCGAGGATTGTGACTCAATCTATATATATATATAGATTTCTTGTTGGATTTCCAAACATATCCAAAAAAAATACATGAAGGCAAAGGCTTTATCAGTAAATTATCATTAATTATTCTGGCTGTGGTTTATATGATAATTTCCCATGATGTGCTATAGCAATCCTATAATATATATATATACATATGTGTACATATAATTTAACCTATATTTTTTCTATATATACATACATACATACATACATACATACATACATACATACATACATACATACATACATACATACATACATACACATAACTAGCCAGTATAACCCCTGTCATGAATCGCCATAATCTATGAATCGCCAGAATCTATTGTGGTAAGAGTCACTCCGTAAGAGACTGTTATAGTCAGTGGGAATTTTAATCACCTTTTTCGTGATCTTTATCCGAGAAAAAACCCTATCCATCAACATCCCATGTTTTCATTACAATGTATTACAATCCCATTAATACTTCCCCAATGAACCAATGTCAACCCCGGATGAAACTAAAACCATTGTTTATGAAAATTAGGGGGGTATTCCTCCAATAGTCATTCTCTGGTACTTTTTTATGTTACCTTCTCAATTAAACAGCCGTTGGGGGTTTATCAATCTGGGTTTGACATTATATCCTAGTACTTATATGCAATTACAATCCCATAAATAGATTCCCAATGAACCAACCCTATCATGTTATATCATCTTATATCCCTAGCGTTTCCATGTTTCAATGGCGTGCCCAAAACGCCGCCACGGCTGTTCCGGATTGGCTGCCGAACCGTTCTGCGGCACACGATGCGAGCGCCTGGGAGGTGCTGAAAACTCGCAGATTTATAGGGATTTACAAGGATGAAAATAGGGATTTATAGATTATTGGTGTTAATGGATGTATATAGATTTTATAGTATTTTTTGTTGGGTGTTAATGGATCTATGGGCTTTACCACAATGGATTTATGGATATTTATAGTATTTTTTGCGAATTTTATTGTTAATTTTATAACTAACCTGGTTAAGAAGGGATTTCCCATGATGGATCATGATAAACTCCATTGGATTTCCCATACTCGACTATATTTGAGGATAATGATATCTTAGGTAGAGGATACTGATTAAATATATAACAATATTAGTAGTCAATATCTATTTTAATAAGGTTACCCTTTGGTAATCAAACATGGCAATGAAAAATCTAAATTTATAGATATTGAAACAAAGATAGATACCCTCCGGGATTCAAACGTGGCTAGCTGGAAACCCCTGTGGCCCAAATGGAATATTCTTTATAAAGGAGAGATCTTCCATTGCCATGTTTGACTCCAGTGCCTTCATCCCAATCCCTTTTACCCTCTGGTAAACGTTTACATAACGAACTGGAAAGATCCACCATGCTATTTTTCTATATTTTTCTGGGTAAATCAACGAACTAAATAGCCAGTTTCAATAGCTATTTTGACATAACCACAAGGTATTTTCTTGATCAATTCACCATAAAGAGCCACGGCACCCAGCCGGGCATCCGCACAAGCACAGCGAGAGCTTGGCATCATCCAAGAAGCGCTCGGTGACGTCCTCGCCGAACCTCGCGGTGTTGCTTGATGTGTAAAAAAGCTGGAGCCCACCCCCAACAAAAACTAGTTTTGAAGCTTCAACGCCCCTAAAATGGCAGGTTAGTTAATGTTAAGTGACTATATAATGAGCTGTTCTATGTATACTTGGAACCTTCTTGGCGACTGTTTTGGATGGGTTACCTGATAGTTTGCGGGTCAAAACCCTCAAAATGGTGGTCATTGGGTTCAATCTAGACCGTAGTACAACATGTAGCATCCGCAGCGCACATCTTCTGTATGTCAAAAAATGACACCGGTGCATCAACCAAATATCAACTGTTTTTGTAAACTTCCCATTCCTGTCCGGCTTTGGTTGACACGAAATTAGCTCATGGTGGTTTATCAGGGAATGTTCGGGAATTCCAGATCATTTCCCATACCGGCATTTTTTCGTGCTGAAGTCATGGCTGGATCAGAATCTATGGCTGAATCTACATGGTGCTGCAGTTTCAATAGAATGCTGCGCTTGCGCAGCTACAATGCACGTATCTAAAAGAAACAATTGTCAGATGGTGTCAGCCAAAAATGCGTCATGAGCAACATATGGAGGGTTCATCCATTCTTGTTCCATTCTTGTTTGGGATTACCCTCTAGTACACGTTTACATAACGAACTGGAAAGATCCACCATGCTTTTAATGGGTAGTCATCAACTATTTTGATTGGGCCATTTTCAAGCTCGCAAACTGTTTGTTTACCGGAGGGTAGTAAACTAACATATAACTATGGAAAATCACCATGTTTAATGGGTAAATCAACTATTTCATTAGGGTACCATCCGTTTTCCCAGCGAAAAAAACCATCCTCAGCTCCAGACATCACCGCTACTCTGCCACGCTCAGACCTCGGATGGAATTGCTACGTTGGTGCAAAGAACTAGGCTAACGTTGGTAAGGTTATAAATTATAAACCATATATACATCATATTAAAGTAATATGATACTATTATCTATATTTGATTTACCCTTTGGTAAACGTTTACATAACTATGGAAATTCACCATTTTTTATGGGTAAATCAACGAACTAAATAGCCAGTTTCAATAGCTATTCTGACATCACCAGAGGGTATAAACCATGAAATAAACCAACATGGAGCTGGGGGGATGGGGGGATGGGGTTCAGGAAGAACTAATGTCATCAACTGGGTAAGCATAGCCAACAACTAGTTGTGGTAGATAGGATTACAAAAGATTACAAAAATATATATAGCTAAATATATTATTCTGATAGAAACAACAAACAATTCGGGCACATGGCCAAGAAGTAACGAAGAAACTGCAACTATTTTTTTTATGTTCATCTACGCCCAGGCAATGCTTAGAAGTTGGATCTGAAACATGATGCAATGCTTTGTTCATCACTATGTTTGTTTATCACCTACTACATAAAACATGATTTGAGGCACTTGTGGCAAACAAGACATGAGGTTCCCAAACATTTGGAGTTCCCCATGTGAAATTTCGGATGTGTAAGTGCTGTTTTTTGTTGGGGACTCGTGACATGTTGGAGCCCTGTCTCTGGACCCCCATGACCTGGAATAGGGATTCCTTCAGCTTTGATCGACACCAACCTTCTGTTGGGCTGAAAAATACTATATATATATATACACTTTATATATATGCTATATATATATACTATATATATACATACTGTACATATAATATGTATATATGTATATATATATATGTATACAATCTATAGTAATTTTGCCCGGTAGTCAACCGTGGTGGTGAAATGATGTAAAACCCGTATCTGCAGTTGGCTTCTGCAATTTCCAACGCACATATCCATCAAATCGCCAGAATTGAGGATGCACTGCTGGGTTCGATATGATTCTAGGCTATTAGATTATGGTCAAATACAGTACTATATTATATTTATATATATTATATATATATATCTGGTTGGTGGTTTCAGCCCCTCTGAAAAATATGAAAGTAAGTTGGGCTGATTCTTCCCAACTGAATGGAAAAATAATCCAAATGTTCCAAACCACCAACCAGATTACCCATATTTCGAGCAAAAGTATATAAAGTACCCAATGAGTTCCCCAGTAGTACTCAATCCCTACTAGATTTTCGAGTTCATGTCCCATCCGGTTGAGCAATGAAAAATACCCCTATCCCATCCAATTGTACTGGTTGGTTGGGAAATAATCTATTTGGATTATCAGAATAAACATCAATAAACATCAATAAACCAATTGATGAGTATAACCCCCAACGGCCCCAACAAATTAACCCATCAACCCTCGGTATTTTTCATGGCTTAGTTGTCATCATCTGAGATCCCCTACCGTTTGGAGCCGATACCATGGTGGGGGTCGGCCTCAGATGTATGGCTTTCCGCAGCAAGGAAACCACTGGGCACGTGTCTTGAAATGGGGAAGTTTCGCCCAAGTTATGCTGATTGGTGGTGTCAACCCATCTGAAAAAATATGGCTGAAGAAACATGTTTGGCACCACCAACCAGTATGGCAAGTTTTACCACAAAAAGGACAGTTTTTCCCCACCTGCCAGGTGAGGGTTGTTAGATTTTATGTCAGTTGCCTCCTCCTCCTCCTCCTGCTCCTCCTCCGCCTCCTCCTGCCTCCTCCTCCTCCGCCTCCTCCTGCCTCGTCCTCCTCTCCTCCTCCTCCTCGTTCTCCTTATCGTCCTCGTCGTCCTCGTCGTCCTGGCTCAACTGCGATCCGCGATCCACAGTGTTCTCTGCCGGACCTCAACCACGACCACCCACGCCCAGTGTTCCCTGCCGGACCTCAACCACGACCACCCACGCCCAGTGTTCCCTGCCGGACCTCAACCACGACCATCCGCGCCCAGTGTTCCCTGCCGGACCTCAACCACGACCATCCGCGCCCAGTGTTCCCTGCCGGACCTCAACCACGACCATCCGCGCCCAGTGTTCCCTGCCGGACCTCACGACCATCCGCGCCCACCCCTGCGGAGTGTTCCCTGCCGGACCTCATGTAGGAAGATATGGGACAAAGAATGTGCAGAAGAAAGTTAGAAAGAATGTCAGAAAGAATGTCAGAAGATATGCCAGAAGATATGCCAGATAGAATGCCAGAAGATTTGCCAGATAGAATGCCAGAAAATATGCCAGAAGATATGCCAGATAGATATGTCAGAAGATATGCCAGATAGATATGTCAGAAGATATGCCAGAAGATATGCCAGAAGATATGCCAGAAGATATGTCAGAATATATGCCAGAAGATATGTCAGATAGAATGCCAGAAGATATATGTCAGAATATATGCCAGAAGATATGCCAGATAGAATGCCAGAAGATATGTCAGATAGAGTGCCAGAAGATATGCCAGATAGAATGCCAGAAGTTTTGCCAGATAGAATGCCAGAAGATATGCCAGAAGATATGCCAGATCATATGCCAGAAGATATGCCAGATAGAATGTCAAATAGAATGTCAGAAGATATGTCAGATAGAATGCCAGAAGATTTGCCAGTAAGAAAATGTATAAATGTCATGGTGGGGATCACACGAAGTAAAGTAATTTAAACCTGTGGATTTCGGGACATTCGATCTTGTGGTTGGGAGACCCTTCAGTTCTTGAATGGGGGAACCAATGGTTAAACAGGATTTACAGTACCCAACTTTGAGAAACATATTTTCTCTATAAGCATCTGCTTCACCATTAAATTATAATTACTTAATTATTTACACACCAAGACGTGATGTTTTACCAACTGCAACTAATCAAAGCGATATGAATTTCTACAAATATCTCCATGACCAAGTGGCCCAAAGCGCATCGAACAAGATCTCCTCTTGCTCTGTCCACGCTTTGCCTCCGTTGAAAGGGGCAGCCGTTGGGGGTTCTGCCGCTGCTTTACTAGATGACACAAAAGAAAACATAGGATAAAACTGGCTTTTCACACCACATGGGACACAGATCTCCTATGATTTCTATATCAACGGGGCCAGCTTTCCCCAGCTTTCCCAAGCAGAGATCCTCATTCCACATGCTGAAGACAGTCACTTTGATGACTTGGCCTTGTTCCATTTCCTCCTTGTTCAAAGGATTGGGATAGTTCCGCTGCCAGTGCACCTGCCACGGTGCGACTCGAAGGTGAAAAGTATTGGAAAAATCCAATGATGAAGGGATATGGGGATACTCCAAGTACTGTGGTTTCCACATCAGATATGGGGAAGACCTCAGACCTCTGACTTGGATATGGCGGGTTCTCAAAAAAAAATTGTATCTAGAAAACATGTTGTGGACTTTGTGAAGTGAACGGCCCCCAAGTAGACCGCGCACTGGTGAAGGACAGCCGCCGCAGCAGATGCCAACACGACCACACCAAGGAAACAAAAGGCCGAAGGCCGCCTAAGAGACCACACAACCCCAACAAAAAGGGGGAAAAAACAACCAAACCAAACCAACCCACCAGCCAACCCCACACAGGCACAGACCAGAAGCCCACGCCCACAGGAGCTGATCGCAGGCAGGAGCGGATAAGAACACCGCACCCATCAGCACAAGGCAGAAAGGCACCAATGGCAAGTCGGATGCTGGGCGAACAAGCAAGCAAACAAGTCAATCATGGACATGCGACCAGATAACCTTCTGAACGCGCACAAGCCAAGCTTGGACAGCAACATTATCAACAGCCCGATTGGTGATAGCCCATCCGAAACGAGAAGACAAAAACTCTCCAGGTTTAGGAGGAATCACCAAATCGATCAGTGAATCGATCGGCCTGCAAGGACAACTCCAAGCAATATGGTCAAATGTCCCAAGCTGAGAACAACCGGGCCAAACACATGTCAAGGGAACACCAGCAAGACGGCCACCGAGTGCCGCAGGCGAATTGCAACCGCCAGTGCAAATCGTCCGGGCTTCGGGGCAAGAAGCGGCGAACTTCCGAGTGGCTTCCCAATCAATGCTGCGAAAATAACCCGTGTCACCAAAGCAATCAAGGGCCGCATCCCGCCTCGACGAGGCATTGTGACGCTGCAAGCACCAAGCACGCCAAGCATCCCGGACAATGTGTTGACTGGCACCAGCATCGCCAGCAACAGACAAGTCCAAGAAGTGACCAGTCAAGTCATGATGCCAAATCCATGGCCGCCGAAGAACCCAACCATGCGACACAAGCCAAGCATGCAACGCACGACACGGCGAACCACCAACACTGCTCCACAACAAAGAACGTTTCTTTCGCAAACGACAGAAAATGCCAATCAACTGCGTAGCAAATAAAATGTCCAAATGCATGCCGCCGCCCCAAAGAGCCGCGCGCAACCAAACAGCAGCCGACCGCAGCCGGCGGCTGCCAACATGAACGCAACTCCACAGGCGAGTACACAGGCTCAAAGGTGGAGCATGCGCAATCCAACCGTAAGCAACCTTGGAGACAGCAAACTGCCGACAAGCTCTCATGTAACGCTCGAAGGGCAACCGAGCGCACGCCAACAACACCAAGACACGCTTACAAGCATCGACCCGACTGGCTTCTTTAGGAAGAAGACCTCTGCGAGAGACCATGCTGCAAGAGCCAAGCAATTCCATATCTAGAAAACATCCAAGTTCGTGGTCCTCTTTGATGCGGAAACCAATGGTGATAATTCTCCGTATGGATGTGGGTTCCCCAAAATCAGAATCAGCAGAATCAGGAGCACAAAGTAGTTTCAGACATGCGGCATGTGTGTTTGGTGTCGGCAAATCAGATTTACCCCTGTCATCCCCTGTCTCAAAATTTTGGGTAGGTGAAAGATCCATGACATCGTGAGACATGGCAGCCCGGTTGATTGGTCTGGATCCCCCATGGATTGCCGCTGGCCTTGGGTAACTCTCGCAGCATCTCTAAATTCACGGAGGGGTTCCTGAAGAGCCCTCCATGCCTTGGCGTCCGGAATGGTCTGGAATGCCGTGGCTGTGCTGACTGGAATCGGAGGCTTAGATCTAGAGATTGAAGCCTAGAGCAAAGGCCAGGTCATTCTAACTTATACTGTAAAACGTCTCTTGGATTTCAGGCAAGTCCATGCTCACTACCGGAGAAACCTGAAATGGGCGCTATACCAAGTCATTTCACCAAGTGGGCCTACCTGAAGACTCTCGCGGAACAACCCCTAAAAGATGAATTTCCTCAAATTTTTGAAATGGCCTGTTTGTAGTTCTCCATCTTGCTTCTTGCAATCCACTACCCCTAACTCGGAACACGACTCGGGACGCCGCGGTGGCGCTCTGAGGACTCCCGCACTACAAAGATCTCTTTCTCGATGACAGCGAAGAGTGGGAGGAGTTTGAACCTGAAATCCCAGAAATTCCCAGCAACATCCCAGGGCCTACCCCAGGGCCTCCCTGTGTTTTGGACCGAACATGGTGTCAAGCGGCATGCGCTGGAAGGCGGCCAACAAGGAATGGTTGTACTTCCCGAGGCACTCCTGGACCAACATGGACGGCATGGTGTAGCCCAGATTGGGAATCCAAACATCATGGGTATACAATATGTATAAATAATGGGTATACGGTATATATAATATGTATAAATATGTATATAATATGTATATAATATGTACAGTAGATCATGGATGATAATGGTATTGTTAAACTAATATAACTAACGAATCCTGTCAATGGGTCAATGGGTATCATGGGTATATAATATCATATAATATATGGTTAAACTATGATATAAATCCTGTCTTTCTTGGTGTTCCTGACCATCCACTTCTGGAAAACATTCAGAACGCTTTGACCCTGGCAAGTATGGGTTGAATCACAGTTTTTTGCTGCTTGAATCCCTAGTTGTTGTTGCTTCAATCAACATTTTTGATGGCAAAAAGAAACTCTTCGGCATCTTTTTGGGGGTTGTTATATGGATATTTCCAATCCGGTGGGGGTACCCCAATAGCTGGATGGTTTACAATGGAAAATCATGTTAGAATGAAGGATATACAGTAACTGGGGGTACCATGGTTTTTTTTGACCTCCATACATTGAACCCTATGAATGGATGACTAATTCAGGTCGTTTTTATTGCGCTCACAACTTCAGCCGTCCTCTGAAAATCCACCGCCCATCTTCCAAGGCCTGTCGCGGATCCGACGGATCCGACGGATCCGACGGATCCGAGGCCATCCATAGCTGACCATCAAAGCGGGTCCCAAAAATCGAAGCGACTGGGAGGTGTCCGTTTTGTCATGTGTGAAAAAACCCTCTGGTTATTGAAAATGGTGATGAGTTCAATTAGTTCGTGGATTTTCCCAGAAAAATAGCATGGTGGATCTTTCCAGTTCGTTATGTAAACGTTTACCAGAGGGTACCCCAAAATATCCCAAAATCATCCAGTCGTCAGAGATGACCATTGTATTGAAACCAATGGTGATGACTGGGGATCCCCCATTTTGGACAACTTCCATGTGGCTGTGTCTTCAAACTGGATATACCATGATGTACCCCTAACACGGTCATATGCTGGAATGATGAACCAGTGGATGGAATGGGGTAGCCATTCTTTCAGACAAAACCATATGTAAAAATAAAAGGGGTAATTCGCCAGATTTATGGCTCTCATTGGCCATCAATGAGACAAATGATGATTCAATCATATTCAATCATTGGATTTGGGGCACCCAATTCCAACAACAAACCATAACAAACCCACATGCGGAAGAATTTTCATCCCAAAACTGGGGGGAAGTCCAACAGCAAGTTGGGTTCATGTGCCACTTTCATCCCGGGATATCCCACCTGGAAATCATCTGATCGTTCTCATGGTTTCCGCGAAGCACAAAGACCTAAGACGAAGGGCCAGGCGATGGAAGTTGCCGGGAGAAATCTGGTGGCTGGTCCAAGTCAGTATTGATGCAGGGAACAGACTCCAAAAAACTGGAGACGAGATGCTAATGTACCTCATTTTCAGGCAAAGCTGGCCAATCTCACTTGGACATTTGTCTTGACATGTGGGAGATATTCCAATTTTAATCCACTCCAAAATGATTAATCCCATTCAGCCAGATTGATGGTGGATGTAGGGGATGATCCACTTTTGGCTGATCAAGGACCTACCTAAACAGCACCTCAAAGCACCGTAAAAACATGACGAACCATATCCATATTGGGGCCTCAACCTATGACAAATGAGTTGCCCCTCTGGTAAACTAACATAGCGCAAATGGCCCATTTGTAGATTCTCTGCCTATTAAATATGGTCATTTTCCACTTCGCAAACTCTTAGTTTACCAGGCCGGGTATAATAGATGTGAATACCCATGTTATGTCGCTATCACTGGGACATGTTTTTTTTGGAACACATGATGTTGACCCCCATTTCCTTCACCAGCTTCTGGGTCCCCAGGCACTCTGCGGATGCGACAACCTCGGTGCAGGGAAGTTACGGCATCGATGGTTCCAGTTTCAACACATCCAGATATCTGTCAGATGTACTCCAAAATCCCTAGAATTCGCTTGGTTACCTGTCCCAAAGGTGTATGGAAGATATGGAAGATATGGAAGATATGGAAGATTGGGGGTTGTTATTGGTATTTAAAACCGACCTTTTTCTGAAGCAAAACTAGCCAGACCTTCCAGCCTGCTCCTTCCGGGTTTCAGTGGCGCCAAATCGGAAGGTGCTAGTCATAAATCTTCAATGCACAACAGTGATGATCAGAATGTGCTGGGAGAAGAAGAAGGAAAAGAAGTACAGAGACAAGAAGAAGAAGAAGAAGAAGCAGAAGAAGCAGAAGAAGCAGCAGAAGCAGCAGAAGTAAGAAGGACAGGAGGCGGCAAAAGAAACATAAAAATAGAAGGACCGAATTCGCACCAGCCATTCTTGAGGATCTGAAACCTGCTCTGGGCGTAGATGTGTCCTGGGGGACCATGCTTGATCTACCCGGTTCTGTTGCTTGATATCTCCACGTTTGCTTCTTTGATTCCCAATTTCATGCCCTCTGCGTATTTAATGTAGCTATGGTTTTTATCGCAATTCGCTATAGGCAAATCATCATAAATCATCTTATCTATCATGGGCCATTTTCCAGTTCGCTATGTTAAATCCTCAGGTTTTTCCGGGCCAAAAAACACCATTTTTCATGGCCAAAAACCGCTGAAATCTGCCGCTGAGTTCTCTCCCCCGATCTCCACTCTACGCCCAGGCGCTTGAAAGCGATGACTAAGAGCCAAATCTCCACGGCATAGCGGCCGCGATCTGCGGGACCATTGGAACCATCAAAAATTCCATGGGTTTTTTTCATCGTTTTTTTAGCATCAAATAATCATCAAATAATAGGGAAGTTGATGATTAAGAGGTACTAACTTGGTTTGAACAATTGGAACACTAACATAGCTATGGTCCCGGTATGGGGATATCATGGGGATACACTGGGATATTTCATGAGATAGCCAACAAATTGATTACCCTTTGGTAATTTAACATTTTGCTAGGGAACATCACCTTTCAATAATAGGTAAATCACCGAACCACACATACGGCACTTTCCACAGCAAACTGCCAAAGATTAGTGGAGGATAAGTCCTCAATTCGTGCGAAAATGATGGAAAATCACAACGGAAATCAAGAACAAAGCTGGAGTCAACGTGTTTCAGACTTAACATCACAAAAAGAAAATGTATGTATCGATTTATATATCACAAATCAAACTTATCAGAATCATAAACTTCATCAACCGGTCTTTAATATCACAAAAGCGCAAACTGTATGGATTTGCATTGGTCTTGAAAACAAAAGAATGTATCATGGATCGCACCCTGTTTGTTGAATACAGTACTGGCCACACAACTCACACGCACTCTCTGATTTTTTCACGCGTTGGTGATCCGGTGATTGCCTTCAAACTTTGCTTCAAACACAAGTCTGGGTCAAAATTCTGCACACCACTAACTGTTTTGTAAAGCAAGTGTAAAAATCAGCTGCATACTAGATTGATATATACTATATATACTAGTAAATTAATATACTATAATATATTCAGTTGTACTATTGATATATATATATATGCTATATATCACTAATATACGAATTATTGTTGATATATTAGTGATATATATATATACATATATTAGTGATATATTAGTGATACTATTTGAGGACCTCAACTCAACTAATTATTGGGAGTATTGTATATACTAATAGTTGAGTTGAGGTCCTCAAATCAGCGAGACACGTGGCTTGAGTTGAGGTCCTCAGATTTTGACCCAGTCGGACTGGCGTTTTCTTCAGACGGTTCCCCCGGTTCCCCCCCGGTGATGTCCAGTGATTTGTCATTTAAATGATGACATAATTTGGAAGATCATATTTAATATACATATATAATCATATATATACATATAATTTAAACATAATCATATAATTGACATAATTTGTCATGTTCCACATTCAGATTGCCAATTTGTTCAAGGATGTTGAGACAAGCCGCTTAAAATGATTATAATAGGAACCCAGGGAATCGTGGGCTTTCAACCCAGAGTCTGACTTATGTACAATTGCATAGGTTAAAACTGCCTTAGAACTTATATACGACATATATATGACATATATACGACATAAAACCCGTCGATGGGTTGTGCACATCCTCGATCATGTTGGATCACTCCCAACTGGACGGTCTCCGACAGTTCAACAGCTCTAGATTCAGGTTCTTGGATAAATGCCCAGTACTGGACATTTCAGAAGTTCTACACAAATCCACAATTCTGGCCGACGGATTGGCTCTGCAGACTGATGCGAATAACTGTCCATCGTGCAAAACCACTTGAACCCTTTGGCGGCTTGCGTTCAGCTCAAGTGCAATGCGGTTGTGAATATCCACAGCCAGGTCAGAGCAATGTGTCCTTAAGCGCAAGACCTCATGCCCAGCCAAATTCCAGCATGTCAGCAGCGCTACATCATCTTCAGCAACCAAATCCAGTTGGAACACGTTGTCTTTGCCTGATGGTCCATGATCGCAGATGTAGCGGCGGCCGGAGGGTGCCATACTTAGAAGCTCCAGCCACGACTTCAGAGATGGAATCTGGCACTGACCAAAGTTCTTCATTCCAAAACCAACGGCACGACCATCACTTTGGAGAAGCACCGTATGAAAGCCACCGGCGGACACCTGGATGTATGACATTCCATCAGCTAAGCATGGAATGTTGCATTCTCCATTGGAATTGCTCCCACAAGCAACGGCGTGACCATCGCTCCGAAGAAGCACTGTGTGAAAACCACCTGCAGATACCTGGGTGTAAAAATGGCCTTCATCCAACGGTGGAATACTGCATTGACCATAGATATTATGTCCACAAGCCACGGCAGTGCCATCACTTAACAGAAACACCGTATGAAATTCCCCAGATGAAACCTGAATGTACGACACTCCCTCGGCGATGCGAGGTATGTCGCATTGTCCATGGACGTTCCACCCAGAAGCTACAGCACTGCCATCACTCCGAAGAAGCACCGCATGAAATCCCCCTGCAGCAACATGGGTATAGCACATCCCCTGAGGTAAATCTGGAAGAATGCATTGACCATGAGAATTACTTCCGCAAGATTCCGCTTGGCCATCACTTCGGAGAAGCACAGTATGGCAGCCGCCTGCAGAAACCTGACAATGGCAGCTTGCTCCACTCCCATGCCGTGGAATGTCGCACTGTCCAAACTCATTCCTTCCACAAGCCACGACATGGCCGTCGCTTCGAAGAAGCACGCTATGACCATTTCCTGCATCGACCTGGATGTAGGAGATTCCCTCATCCAGAGCTGGGATATTGCATTCTCCAAAATGATTCAATCCACAAGCGACAGCACGACCATCACTTCGAAGAAGCAGCGTGTGAGACTTGCCTGCTGAAACCATGGGTCAGCTAAGCAGTCTCAAAAAGACTGCCGTTGCTTGATGATTATAGAGTGGGGTTATACATTATATATATATACCTAGGCCTTCCGCAGGCCGCTTTTTCAGCCCGAAGCTGTTCAGGCTGAAATTTTAGCCCGAATGGTTTTTTTCCGCTTGGGGTGGTTTTTTCTGCCCGATTGTGTTTTTAGTGATTTTGATGATGTTTGGTTAAGATGCCCGCTCACACTATATATTGTTGATATATTGTTGATAACAGTGTTAAAGAAGTTTACTGTTTTACATGAAAATCTCATTTCGGGTGTTTTCGCCTGTTTCGTGGCTGTTTTCGTCCGTTTCGTGGGTGTTTCCGCCCGAAAAAAAAATAAAAATAAACACCAGCATAAAAAAACAGCGAACATCATCCACAGAGCATTTCTTTTCACCTGGATCGTCCACCAGGATCTTATCAGAATACCTCAAAATATGGATAAAATCACTTTCCGCCTGAGTTTTCAGTTTCCGCCGCAGGCTGATATTTGAGGTCAGGCTGAAATTCAGGCCCTTTGGAAGATACATGTATATATGTACACTAGCCTAAAAGGACCTAAAAGGATACGTGATCCATTATGGGGATGCCCATCCATTCATTGGTTTTTGCACCTGGCTCCAGTGGCTCTAGCAGAAACAAGACTGTCTAGGGAGATCCCGGAGATCCCAGCATCTCAAAAATCTCACATGGAACAAACCCCATGACGGATCCATGGTGCTGGTATATATGCTAACATAAAGGGGTATATTGATGGGATCCATGTTACCATATATAGCATACATGGATCCTATGGGAACTAATAAGAATTTGAAGGAACATGTTCAGGACTTGATGGCCCGTAGTCTTTGGGGAATCCAATCATCAAAGGTTTTAGATAGCCGTTCAGCGGGTAGGCTTCTCCCAAAAAAAACATGGAGAAATGATCTGATATTGACCTGAAAGGGACTCCAAAAAAAGCCTTGAAAGCAGCAATCAGGTATAGCATGATACAGCTGGTATACCTATATCAAAAAAAACAACATGGCAACATCCCCCGTGCCTACAATGTCTCCGTTGAAGACGTAAGCCACCTGCAGGCTGGAACTTCGGGTTCCTGTAACCCAAATGACACTTGTTTGGAAGTTGTAAAGCCATTAAACGGAGGTTTAACCACCAAAGAGAAGCCGTCAGATCATATATATATATATGCATATCATATATATATATATACATATGCATATCATATTATATATATACAAATATTGATTATGAATTATCTCTATATATATAATTATGTGTGACATTATATTTTTCAACTTTGAAATTATGCTGAATTATGGTGGAACCAGTTCCAGCATCAAATTGTCGCCAGCATTTCTGAAAGACGAGAATCGACGGCCAAAAATGGTTTGGCTACCATGACCATATTATGGGTGGTATAAACATGTATAAACCATCCCAAATGGTACCCTCTGGTGAACTAACATAGCAATTGAAAATGGCCCAGTCGAAATAGTGGATTTTCCCATTAAAAATGGTGGATCTTTCCATAGCAAAATGTTAGTTCACCAGAGGGTAGGTTCAGTGTTGAGTTTACCAGTTTACCACCCCGCTTTTGATGGTTGCACCGCCAGATGTAGGTCACGGTCACGAATCTCTGTTGGTCCATCGTTGAATTCCGTCGTGACGAAGCTCTGGTCTCACCATAACATGGAAATGAGGAAACGGGAAGAGGAGGCCGTTTCCAATGATATCTATTTACTTTCTATATATATATATATATCTCTGGGTAAATTATAATAATTCACTAACCTGGGATGATTTGGCCATTTGGGGATGATTTCCCTTACTAACCATGATTCCAGTGAGATTTACCCAGATATATATATTCAAATATATTCCATATTAATACTTCCTATTCTATGTTCTATAATTACATGTCTGTTCCATGATTTCCTTCGTGAAATGTGACCAGTGTTGGCAACAAGAAAACGCGCGAGTCGGAGTCGCCTCTTCAGAGGGAGGCCCGTGTTCTTCAAAGACGTGAAGTATGTCCTGGCCGAATCCTCGTCCCAGCTATGACATACGGTATAACCCACTTCTATACATAATGGTATATATATATATGTATATTTCATTAAATATATATATATATAGATAGATATTATCTATAGTCTACATCGGATATTGCCCGTTTTTGATGATCAAAACCACATACCTGTATCCTTCCTTCGTTATATGGTTCCATGAATCCCAGTGTTTTGCAATGCGGCTGGCTACCTGTAGCTGTCCATGGAGGTCGCCCACCACCACCAGGCGTCGGTCATCACCTACCTAGCCAGGGAAATATCAAGCGGTTCTGAGTAAAGTATAATTCTTATATGGAGGTTGCTATACATGATATTCTTTGGGATCATATCCAGAAATGTTGGAATAGAACTCCAACCACATATATTCTTGGTATGTGTCTAGATATATGGAGGTTTCCTAAGTCATGGGGGTACCCCTAGTTATCATCCATTTTAATAGGATTGTAAATTATAAACATCCAGCTATTGGGGTACCCCAATTTTAGGAAACCTCCATACGTTCTTATAGTTCTAATACAACAGATCCCTTTTTTAGACTCGTAATCAGCATCTGATAGGAATTATCTGATAGTAAGTATAACACAATAGATTTCTATCATAAGGTCATTGTAGTTCTAAAAAACAGATCCCCATGGTAGTTGTTTGGAAACCATCCCGCAAAACGATGATGATTATGGCAGAATGTCCAGGGCCAAAAACTACTCTAATATCTGTTTGGGGGTGCTATAAATAAATGGGTTTCATGAAAAAATAAGGAACATCATGTTGTCAAAATGTATATCATACTTGGGTTTAATCAATCTACAAATCAAAAAATGGATTGAATAGATCTAATTGGGACTTGTATAATCAGAAAGGTACATTGATAAATGAACCGTCCTAATTGGTTGTCTAAGTTCAAAACTGATAAGTCAGTTTGTTGGAAAATTCCAAAGATTTTTTTAAAGCTACAATTGGATCTACTTGGGCAAATCCCTGAATTTCGAAAAGAGGCTTTCCCGTACTTTCGTATTTATATTGGTGGTTCAACCCAGTTATAGTAAGTTAGCTCACTCCAGTTCCATAAGGTAAGTAAGGCTAGTTCAGTTGTAACATGTCCTGGGGCGGACTAACCCAATTCGCCTCCGATCATCAAACATGGCAAAAAAAAAAATCAATGATTCTCCCACTGCAAATTCATGGAGGATTTCCCCACTGTCCCCATGTTGGATTCCCATCCGGAGTCGGGTTTTCAGAAGAGGAAACCCCCGAGTTTTCGCCGCCAGGATGTTCCGACATCCGCAACCTGAGGTAGGCTCACGTCCAACACCGGGGATTTTAGAGCCTGGCGTCCAACATTTGTGGGCGATGGCACCTGTGAATGGAAGGTATACAAATCATGTCAACATATTTAGAATGTCACAAAGTTGAATATAGCGCAATCTATGTATACTATATATATATATTATACACAACATGCAACACAAATATATGTATATGTATACATATATATATGTGGGTGTGTCTGTGTCATATGCGTACCCATAACCCAGAACATGGAATGAACTGCGACTAAGCTCTGGGTAGTTGTGAATTCAACATCTGCAGGGACTGGGAGTCATTGATGGACCAGCGATGTACCATGAAGGGAACAGTTCAGTTGTAATGATGAAAAAAAAACAGATGAAAGCACATTGGATATAATTCCGGAAATCTGGTTTCACTAGGCTTGGATTGAAAAAATTGCGGTTTGAGAATAATCAAAGCTACAGATAGATTCAGATAGATCATAGTACTTGGATTTCCTTAAGGTTCCCATCCTCCCAACTAAAAACATATGGATTCCCGAATTTCAACGTATTTCACATTGGGAAAGTTGAAAAACAAATCACCTTCAACAATACCCATGCAGAAAACCTACTTAACATGTGTTCCATGATTTTTCCCGGGATTTTCACATTAAAATTAAAACCTCCATTGCGGTGATTTCTCATTGCTATCCCCCGTGGATCTCTCCAATCGTCTGAGAGGTCCGGCCTGCAATTCCCCCTCCATGGCTATCACCATGTCCTCTGCCTACAGATTCACAGGTGATTGGGCCAAGAAATCGGACAATTTGAATGGTGATATGATGGGTATGTATGTATGTATGTATGTATGGTATGGTATGGTATGGTATGGTATGGTATGGTATGGTATGGTATGTATGTATGGTATGTATGGTATGTATGGTATGTATGGTATGTATGGTATGTTTGGTATGTATGGTATGTATGGTATGTATGGTATGTATGGTATGTATGGTATGTATGGTATGTATGGTATGTATGGTATGTATGGTATGTATGTATGTATGGTATGGTATGGTATGGTATGGTATGGTATGGTATGGTATGTATGTATGGTATTGTATGTATGGTATTGTATGTATGTATGTATGTATGTATGTATGTATGTATGTATGTATGTATGTATGTATGTATGTATGTATGTATGTATGTATGTATGTATGTTGTATGTATGTATGTATGTATGTATGTATGTCTGTGTGTGTGTATGTATGTATGTATGTATGTATGTATGTATGTATGTATGTATGTATGTATGTATGTATGTATGTATGTATGTATGTATGTATGTATGTATGTATGTATGTATGTATGTATGTATGTATGTAGTATGTATGTATGGTATGTATGTATGGTATGTATGTATGGTATGTATGTATGGTATGTATGTATGTATGTATGTATGGTATGGTATGGTATGGTATGGTATGGTATGGTATGTATGGTATGTAATGTAATGTATGTATGTAATGTATGTATGTAATGTAATGTATGTATGTAATGTAATGTAATGCAATTTAAATGTATGTATGTATGTATGTATGCTTGTATGTTTGTATGTTTGTATGTTTGTATGGTTGTATGTATGTTTGTATGTTTGTATGTTTGTATGTTTGTATGTTTGTATGTTTGTATGTTTGTATGTTTGTATGTACGTACGTATGTATGTCTGTATGTGTTTATGTGTGTATGTGTGTATGTGTGTGTATTCATGTATGTATGTATGTATATATATATATATATTTGGTCAGCGCTATATGCATATATATATATATATATTATTGTTATTATTATTACTTATTATTATTAATTATTACTAGGATCATTATTCTTATTATATATACACATGTCATTTGGATATAGCTAAAAAATAGGTATAACCCCCTCCTCCATTTATGGCTATTTTCACTGGGAAAATGATGATACACCAATAAACACCAACTGGATCCTCACAATTTTTGTCACGACTTGGGAATAAAGATTGTGATTGAAGAAACCCAATGTGGTGATACAATGCGATATATGTAGGATCATATTCATAATGGGATCATATAACAGGAATAAACAATGTGAATATATATATATATACTATGGGATATCATATGATATCATCATCCACCTTGCACCCTGAGATCTTGCGTTCTTTTGTCAGGTTCAAACCTTAGCATTTACGAAGCGCATTCGCCAGGTCGGCCCTGACCAAAAATGTACGCCATATGGGGGCTTCCATAGTCATGGGGGGCACCCCAATAGCTGGATGGTTCATGATTTGGAACATAAAAAAAAGATGCTTTGGGGGTACCACCATTTTAGGAAGCCCCTATATAGTATGTTAATGTATGTTGTGTTCTCCTATTCCATAGTATGGATCCAGCTTGATCTAAGTAGGTAAACATTTCTCCATGCAAATCATTACAGTGTATTAAAAGTATCAAAATTACCAATTTCTCCAGCCAAATTGGCCACTAGTGGTCTTTGATATCTCTCGCCGCAACCCGAAACGGCGCACCCGTTCGGCAGACACTGGCGGCTCAAAGGGATTCCTGGTGGAAGAAACTTGGATCGGGCACCAGCCAGGGAAGAAGGATGGTTGAACCAATTTGGGGGTTTCCATAACTGGGGATACCCGGGTACCCCTATTTCAGGAAACCTCCAATTCTACCGAACCTAAAATGATGATGCAGTGGGTTTCCATAACTGGAGATATCATGGCACAATGGAGGAACATGATGTTTCTTATTCCTGACAAGTCATAGAGATAGATTCTATGGTGGTTTCCATAAATGGGGATACCCCAATTGCTGGATGGTTTATTTCATAGAAAATCCGAAAATAAAGTGGATGATAACTAGGGGTACCCCCATGACTTAGGAAACCTCCAAATATGTAGTGGGTAGTGTCCAATTTGTGGATGATTCTTGGACTATTGTTTATGGCTTTGATGGTTTGACCCAACCAAAATGAACCAAATGGACCAAATGGACCAAATGGACCAAATGAGGGATGTTGCTTCGCTGATTTATGGTGAATTCACCATAGGGACGATGATTCACTGCACAGAAATCCAACGATTGTGATGATGATAATCCCTAAAAAACCCTGAAAATCCCAGAAAACAAAAACAAATTATCATCATCCGTCTCTTCAACTTGGGGGGGTTCCTAAGTCATAGGGCTACCTCAAATCATCATCCAGTCGTCGTCACCGGTTAATGGGTACCTCCTGAGCCGTTCAAAGAGTTCCATGGCCACCATGGCTCCTTCGGAGCCTCGACGGTGACGGTGTTTTGTTGTGGGGAAAATGGGAGATCTTTATATTGGGATTTACAATGGGGTTTATTTATATGTCAATATATATATATATATAATATATGAATGGAATTTTGGGTGAGATCCCAGTAATGGGGTTTTTGGTGGGATGCCGTCTAGATACATGTCAATTGCATCCAAATATGTACTCTTGGTTCAACTCTTGTTTTCTACAGATTCATTCAGATTCCCACAATTTTGGTTGTTCATATTCCCGTTTTTCCCATTGATGATCCCCTCCCAAAAAGAAAGGAGTTATTTTTCCCCAGAAACACACATTATAAATAATCTATTTTAATAATCTAATTTCGGTCATTATACATTCAAAATAGTGTATTAGTTTACCATAATACTATTACATGGTAAAATTAAGGCTATTCCACCGGAATCAGAGAACTTAGGTATTTACTACCAGGTGGGCCATAATTACTGCAAAACATGTGGTAATTACCTTTATTTTGGAAATTAATATGAAATAATCATCCCGCCACATATCTTAGGAAATTTCATGTAAGTAATTGTTACCCAAAATCCGGGAAACAAATTACCCATGGGATTCCATTTTATCCCAGATTACGTGAATTCCTTGACTGGGACACATATATTATTCCCACTAATTGGGTCCCACTAGCATCATTAATTGCCCGTGTTTGGTATTAATTAACTATGAATTCTTTACGGTAATTAGTTAAAGGAATTTACCCATTCTTATATTACCCTCTGGTAAACGAACATAGCTGTAGAAAATCACCATTTTGAATAGGTAAATCAACTATAAATGGGGTATCGTCAATGGCTATGTTAAATTACCAGAGGGTATTCCATGGCTCTCATTATGAATGCCCCACTCTTGGGCATCAGCATGGCCCCGCACCTGAGCGGCTTGGAGCTTTAGGCATGTCGAAGCACCTTGGTGTCATGAAGCATGGGACCTTGATGAGGCAGTTGGTACTTATGGATGTTCTATAAGGTATAAGGTGTCATGCTTCTGTAGGGCATAATCATAGGATGTTTTTTTTTGAGGTGCCATGCTTCATGAACCAATTCTAGATAGTTATAGTCCCCAAAAATGGTATGCAGCAAATTGTCAAATCAAGGAATCAAGGGGCTGTAAACCTAGAATTGGTTCATGAAGGGTCCCCAACCAACGTTCATCTTACAAATGAACCCCTAGTTGATTGAAATGGGAAGTGCCATTCGTGAAGTGATCACGATTTTCGGACTCCATTTTGATCAAAGGGGGGTATCCTACTTTCTGGATTTTGCATTTCCAACTTTACCAGTAGGCCAATTGTTTGAACCAATATTGCAAGTCTTCAATTCGTCCAGCCATTTTCACTTTTGATTCTAATTCCCTTCGGACAGGTTTCTATTGGTTTATAACATTTTATAAGTAGGCCAGCAATAGGATTTCTGATTTATTTATGGTGGTATTTCATGATATTTCTATAGTTACGTGGGCTTCTGACCCAACAAAACGAAAAGGACTGGCGGATGACCAGTGGCCATTTTCATGCCGCTAGGACATTGTAGTTTGATGAGATGCACTGATCCCAGCCTAAAATAAAATCATCGTTTTCTTTCACCAGAAAATGAAGGAAAATCGTGTGCAAATGCATGTAAATCGTGGAGTTCCAGCAAGCCAGCCAAGATTTCCGGAGAGTACATTTCGAATCAACCAAAAAATGAAGCCATAGATGATGAAATGGCCAGTCACTGCTAGTCGAATTGTGGTACCAAACTCAATTCGAACATCCGTGGGTGTAAAGCCTGGGTTAATCAACTCCTGGGCTGTTGATCAATGGGTGGTCATATTTTTACTAGCTGCTTGGTGGTGCAATAACCATCTTGAAAAATATGAGTTCGTCAATGGGAAGGATGACATCCCAATATATATTATGGAAAATAAAAAATGTTCCGAACCACCAACCAGCTAGCAAATAAAGTCACGTTTTGGTGGTACCTTCCTAATTACTCAACAAGCTGAACCAATCAACCAATCCAGGGTTGTCCAGTCACCATGGTGACAGGTGCAATCCGTTAATGGAACAGTCCCACTTCAAAGGATTTAAGAACCATGCTTGCTAAACAGTTCGGAGGCTTATGATCTGGTCCTGATCAGAATGCTCAATCAGTTGTGCCATTATGCCTCAAAAATGTGGTAAAGACTAAAGCTAAAAATTCATTGGATGGGCTTAAAGGAAATTCTACAGGAAACCAGGGTTGTTTTTACCAAATATAGGGCTGTCCGCGGCTTTCCTGTAAAATCTCCCTTAAACCAATCCAAGGAAAATAACTCTATCTTAATCTTGGCAGGTCCTTGAAGGTACCCGAATCACTCGACCCATAGCCCCAAAATGCTATGGTTCCCACTCCTGATGGCGCTCGACCTGTCATGGAATCGAGATATGTAACCGAAGAAAGGCGACTTCAGTGCCCAAATGGGTTTGAGTGAAATACAAAATCCTATGGTTTCTTGTCATTTTCCCTCACAAACGTGCAATTTTGGTGTAATCCCCTTTCAACTACGTGGCTTCCTCTGAAAAGAAGTTTCTCCCATAGATGGTAAATCACCTCATTTTCTGCCGTGAAATGGCAATAAAATTGGGAGGACATCAGGCCATTCCCCCATTTTCAGGTACCAACCGCCAAGTTTCATATTGTACTATACAAAAAAATGACCATGAAATTCTCCCATACTATTCCCATTCTACCGTATGGCCACAGATTTATTGGCGGCCATGAAAAACGTCCGCCTGCTGCAAGAGCTCATCGGAGATGTGCCTCAAAGGTGATGCTCAGATAAGCTGCGAACGGTTACCCTCTCGTAAACTACTGTAACAGTTTGCGAACTGGGAAATCACCGTGTTGAATAGGTAAATCAACTATAAATGTGTTTTTTCAATAGTTATGTTCAATTGCCAGAGGGTGTATGTGGCTTCCATAAGTCATGGTGAATCCCCAGTCAATTTGACCATGGTTGTGTCAACACTAAATCAGTTGCTTATTCATGAAATTCTGGATGATGATTTGGGGACCCCCATGACTTGGGAAACATTCATATTGTTAAATATACTACTGATTGGTTATGTCCCATCATATCCCAGATAGCCGATAATGTTTGGTTTATGATGGGGATATTGATTGGGATATGATGGCATAAATAGCCAAGAGACACGGTGTTTTTTTGCTCAAAAGAGTTGATTATAGGAAGATCCAGGTGCAATTTTTGGGTGTCCATATGTTTTTTTGGGGGACTCACACATTACATCCCATTCCTCACTGCCTTGATCAGACCTGGTGATAGAACTTCGAGCCAACAATCGGTCAAAGAATTCTAAGGCTTTCACATCTTGTGACCCTGATTTTGGAGATGGATCTTCCTATTCTGTCGGCTGAAAAAGGGGCTCCTATTTTCTCTTGATGTTCATTCAACTGCTAAAGGCTGATTCTTCGCTAGTGAAAAATGTTCCCTCTTCGTTAGGAAGCAAAATTTCGGGAAAACTTTGTGAAAAACTTGTGGAAACCATGGAGTTCACCATGCTTTGTACCATGGCTTTTCCCGGGATCTGTGGCCCATGGGGATCTGTGGCCTCTGCGCCAAGGTCAACATCTCCTGAGCCTGAGAAGGTTGAGGCTGTCGGACTACCAAGAAAAATCCCAGTTGAACCCGGAACATCACCCATATAGGATCCATTTATGTGCTGGTAGATTAATGCTAACACAAAGGGGGTTAATCTTGATGGGATCCATGTTACCATATATAGCAGCACCATGGATCCGTCATGGGTCATAGAAAAGGCATCACGAATTAGGGGAATATGTTCTGTGAAATTCGATAAAATAACCGGAAAATTTCGATAAAATTCAAGAAAAACTCATAGCTTCCGATAGCTGAGCTTGGTGATTTCAGGGATCATCCCAATGGGGCATTTTTAGGACTCACAGTCGCAGGAGATTGGAATTGTGATCATCAAACATTGCTTGGAGGAAGATATCAATATCTGATAATTATATATTTAATAGAAATCTGGATATCACAAAAATACCTCTTTGAAGATTGGTGAAGCAGTAGGTTAAGCAGAAACAGGAGATTAAAGCATATTAAAGCATATTAAGGCATTAATTCAAGCATAACATAGAGCCGGGCAAGCCGGCGGCGGAAGTTTCCCAAACATAAATGACCTATAGTTCAAAGACACCCTGTCCCGACCGTGTCCTTCCCTCGACAACCGTTTGATTTTTTCAGCGAGAGACGAAGCAAAGTCTTCACACTCCACACTTCACACTGCACTCTTCGCACTCCGAACTTGAAACTTCACACTCCACACTTCACACTTCACACTTCGCACTTCACACTTCACACTTCTCACTTCCCACTGCTTCCTTCACACTCCAAACCTCACACTTCACACTGCGCGCTTCGCACTCCAAACCTCGACAACCGTTTGATTTTTTCAGCGAGAGACGAAGCAAAGTCTTCACACTCCACACTTCACACTGCACTCTTCGCACTCCGAACTTGAAACTTCACACTCCACACTTCACACTTCACACTTCGCACTTCACACTGCTTCCTTCACACTCCAAACCTCACACTTCACACTGCGCGCTTCGCACTCCAAACTTAAACTTCACACTCCACACTTCACACTTCTCACTTCCCACTGCTTCCTTCACACTTCACACTTCACACTTCACACTTCCCACTGCTTCCTTCACACTCCAACGCCAGAGCAGAAAAAGTTGATTTTAAATAGAAAATGAAAGCAGCCAAAATCTGAAAGATCCTTTTTTTGTCACATGTATGCAATACGATCATGTAGCTCCACAACCGGATCTCGACGCCAGAGCGAAAAAAAAACGATTTTGAAGCACTTTTTAAAAGGATTTTTAGAAGGAAAATCATTAGCGCCAAAATAGAGAAAATCTGCTGACAAATCACTGTGGCAGCCTTCATGCAGCACCACTTGCAATCCCATTTACAGTGAGGGAACGATCCTAGAGTTGCAAATCACAATGGAATTCCATCGGCAACTCATCCACCAGCACCACTTGCAATCCCATTTACATTGCGGGAACGATCCTACAGTTGCAAATCACAATGGAATTCTGTCGACCGCACATGCACGAAAAACAGGTGACACCACATTTACAATGCGAAACCGATCCGAGAATGATCCGCCCATGATCTGACCACACACGCGACCGTCTCGCAACCGTCGAACCGCAGAGGTAGATCATCGAGGTTCGGGGACGGACTTTGTATGGAAAAACATAGGGTTTCGTGCATCTGCTCTCTCTCAAAAACGCATTTTGTGCGAGACTTCCTTCAAAACTCCATCGGCAACTCCTCCACCAGCACCACTTGCAATCCCATTTACAGTGAGGGAACGATCCTAGAGTTGCAAATCACAATGGAATTCCATCAGCAACTCATCCACCAGCACCACTTGCAACCCCATTTGCAATGCATGAACGATCCTACAGTTACAAATCACAATGGAATTCTGTCGACCACACATGCACGAAAAACAGTTGAAACCCCATTTACAATGCGGAACCGATCCGACCATGATCCGAGCATATCCGCCCATGATCCGACCACACACGAGACCGTCTCGCACCCGTCGCACCGCAGAGGTAGATCATCGAGGTTCGGGGACGGACTTTGTATGGAAAAACATAGGGTTTCGTGCATCTGCTATCTCTCAAAAACGCATTTCGTGCGAGACTTCCTTCAAAACTCCATCGGCAACTCCTCCACCAGCACCACTTGCAATCCCATTTACAGTGAGGGAACGATCCTAGAGTTGCAAATCACAATGGAATTCCATCAGCAACTCATCCACCAGCACCACTTGCAACCCCATTTACAATGCGGGAACGATCCTACAGTTGCAAATCACAATGGAATTCTGTCGACCACACATGCACGAAAAACAGTTGAAACCCCATTTACAATGCGGAACCGATCCGAGAATATCCGAGAATGATGCGACCACACACGAGACCGTCTCGCACCCGTCGCACCGCAGAGGTAGATCATCGAGGTTCGGGGACGGACTTTGTATGGAAAAACATAGGCTTTCGTGCATCTGCTATCTCTCAAAAACGCATTTCGTGCGAGACTTCCTTCAAAACTTCATCGGCAACTCATCCACCAGCACCACTTGCAATCCCATTTACAGTGAGGGAACGATCCTAGAGTTGCAAATCACAATGGAATTCCATCAGCAACTCATCCACCAGCACCACTTGCAACCCCATTTACAATGCGGGAACGATCCTACAGTTGCAAATCACAATGGAATTCTGTCGACCACACATGCACGAAAAACAGTTGAAACCCCATTTACAATGCGGAACCGATCCGACCATGATCCGAGCATATCCGCCCATGATCCGACCACACACGAGACCGTCTCGCACCCGTCGCACCACAGAGGTAGATCATCGAGGTTCGGGGACGGACTTTGTATGGAAAAACATAGGCTTTCGTGCATCTGCTATCTCTCAAAAACGCATTTCGTGCGAGACTTCCTTCAAAACTCCATCGGCAACTCATCCACCCCATCAGCAACTCATCCACCAGCACCACTTGCAACCCCATTTACAATGCGGGAACGATCCTACAGTTGCAAATCACAATGGAATTCTGTCGACCACACATGCACGAAAAACAGTTGAAACCCCATTTACAATGCGGAACCGATCCATGATCCGAACATATCCGAGCATGATCCGACCACACACGAGACCGTCTCGCACCCGTCGCACCGCAGAGGTAGATCATCGACGTTCGGGGACGGACTTTGTATGGAAAAACATAGGCTTTCGTGCATCTGCTATCTCTCAAAAACGCATTTCGTGCGAGACTTCCTGCAAAACTCCATCGGCAACTCCTCCACCAGCACCACTTGCAATCCCATTTACAGTGAGGGAACAATTTCTTTGCTAACTCTTTCTTTGACTCACTCTTTTCCTCACTAACTCTTTCTTTGACTAACTTGTTTCTTTGCTAACTCTTTCTTTGACTACCTCATATATCCTGACTAACTCTTTCTTTGACTAACTCTTTCCCTCACTAACTCTTTCTTTGACTGACTCTTTCCCTCACTAACTCTTTCTTTGTTTCTTTGACTAACTCTTTCCCTGACTAACTGTTTCTTTGACTAACTCTTTCTTTGACTAACTCTTTCCCTGACACTAAACTAACTTTCTTTGACTAACTCTTTCCCTGACTAACTCTTTCTTTGACTAACTCTTTCTTTGACTAACTCTTTCCCTCACTAACTCTTTCTTTGACTAACTCTTTCCCTCTAACTAACTCTTTCTTTGACTAACTCTTTCCCTCACTAACTCTTTGACTAACTCTTTCTTTGACTAACTCTTTCCCTGACTAACTCTTTCTTTGCTAACTCTTTCTTTGACTAACTCTTTCCCTCACTAACTCTTTCTTTGACTAACTCTTTCCCTGACTAACTGTTTCTTTGACTAACTCTTTCTTTGACTAACTCTTTCCCTGACGAACTCTTTCTTTGCTAACTCTTTCTGTGACTAACTCTTTCCCTCACTAACTCTTTCTTTGACTAACTCTTTCCCTGACTAACTCTTTCTTTGACTACCTCTTTCTTTGACTAACTCTTTCCCTCACTAACTCTTTCTTTGACTAACTCTTTCCCTGACATTCTAAAAGTCCGTAACACGGAAGTTTCTCCCCCTAAACTTCCTTTGATTAAGGCATATTAAGGCATATTAAGGCATTAATTCAAGCATTAAACAAAACACCGTTTTGCTGAGTTTTTTTTTCGTTTTTTCCTCCGCCCAACCAATCCCCATCCGACGTGGCGACTGAGTCCCCTAGTCCCCTGAGGTGGTGATTGGTCAAATCCATCGCTGGAAACGTTGATCGTTTTGGTCGGAAAAGATGGTAAAATCAGCTCCTTATTAACTGATAATTAAATATTATTAATGGGTATTCTTCTGAAATAGCTATACCAGGTATACCATGATTATCGATGAGTACTAGTACTTGGCATTATTCCTAATATGGTGTCCTAACAAATTGCCATTGAGATGGGTAACCCATCATTTTCCAGTCCACACTCAGACGTGCTTCGGTGAAGAAAAGCACGCCATCTCGGTGAATTTCAGACCCAATCATCAAAGGGATCTCCAAAAACCGCCAATAGAAATTGGGTAGTATCAGTATCAGAAATGTTCAAAGAATACCCAATTTATGCAGTTATGGCCATTTACCAGTTCTAACTGGTTATTTCTATGGGTTTTCTTAGTACTTATAGCTGATAAATGGCCATAACTGTGGGTTATCATACCCCAATTCAAACAGAGCCGAGCCGGGCCCACCTCCTCCATTGATTGGTATGCCGTTGACACGGCCCGACCTGGTGCCAGTCGGAGTCCGTACCTTGCCAAACCTCAAACCTCAGAAATCCTAGAATTCCTAGGGAAAAAACTGAAGAATTATATAACCTATAGTCTATAGATGTCTATAGTTATATATTTCAATTTGCAGGATTTCTAAGTTTTATGTTTACCAGCTATATAGTCATTGTGGATATTTTCGTTATAGAAAAACGCTTCGCCAACCACGTGACTTTCAGAACGACCCTTCCAGGCGGTGATTCATCGTCATCTCCCATGATCTGCCAGGGCCCAGCCCCATCCGGTCCTCTCTGTAAGATGTGTAGCGGAGCACCTTGGGACGCTGATGCCAAGTGGGGATGACCCGATGACATCCGATGACCCGATGACGGGTCCCATCGCTATAGCTATGTTGTTTCAACCACTTGATTCTGCACAGGGGATGATTTTGGATCCAAAAACAGATCAAGGCTCAACTCGTGAGTTGAGAGGATCGGCCAAGTTGTGGATGTGCCCTGTTAGTGAAATAGCCTATGGCTACATACCCAGAATTGCATGTTTATGTTTAAACCGGAACATGCTCATTCGGAAAACAGCCAACAACACGAGGACTCAAACAAAAATTTTGTTTCCAACCCCATTTGTGGGAGTCCGTTGTGGTAAATTTTCAATGTTTGACCGGAAAAACACGATCCTTGGCAGTAAACACACATGTTTGGCAGTGAGATTTGTCATTCTCGTGAAAAAATGTCAGTTCTACAAAATTAGAAGCCCATCAGGTGATACCAGGTGCTATTCATCCATATATTTGTTCTCCATAGTAGCAAAACACCCATCCGTAACTTCTTGATCCCTTCCCACGAAGATTAAATATCCCGCAAAAAAAAAATGGCCAATTGAATTGGTTCTACAATCATGAATTGGGTCTCCTGAAAAAATGAGTATATATATGTATGAATACGTCATATTTTGAATTGGCTATGCAATATCCCCCTTTCAGGGGATGACTACAGGGACCACCCCATTTTCTTGATGGTGACACCTCTACGAATCTCTAGGGCCACCAACACGTTCCGCGCACATTGCAGCGGCGGAGGGCAACGGCCCTGAGGGAAACTGGAGATATTTTGGTCATGGCGATTTCATGACTGCTAAGAATCATGCTTGACCAGTAAGAAGTGAAACTTTGCCAATGGAAAAGTTCGTGAGTCTAAAATGTGTTGACCAGGAAAGATGGAAAGAACATGAAAGAAACACCACGAATTGAGGTGTCACCATGGCAAATTAAGATTCAACCAGTAAGAATGGGATTTGGCCAGTACAATGATGGAGATCTAACTTCAAATGCAGATGTTTCAAAGTTACGACAGGAAAAAAACATGATGATATTCCGCGAAACGAAAACATGTTGGTTTTCCAGGGATATTTTATCAAGATCTGGTATCGATGTGCCGCGTGAATATGGACATGTCACCAACATAGGAAAAGCAACAAAGAATTGAAAGTGTCACTAGGTGCAGTTAGGATTGATAAAAATGGAAATGTCACCCAACACAAGGGGGATTTTATTGGCGTTATCACCCATTTTTAAGTGCGAATCCACAGTTGATTTGGCACTTTTTTGGGGAATCACCTCATTACAAGTCAGAAAAACAACCATGCAGTTGTACCATCTAAGAATCTACAATCACGAGATGGCTGGGAATCCATCCAGTTCCTTTGCTATCCTTTGCTCACCTTTCAGCTACGGCATTGACAAAATCTCCCGGTGTTCACCAGTCTGGGCCATTTTCGTAAGCCAACAAGCGTCAGGTGAAAAAAATCAACTCTACTCAACCATGGAAAAATATGGAAAAATGTAAGTCCCAGTGAAATCTCAGGAATCTTCCCATATATATTGCTCGAATGTGAAAACTCCAAAAATCTTCCAATAAAAATATCGGCCGTTTAGGAAAAATAGAGGGGCCGGTTTGGTCAGTTATTCCCATAATCTACCATCGTCTACCTACCTATTGCTGGTTGGTGGTTTTAACATGTTTTAACCCCTCTGAAAAATGATGGAGTTGGTCAATGGGAAGGATGACATCCCAAAAAAATTATGGAAAATAATCCAGTCATGTTTGAAACCACCAACCAGATTGGTTTTTCAATGAAGGGAATCTTCCATTCATCAACCAGTGGGAACCGGAAAAAAAGGCACCTCCACAAATCACTACCTCTCTGAAGCTGTCCTGAGATCGAAAAAGGATTCGCAGCTTTCGTGAGTTTTCCACAAGTTTTCCACATTTTAATGTCAATGGAGTAATCAATGCTAACTTTCCTGTATATTCATTGAAATAGTCACAGAATTTCATGGAATTTCTCGTATTTTCGCTGCTCAAAGTTGCAGGAAAGGAGTTAGTAATCAAAGTGCACAGCAGCTCGTTGATGGATTTGTCCAAGAGTGATCATTTTCCCCACTCAATATGGCCAAATCCCCCGGTTTTTAGGTACCAATCCCTGATGTTCCTTGCACTAGAGCTACTAAAACTACTCATGAGAGGTGACCTAACCATGGCCATAAAACAAACATGGGCAGCCACCTGGTACTGGCCAGATTTTTTCAAAATCTTGATGTGGGACCCAATGCCATGGCCACATCTACCTGGGGATGATAAAAATACCATAAAACCATGGTGTGGGGATGGTTTACGATCAAAATCTTGGCACCAAAGTCTAAGATTTCTGAAACATCAAAACCTGGTATCCTGGTGAACACCAGAATAGCTGGTCAGCCAGGCTGGTCATCCAACTAAACAAGGTCTGGTAGGTATAGACCCAGTCCCATGTGATAGGAATTAGGATCAGGATATGACGTAGAGAGACTCACCAACTAAGTGTGAACCAGGGGCCAGCCCCATGTTTTCGAACAAGCTGGCGGCCAAAGCTGTCCCAAAGCTTCCAGTTGAAAAAAATGAAAATAGATAATTAAGTTGATAATTCAGTATAATAATGTTGGTAAAAAAAAACAGATTAAACCATGCCCAATTTTACCATAAACGGTTTGTAGAAACCATGAAAATATGGGTGGTTTACTATTCTGAAATTCTTAACTCACATTAGGTAAACTTCCAGTGAATCGCCATGTTTCATGGTCAAACTCATGTTGGAAACCGATCGCCGATCCATGATCAGGGATGATCACCCCAAAGCATCGTGGCTCGGGGACAGTTCCACTATCTTTGATGATACAGTATCTCAAACAGGGGTTGGTACCCTCTGGTAAACTAACATAACTATGGAAAATCACAATTTTCAATGGGTAAATCCACTATAAATGGCCATTTTCAATAGCTATGTTAGTTTACCAGAGGGTATCCCTTACAAACATCTGGAGATGTGCCAAGCCCTGTCGAAACAAGCTGTTGGTTTCCCACTGTGGATCACTTTGGTGAAGGTTCTGTGAAACTCGACCACAAAATCCGTTGGTTTGTCAGTCTCCTACCCTTTGGGAAACTAACAGTTTACTATGGAAACTCACCATCTTCATAGGTCAACGAACTACATCTTCCATTTATACCATAGCTATGTTAGTTTACCAGAGGGCACAACATCCATTCATATCCCCATTCTTGTTGCTTAAAGCCCCATTCACAACCATTAGACTCCACTAAAATCCCATTAAAATCAGCTAAAATTTGATGATGGATGATGGTTATTTGGTAACATAGCGAACTGGAAAATCACCACCTTACCCTCTGGTAAACTAACAGTTTACTATGGAAAATCACTATTTTGCAAAAATGTTCAATAAGTAAATCAACGAACATCATCGAACTAAATGGTCCATGGCTTCCATAGCGAACCAAGGGACGAACGGACGCCGCCCACATGGCGCCAGCTCAGATGCCTACATGGAGGCTGCGATCGATCTCAGCCACTGATCATTCACGACAACCAAACATGAAATTGTCGTGGAAAATCCACCAAATTCATAAAAAGTGAAAACCAGTATGAAGAAAATGTTTGAGAGTTTGCTTCTTAGGTTCCACAAATTCATTCAGATATAAATACAATATATATATATATATTATATATATTATAATATTATATTAGTCTTGGTAGTTGTTTCTTCATGGCAAGCGCACATCAAAACCGAATGTTTTAGTTGATGCTGATTTTCATCACAATCTGATAGTGATTTGTTCTTTTGATGAACATGGATTGAAGAGGCCCATACCATTAAACATATTGATATTTTGATATGATGATGATTGCATCCAATATGTCATATATAATATATATATATGTCATATATATATATCCAACATATTGTCCATATCATATGATCATGTGATAAATACCAGATTATATCCATAAAAAAACAGTATCATTCTGTTGTGTCTAATTTCCATATCATATCCATATAACCAGACTTTGGAGACGTTGAAATGATGGTCCCATGCGCTCCGTAGCCGCTGCTCGAGCCAAAAGAGGCGCCACGGCGGCGGCTAAGGACAGGTGATAGGGCGGAGTCAAAAGGGGTGATGGCGGGTGGGTGGGCGATGTCCACTTTGGTGATATATATATATATAATATGTATATATATATGTATATATATATATGCATAGTATGTGTATATATATATGCATAGTATGTGTACGGTTCAGATCCCTCCTGCAATTCTCAGGGTTCTTATTCAAATTGGGGTCCTGACACAAGTGCAAAATATCAAAAGTTCAGGTGGCTGAATGATGTGTTGAATGCTTAGTAGCCTCCAAAAAAAAGTATTCCTGATAGATTCCCCAAGTATAATTTTCCCATTTGAATAAATCAACAAATATAATCTTTAGCAACTCTTGGAAAGCTTGGAAAGCCAAAACCCGGCTACTCACTGGGGGGAGGTCGCCAAAAGTGGCATGATTTAATCAACAGAAAATTGAAGGTGACAACCACTAAAATTGAATATGGAAATTATTGTAAGTTATAAGTTCAAAGCATAATTTAACATCCTACCCAAAAAGAAACTCTCAAGAGATTACAAAATCTGTAATTCCGGTCAGACTGATGGCAACGTCGAGTTTGTGGAGCAGTGTCCCATTGGGAAGACCTGTCTTTTCTTCAATAGTGGAGTTGCCACTAAGAAAAGAGGCCCTTTTAAACATGGAAAATGGTGACCCGATGGGGAAAAAACACATACCATCATATTGGTGGCTATTTTAAATAGGTATCCCTGCATCACGTATTATAATCATACAACTTCACTAAACTAGCCAGTTTCACACTGTCAACAGGGATATGTTGCATTGTTCTAAGTCTGTTTTTCATGATCCAAAACTGTGAGCGAAACGCAAACCACCAAGAATTTTCTGTCTCCATCTCCCATCACCAGATCACCAGATCACCAGTAGCAGCAGCCATCTGTTTCCGCAACGGAAACGCTCCTCACTTTAGAGGAGTCCGAGCGGATCCTCGGGATCCATGGGGGGTGTGGGGACCCGGGCGCCTCGGAGGACCCGGGGGCCTCTGTGCATCTCCTCTCTCTCGGACCTGCTGGGCCTGTCGGGCCTGCTGGGCCTGTCGGGCCTGCGATGGCGTCGAAAGGATTCGTTGAGGCAATTGGCGTCCCCAGATTTCACGGAATGAGATTGAATATGAACTAGAAATATGTATGTATGTGTATATATATAATTTCATATATATCATATCATATTATATTATATTATATTATTATATTATATTATATCATATCATATTGTATTGTATTATATGTTGTATTGTATTGTATTGTATTGTATTGTATCATATCATATCATATCATATCATATTATATTATATTATATTATATATATATATTATAGTTATATTGATTAAATTTGATGTGTTATTCTAAGATATTCTAAGCTCAATGTATGGCTGCATTAGGTAATAAGATTCCACTGATCTCCGTCTAAGCGTGGATCTTGACTTCACAGATCATCCGATGTGGTACCAAGGGACTCTTTCAAGAGGGCCATCACGGCGTAGCGGCCGCCTTTCTTTGCCACGTCGTAAGGCTTTAAGCCTTGCATCCCAGTGGGTCATAACCGGTGACCAAGTTTTTTTTGGAATATCCCCCATGAATGGATTATAATATATATACTGTGTATATATATATATATTATGTATTAATTGATTAAATATAGTTAATTATTCTGATATATGATGTTAGATGGCACAGCAGTCCACAGTTAAAACTGGTCAAAATGGAAAGCTAAAACCCCCAATGCCTTGGAGATGTGTTTGTGGGTTGAATTTCACATTGCAAACGATATCCCAATATATTCATGAGGCTCATGAATTCATGAGGCTTAGATCTCCCCAATGATTATCTTTCCAATGGGCATCCCTAAAAACTTAATTTGATTGGCTTCCAGTATGCTTCCAATCACGTCCTCATCATGGTATCGGCCTTCAAATACCATCCGAAACGGAGATCCGCAATGCATCCCGGAAATGCTATACCGCCAGAAGTGCTTGGTTGAATCGTGCAAACAGAAATCCCATGATATCCAAGACAATGTTTCCCCAATTGGATGTCGATGGTATCCCCAATACTTATAGACTATCCCCAATGGCTATATCTTCCCAAAATATTCCCCAAAACGCGAAAATCATAAAGAATAGAAATGGGAATGAGATGAGATATTGTTCAAACAGGATCAAATAGGGAGTAATATACCAATTAATTAAAGTGGGGAATCCCGAAAAAATCCCCATGAAAACTTCGATGATTGAAACCCCATGGAAACCTCCATTTCCTTTGGGGATTTCCTCACTTTTTCGCCATGTTTCCCCGAAGACACCGGGGGATCTCCAGTCATGAATCGTTGCCGGCACCTATGGTGGTGCCCCAGTGATGTGAACGTTGGTTAACAAAAACCATAGGAATAGTATAGATATAATTATATCTACCTAATCAAGAATATAGTGAAATTGGAGTTATAAACGCACCACCTTAACGATTTAGCTCACTGGGGCACCACCTTGCAGGGTTTCCCACAAAACCGCCGTTGAAACCGCCGTTCACACCGCCCCGTTCTCCGCTGTGCCTTTTTTGTTCGCAGCGTCCAGCTTGGCCCCGGCAGCGATGAGCTCTTTCACCGTGGCCTCATGGCCGTCCTTGGCCGCCTCATGTAGCGGCGTGTTGCCTCGGGGCCGTGGCTGTTTCACAGCACAAAACAGGCCCAAAAAAAACGACAGGACCATGGGGGTTCTCTAAAAATCTTCGGAAAAACAAGGGAAAGCCTCATTTCATGCACCTTAAAATTCTCGAAAACCATTGAAACCATCATTTTTCCGTCGACTTGCCATCTTTGGTGTTCACCATGTTCAAACCTCGTCCTCCAAGGCACCCTCCCTGTTGTGTGCGTTCACCTTGGCCCCAGCAGAAATTAGCTGCTCGACCATGGCCGCATGGCCTTTCAGTGCTGCAATATGCAGCACCGTGTTGCCTCACCCGTGCGGCGACTGGATCCCGGAACTGGATCTGGCGCCTGGTACCCTGAAAATGGGTCTGGCTGAAATCCACCCAGATTTATGGAAGCTGATAGGTCTGCACCAAAAACGTCTTTAACATGTTTTAACAGTTACAACTATTGATTATACTTGATTTACCATATTCACTACCCTGCTGGAGTTATGTTTATGCTGTTTTAGGGCCAATCCCGATACAGAGGTTTCCTATCCATGGGGCTACCCCCCAAAATCATCCATTCTAATCGGATTTTCCATGAAATAAACATTCAGAAACCATCCATGTTCGGATCTCCCCAGTTTCGGAAAACTGCACCGCCAAGATCTTCGGCCTTCTCGGTCGCAGGCGTCCGCCTTGGCTCCTGCAGCGATCAGCTTCGCGACCACTTCGGTGTTGCCGCTCCAACCCGCAGCGTGATGCAGCGCTGTGTCGCCTAGGTTTCCAGTGATCCACCATAGCTGGATGGGTTATTTATGGTTATTTCATGGAAAATCCCCCACAAATGCATGATATCTGGGGGGTTCGCATCAAACACGAATCAAATCATCAAATGGGGGGATCCCTATAGAATGGGGGACCCTAACATCATAGGTATTGCGAATTTTCTGGGAAATTGATTAGTTTTTGCAGGGGTCCCCCATTCAACGAAAGCCATTTCTGTCAAATGTCATGATCACTTCTGGACATTATGTCAGTTACAAGTTAGAGTTGTCAATATATGTCAATGATTGTCAATATATCCAACTATCAGCCAATAAACATATCCATGATCCAACTTTTTTTGTAAATTTCAATGATACCTCCACCTATCAGCAAAAACCGTAAACAATGATGTTGGACCATTTCTCAGCCAAAAAAACAAAAACATGTTGATATCTGCAGCCAAACACTTGCTGGTGCGAAACGTAGAGGGGGAATGACCTGTGATAACCTGATAACTATTAACAATCATCCCATTCCCCCATTCCCTACGTTTAGCAGCAGTAAGATTTTTTCATTATGAATATCTACCGTTCAGATATCTGATATCCATTGATCTAATATATTCATTGCTAGTGATTATGGTAAATCATTCATTAATCTAATCGTAATAATGAATGCAGCTTGGATTTATGGTAGTGATTGTTGGATTACCATAATATGTTAACATATTGGTTACCGCCATAGTTATGATCATTTTGTTTATATACCATAATCATTTAAGTACAATCATGATAATCATATATTACCATATATTACCATATATTACCATATATTACCATATATTACCATATATTACCATATATTACCATATATTACCATATATTACCATATATTACCATATATTACCATTCTATTTAGATATTCTATGTTACCATATATTTGATACATAGAATGGTGATATATGGTAATATATTCTAAGGTAACAAATAGAGGAGATGTACCGTATATTTGTGGTTGGTGGTTGACCTACCCCTCTGAAAAATATGAAAGTCAGTTGGGATGATTCTTCCCAATATATGGGAAAATAAAATTCATGTTCCAAACCACCTACCAGATTTAGATGAATGGTAATATATAATATATGGTAATATATTCAAATAGAATGGTAATATTATATTCTAAGGTATCAGATGTACCATATATATTTACCCTATGGTAAGTTAACATATCTATTGAAAATGGCCCATAGAAATAGTTGATTTACCGAACTTAAAGATGGTGATTTTCCAGTTCGCTATGTTAGTTTACTAGAGGGTATATATATATATGTCATTGATATTCATTGATAATATCCAGATTAATATCAATATCCCATTCTTTCTGATCAGAATGGGGATAAATGTCGATAATAATAGGAAGAACAACACTAATAAAAACAAAATATATAAACACATATACAGATACATATGGATAGTCACAATGGTAATACATGGTATATAATATATTCTAAGGTACAGTATCAGATGTACCATATATTCAGATGATGTAATTCCTTCCACTTCGAAACATCGCCACGTGGCCGTCTTCGTCCTTCCTTGCCGCGTTGGCGCCGGACTTCAGCAGCAGCTCCAGCACCTCCACGTGGCGCTGGTCGCCCTTGGCCGCGTAGACCAAGGGCGGGTGGCCTTGTGGCGGGAAACATGGTGGAAAAATGGTGTTTTACCCTGGAAAAATGGTGTTTTACCCTGGAAAAATGGTGTTTTACCCTGCAAAAATGGAGGAACATGAGGATTTGAAGAAGAACACATGGGGGATTTACAGTTAATTTATGCTAAGTTAGTGCGAATCAGTAACAAGTTTTATGGTGATGAAATAACTATAGATGGAGAAACATAAACCTGAAATTTATGAAGAGGAAAACCATGAAAAACCAACTGTTTCATCCGACTGCAAAGAGTTTTTCAACCCGCTAATGGTTTTTCAACAAGCTGAAACCACGGGAACTTGGGAAACTTCATGGTTTTAAGACTTGGGGAAATGCTGATGGAAATTCAATGTTGTGAATGCTCCATGGATTGACTATTTAGCTATAGAACTGGGGTGAATTTGGGTGGTACATGGAGCATCTGGGCATCCTTTCGATGATTCTTTACAAAAAAGGGATAACCATGGGCGCGTTCCACTGTATAGCTTCACTTCAACTGATTTTGGGGGATTTCGAATGGTTGGTCACCTGCTCCCCCACCTATGGTAAACTGATCTTTTTTGCCGTCAGAAAAGGCATGGACTGCACTCCTCCTATCAGCACCCCAAATCCTCCTATGGCACCTCCTTGCCCCAATTGCTGTTCCCAAAAATTAGTTTGTGAAATCATCAAAATGTTTGAAGATTCTGCAACAGAAAAGCCGTCCCTACCCCTCGATGTTTAAGGAGGCTCATCCAAGCAATAAATTTGGCAATGAATACTCCAATACTCAACAGCCCAAAAAGTAAAACCAAACAAAAGAAAGGAGCAAAAAACTACCCTTGACACCCCGTCCATCGTTTCTGCCAAAACCCACCAGCATGGCCCAAGAAACGTAGAAAGAGAGATGTAACATCATGGAAAATCCATGTTCACTTTCTACTTGTTTTTTTTTTGTCACTTCTATCTGTTTTCTTTTAAAGACAACTCATAGATCATTTTCCTAGGCTTTTCCCATGGGAAAAATCCACATTCCTGGTATATTTTAGTGTACCCTATTAGCAATTCATAACCATTATTGCTAATAGGGTACACAAATATAGGGTACACCATTATTTAACTCAAATATAGGGTACACAAATATGTTATGAATATACATCAATGGTGTTAATAACCAGTATACACCATTATTCACCAGGTATATAACCAGTATTGAGTATTCACCACTAGCTATTCACTAGTCATATAGTCATATGGCCATTCTCTTATTATATTGGGAATAATTATGCCAACACATTAACCAATATTTACCAAAATATGTACCAGTTATATTTTAGATGTATGTAAATAGAAACCATTCTTTCTTAACCTCTGGTAACCTAACATAACTATAGAAAATCACCATTTTGAATAGGTAAATCAACTATACATGGGGTATTTTCAATAGCTATTTTGACATAACCAGAGGGTAACCAATTCTATGACCATTCGTTTACCCTAGGCCCCCGGTCTTCCGAGGCACCGCCAGCATCCACCTTGGCCCCGGCAGCGATTAACTTCTCGGCCACCGCGGCATGGCCCAGCCAAGCCGCGTCATGCAGCAGCGTAAGGCCTCAGATTTTTATGTGGGTAAAACAAATGTCATGTTTCCATGAAACATGGTGATTTGCCCATGCAGAATGGTGATTTTCCAGAGTTATGTTAGTTTACCATGATGGTTGCAATCATTAATGTGGGTAAAACAATGGCATAAACCCACCCATTTGATGGGAATGGGAAGTAAACATACCACCTATAAAATGGCTGATGATTGGGAGATGGTTTATGACATTGGTTTACTAACATTATAAGTTCAAGATAGTTCAATATCAGGGGATATATATATATAATTCAGTGATTATATTAGTTCAATATGTATAAGTTAGTATAAGTTCAGGTGTTATGTCAGGTAATCAGGGAATTGTTCAACACTAATGTCGCTCAATATATGAGAGGAATGTGGATCATGTTTTTGATCATATACAACTAAACATACACAATATATATATATAGTTATATATTATATATATGTGTAGAGAGAGAGAATAGATTATATACAGTTTATTTATATGACACCTGTATATATGTTTATATATAATGAAGAACTCGCCCGTGGCTATTGCAAAAACAACTATACATGTTTCAAGCCTATCTATCTGAAGCTGGGAAACGCTGCGAGTTGATTCTCCATTGCAACGAGGCAACAAAAGCAAGCATGGGTCACGAAAAAAAAAGTCGACCCCACAAAAATGGCAAAAAAAGGGACCCTTTATACCGTGTTGAACACAAACATATATGTGGTAGATGAATCTTAATGCCAAAAAATATTGGTAATGTCATTACTATGTTTGTTCCTAGTTATTTTTACTGTGATGTTCATAAATAATACCACTGTTGTTCCTCTTATATTGTAGTGTTATACCTACTATTCCCATACCAGATACATATTCATATATATATATATATTATATAAATATGAAGAGGTTTGATCCCACATCACATCATCCTGCCCTGGGGCCCTGGGGCCCTGGGGTGCCCTGGGGTCTGGGGCGCCCTGGCCGAGTTTGCCCTTCCTCGTTAGGGACGCGCCGGAGTTCAGCAGCACTGCGACCACCTCCGCGCGACCCTGAAGGACCGCATGAAGCAGGGGCGTCTCGCCTCGCAGTTGTTGGTGGGAATGAATGGGATGGAAATGGATGGTTTTATGATCAACAATAGTGGGGATATCATGGTATAGCTATATAGATACTCAGTGGCTATAATGGGTATAGTGCAATAGATAGTCAATGGCTATATAATGAAGGCTGCCATAGTCATGGGAGTACCCCTTTTATTGCTGGATGGTTTATTTCATGGAAAATTCGAACATCAAATGGATGATTTGGACGTACCTCCATTTGAGGAAACCTCTATGTGTCTTTTTTCCTGTGGTTTACAACCCAACTTATAACTGGCCACCACCTTGTAGAGGATCTTATAGATCTTATAGGATATGGGGGTATACCCCTCTGGTAAACTAACAGTTTGCGAACTGGAATATCATCATTTTAGTAGGTAAAACATCTATAAATGGTCCACTGCTTCCATAGCTATGTTAAATTACCAGGTATGGAACAGTATGGGTAATTCTTTTGAGTCAGCCCATGCCAATCTCTTCTCTATGGAAGTTCATTCACCTTCCCTTTCAACTAGGCCTGTTCTGAGCTGTATCTTCTCTTACGATCTCTTCAGCCACCTTTTCTTGCATTAACCTCTTCTGTCAGCTATTTACTCTTGCAACTACCTCGTCTCTGAACCACGTATGATATCTTTTAACTTAACTCAACCTGGCTAGACTCCTCTAGTCTCTTCGCTACATATTTTTTGGAGTTACTTCAGTGACTTTCCATTTCCGCTACTGTCTCTTTTTTTGTGCTACGTACAGTACCCCTTCTCTTTAGCCGCCCGTTGTTTGAGCTACCTGTACATTGATGTGTTTCTTTTGTGGGGCCAGTTTTCTTGAGCTACGTCCGAGAGTCGCATAAGACAAGCAGCACAGTTAGTTCAATGCAATATTTCCAACGCACGACCGGGGGCTGTAAAACACCTACAGACGTACAGGACCTCGGACATTTTGCTCTTTAGCAAAACTATTTGTCTGTTCATACCAGCAATGCCCAGAATCTTGAAATATTTTGAATCAACTCAAGTTACCAACAAAAATCAGTTCAAACTAAAGACAGTGAAACTTGTGAAACAATAGACTTCCGTCAACTTTCCTCTCATTTTTTACTCCATCCCAGCACAAAAAGCGGGACTTCAAAAGTCCACTCAACATCCTCAAAACGCAGAAATTAGCTGCCCCTCCACCTCTTCTGCCAGAACCACACCATGCCTATCCCCAAACAAAAACTGTACCCTCGCTCTGCAATTCAACATAGCATTGTATAGATGGCACGCTTAGTTCCGTGATTCGTACCTATCAACAATTGGAGATTTTCCACGGCAAACTGTGAAAAAAAACCTGAGCGTACTCCCAAATCCAACTGTTAATCATAATTTTCCCATTTAATGGTTACGTTTGTCACGACTAAATATGATTAAATTCCACCTTTGAGTTACCCTCCTGTAAACCAACATAGATGCAGAACATTTTCCTAGGGTTTTCCCCTGGGTTTTCCATATCTACATATAGGTATGTTCACCCCGTCAACCATTTAATAACCATTGTTAACCATGATTAACCAGTATTAACCGATATTAACCAGTATTAACAAATATCAACCAGTTAGTAAAAATCATTTACCATTGTTGATGACGATTAATAGTAATAACCATTATCAATAATTAACCATTAAAATGGTAATGTGTTGTCAAAAACCATTATTGTTAGTAATAACACGTATAATAACCACTATTAACATTAACAAAGCCATCAGTTAATAGCCCTAATAGTGGTTATTACACCATGTAATACTTTAACCACTATAGCCATGTACCCATGTAATAGTGCATATTGATTGTTAACAAATTACAATTACTGGACCCATTAGTCAATCGTAGTAATAAGCTCTATTAAAATGTGAATTAACCATAATATTAACCATCAGTTAATCAGTTAACCATCATTTGACCATCATATAGCCATCATTTGACCAGCATTTAACCATGAATTCACCATCATTTATCCATCATTTAACCATGAATTGCATGCCCATCAGGTAACGGAGTTTGGCGTCCCAAGGCGCCGTTACGGTTGGCCACATCGACCTTGGCTCCTGCCGCCAGCAGCTTCTGCACCGCATCGACCTTGCCGCCCGTCGCGGCAAAGTGCATCGCCGTGTCGCCTCGGGAGCTGCACCAGCGGATGGTTGAAACCCTAGAAATAGATGGTAAATCACCAAAAATGTTCTGCCATGAAATGGCAATAAAATTGGGAGGACATCAAGCCGTTCCTCCATTTTCAGGTACCAAGTACTACCAACCCCCAAGTATCATATTACCCATGACGGATCCATGGTGCTGGTATATATGCTAACATTTGGGATATACTGATGGTAAATGTTACCATTTTTTTGCATACATGGATCCTATGGGAAATACCATCTGGTTATTTAACATAGCCATGGTATAGATGGCCCATAGAAATCGATGGTTTACCTATTAATAGCATTGTGATTTTCCATGGCTATGTTAAATAACCAGATGGTAATGGGATGTTTACCATCTATCAACTGGTGCAGGATTTGCCTGGCCCATCCACAGTATCACATATCATTGATGAATGTGTATGTTATAATTATACTAGTATGTGATTATAGATGATTAAAGATGATTAAAGATGATTGTATTTTAATATGAACATATTTGAACTGATGATATCATGATGTCATATATACACATACATGATGATATCATATTGATGAGTGTTGAACCTATTGAGGAAACCTCGAGTTGGTACGAAATCAACATGTCAATGTGTTCATCATTGTTCATCCATAGTCATCGAATATATCAAATCTATGAAATTTTGATGATCTTCGCAGAAATCAACAGTAACTAATATCTATACGTATAGTACCTATATCATCAGAATTCATCAGAATCTGCCATGTGTTCATTCTTCGCCCAGTCTGCCGCCGCCTCGTTTGTTCTTGGCCTCTACGGAGGCGCCGGACTTCAGAAGCACTTCGACCACCTCGACGTTCGCAGCCCCAGAGAACAGCGCTGTGCTGCCTTGGCCAAGGACTAGTAGGACTAGTTCGCTGTAAGGATGGGCCTAGGGAGCTCTGATCCAGACTATTGTCAATTGATACCAGGAAACTTTTTCTATACCATCTCAATATCTATGAATTGGTTTAAGGGAAAATCTTAACCGGAAACTGGCTCGATTTTCCCATGAAGATCATGGGGCTCTTTGCGCTTAAAATGTTCCCTTAAATTCCCTTAAACCAATCCATTGATATGGAGATGGTATAGAAAAAGTTTCCTGGTATCAATACAAGTTGACATTTTTTGGGTATGGATCAAGTGTGTAGCATCATATTCCTTAATGGATCATGGCTATGGCGGCTATGGATCGCCTGCGGCTCCAGGGCTGCAGGCTATGGATCGTACCCTTGACTTCAAAATATACACATCCTCCATATCAGCCCTCAGTATACAGGACGATTCGAAAAAAAACAAAAGTCAGGATTCATTGACATGTAATCATTGAAGTGTTTTGACATTGTTTCAGAGCACGACATCCGGAAAACCACCCGCCATCTAGCATGTTTCCACGATTATTCATCAAACTCTCACGACAAACCACAATCTTTCTTGCGCCATCAGGATAGAGCAGGAAAATAAAAAAAAAAGAATCCAGCAATTCTGCCTTCCACACTGACCATTCATAAAATATCATAAAATCATATAAAATCATACTCGCCCTGCACAAGTTCGCTGTGATTTTGAGTTTATCAGACCGCGTTGTCATCAACGACTCAACGGATCAACGGATAATGAGCTCCTCAGCTGGGGCCCTGGCCGTCCTTGGTCTTCGCCTCTACGGAGGCGCCCGACTGCAGCAGCAGTTTGACCACCTCCGCGTGGCCACGTTCTGCCGCGCACAAGAGTGGCGTAAAACCTCGGGATCATCGGATGAGTTGTGGACTCGCACTGGACTGGACTCAACCGGCGCAACCGCTCTGGGGGCCCCGGCCGAATTCGTCCGCGTTCCCCACGGAGGCGCCCGACTTCAGCAGCAGCTCGACCACCTCAATGTGGCCTTTTCTGGCCGCCAGGTGAAGCGGCGCCTGGCCTAGGTTTCAAGGCAGAGGACTTGGAGTATCAGCTGTCGATCAGAAGGATCATGACTGAACACACATGGGAAGCCAAGCGGTGTGCTTTTGTTTTGTTTTGAAATAGACATCCTCAGGCCTTTTGTCTGATCCAAGACGGTAAATAATGATATAATATAATTAGTGATCACCTGATCACTCATTTTTCATTGCGGTTTGCCGATAGAGATTTAGATCAAATCGATTCAAATCGTTTCAGAGATGCGGGAAGTTTTCACTGCAATGCTTGGGGGTTTTGATATATGCAGGTTTCCTAAGTTATAGAGGTATCCCTAACTCATCCAAAATCAGACCATCTTAGTCTTGAAACAGATTGAGACCCCATAGCAAAACACCATGCACGAAGCAGCTTACAGCAAGCCTGTAAGAAAGTTGCAACCTCTTGAAACGCTTCAATACCTTATCCGAAATCACACATCATTCCCCTTACCGGTTCCAAGATGTTCCAAGGCACCAAGGAACTTCTGCTTGCGCTCCAGGCTCTCAGGGTCAACCTCAGAGCTTTCCATGTCCAAACAGCAAAGTGACTGGCTCTGCCGAAACCAAATTATGTGACATGTTAGTGAATCCCCCCACTATCTCCAAATTAATTAAGCTGAGTTTCGGGTCAGTAACATGTTGGTGGCTCCACCCGACTCAGCACACCTGGAGGAAGTGTCTCACGGCAGCAACGTTGCCCTCCTCAGCAGCTTTGTGGATGTCCCCGCCTCGAAGCAGTTTCCATAGTCGTACCCCAATAGCTAGGTGGTTGATTTTCAGGGAAAATCCTAAAAATCCGAAAATTACATGTCATGATTTGGAGGTATATCCCCATGACTTATAGGAAACCCGCAAATGGGCAAAATGACACGCCATTTAACTCCTAAAAGTGGCTATTGTTTACCTCTGTTTAGCTATAGAATGACTTGGAGCAACGAACACATTGACTTGGAGCAAACGCCGGCAGGCGCCAGGATGGCAAATGAAAATCTTAGATCCCGACATTTTTTGGCTCCGGCCTCGTCTGCCTATACAGAAAGCAGGAAGCATACAATGTTAATGCAGGATTAGTAACCCTCAGTTTAGGAATAGGCGGTGCCACTGCAAAAGGCAATTCATGACTATCTGGGGGGTAGTCGCCCCAATCAACAGTCAGGGATTATTGTGGTTTATTTTTCTGGGGTTGACATTGTAAAGGGATGTAAAGGGCTCAACCGTGTCTAGCCGATCTTGGTACCCAACTTTGCAATCGACAAACCCTGCCTGTGGCACCGGCAGATCAGCTTCGGCCTTGCCAAGCTTTGCACAGACAGCTAGCCATAGTTACTAATTCGATAACTTACCGAGGCAGAAAATGTTTCATTTCGGGATGAAGCCAACAATGCCTAAATTCTTTTGGGGTCAATTGTTGGCTTCATTAACCTTAAGAAAATTGAAGCCAACTCTCTAGTAACATCTAGTAACCAAACATTGCAATTGAAATCCCGGTCTAAATGAGGGTCTTACGGTCTTAAGATGTTTTAGTGGGAACATCGGAAAATCATCGAACTTACTTGGGATATATCCAGCAACACCGTCATCACCATCACCAGCATCAACAGCACATCAACAGCAACAGCAACAACAGCAACAGCAATTCAGCCTAAGCAGTGGCTGCCCTTTTTCCCGCCCGGCTAGCAGTGAGATGCAGTTGTCTGTTTCAGAGGTGATGTTGCCAGGAGCATTTGCTGTGGCATTTCACAAGGTGGTCAAAGACTTCAAGTGTTCTTCGTGAATGGCTTAGCAAACATCTTACAACAAACTTACTTCCACTTTGCAGCAAATGATCGCCAGCTGTTACCAAGTAGGCCAAGGGACCGAGTTCGACCCGTTTAGCCACTGTTCAAGTCGCTTGGAACCCAAACATCCAAAACATCCAAAACCAAATTAAAACTTGCGGAGGACGTGGCAAACTATACGAACTTCGGCAGCTCTTTGCTGCCCAAAGTGACAAGACCCCAGACGATCACCTCACCGGAAAACATTGCCCAGGGTGCCACGACGCCGACCATCAGGATGAAGACGTCGCAAAGATCGACGTTGAGGTGATGCTGGAGATGGGGCTTTGCCACCACAAGGCGTGTTGCTGTTCCTGGGTCTGCAGCCAACCACCTCGGTGAAAGGTAATTCCACAAAGAACTACAATCCAGTTGCTGACTTGCCCGTTCCTGAGCTCAAAGCATATGTGAGGGGAGAGCCAACTCCCAAACTACCAACGTTGCCCGGGACCATGCTTCCGAAGCAAATCAAACGGCCGTAGTAGGTCAAGGAAAAGCAACTCTCATATTGCAATCGGGCCGTGCTTGGGCTAAACGTCCCCTTGAAAGAGCTGCAGCAGCCCCAAGAACCTCGCAGCTTGTTCTGGGCCGCGCCAATTGCCTTAGTTCGTGGAAATTACATGAAATTACCCTTTCGCACTCGTTCAATCTGTCTTGCTACGGCTTGGCACTGCTTTTATCCAGGCAAGAGTCGGGAAGAGCAATCAAAGGCATCTCGAACCCATTCTCGCGCTCCTCTTTGGGATCGACAAAACTCAAAACATCTCAAAATCAAACAGATTTAGCCATTTGGCTGTTTGTCGACAAGAGCGCAACTTGAATGACAAAAAAGCGGCACAGCTGGCTTTTGCTAGAGGTGCTATCTCTACAGCTGGTTGCGCCTGTTTGGCCATGTTATATATACCAAGTTTTACAAACCCATGAGTCTAGCTTTGATGTTGACATCTTCTTGCAGCATATTGACGTATGCCACCTGCTTTTGCACATCGATGTAACTCATGCTTTCAAAGTTCTGTTCTGTAAACAAACGCCCCGACCTTGCCTCATCCTCACCATCCTCATCATCATCCCAAGAGGTTTCGTTAAGCACGTCGCCAGCCTGCTGTTCTAGCCAAGAACCCGTTTCACCCTGGACTTTGTCCCGCTTGAGAGGACATAACATCAACATACATAAAAAGCAGGCCAAAATCATACTGATATCCTGATTAATTACCAAAAAATCTGAGTGAAGCAATGTTATTGAGGAGTTAGCCTGTCAATGATGAACATGAAGCTGGCTTTGATCTTGACGTCTTCTTGAAGTTCAAGAAATGTAAATCATCTAGTTACAGAAACTGCATCACATGGAGCGTGTTTAATTTGCTTTCATACTTTCACTGCAGATGCACCACCCTTGCCTCATCCTCGTCCCATTGACTTTCATTGAGGTCGGCTGCCTCCTGTTTCAGCCAGGAACCCCGTTTACTCTGGACAGTGTTCGCGAAGGCAATAGGTGCAAGCCCTCACCAAAATAGATGGAACAGAGCTTGCACAGAATTGGCGGATTCTCCAAGTAATTCATGTCGGACTCATTTTTGCCAGCGGACCGAAAACCGTTTTTGATGGGGTGGGGCGGGGTGGGGTGGGGCAGCAATAACGTCCTTTCACTTACGTCGATGAATGCTACGTTGCCTACGTCTCTAAGAACTTGTAACTATGTGGATGAATGCTATGTTGCCAACGTCTCTAAGAACTTCCAACTATGTGGTTGCATGCGAAAGATGGAGTGAAAAAGATGGCTGCAATTGTCCGATCGAAATAGGCAAGAAATTCACGTTTTACTGTAGGGAAAACACAATTTGCCCAAAAAACACCCAAATTTGGACGTCCAAATTTTGCACTTTTCGAGTGACAACAATTTTTGCCTCCCTGTGGCAAAACACACATTTTTGTGTAAAACTCTATTTTCACGAGCACGGTTTCCGGTCCGGCGGGTCATTTTTGTCATGTGATGTTAATTATCCCCGTTGCTTGTGCCTTTTAGTCTCATGCCTCGATTTTAGCCAGCTAAAACTCGCGAACCTACCCCAAAAACAAGGCTGGATAAAATTTGGGCAGGAGGTCCTGCATAGGCTAAAATTTGGGCTCGAGACCCAAAATTTATACCATCCCATTTGGTTTGTAGAGAGATATCAGGCAGATAAAATCCAAGGGTTTGACGTCTATTCGGCCGAGTCAATTTTTGAAAAATGTGAGGTCTTTGCAGGTTATGATCCTTGGCTGCTGATGTTTTTTTCTGTCAACGGGGCCAGGACAACATATGCACGGAAGAGTGCAGTTCCGGCTCAATCCCAAAACGTGGCTAGCATGAGCCCTGTGGATTTGGAGACCTATCGCGCACAATGCCCTCCAAACAGAACGTCCAAAATCCCTGCTTGAACTGTTTCATGTACCAAAATCCCTCCTGGATAAAATTCCGTGGGACTGAGAGTCAAGAACGTGTAGAACTTTTATGTTTGATAGTAAAGGTATCCGGCGAATAAAATTCCGATACAACCCCAAAATATAAGAAACAGCTACTGGGATAAATATGCGGTGGAAGGTATCCAAGGTACCGGCTGGCTATTTTTTTGGGCTGGACCCTCAGGATTTCAGCCAGGGGTAAGCATCAGGGATGTTAATTTATCAGTCCTTGAAAGGGTCTCCGAGCTGAAGCTGTGCGGTGGCGTTCTGGCTTAGCTGAGCTAGCCGGCCGAACTCGCCTAGCATACCGCCATGGCGAATTTCTTCGTGTTGCTGTCACTGTACTACAGTCAACAAACGAAAATGTTCCAGCCAAAAACGGCTGCGGATCAAAATGATCAAAACTATTGACGACGTGACTACGTTTGACATCACAAGCAAGTATCACTCAGCAAAGCGTTCTGAATGTTCAAGACTGCAAAGTCGTCCCCAAGATCTCTGATCTGTGCTCCATTTATTTTACGTTTCAAAACTCTTTCGGCGGGTTTTGAAGAGTGGATCTGGTTGCCCACCTGCATCTCAGATGGATCGAAGGGATTCCTTGGGGCCCGATGAAACAGGAACACCGAAGCCAATTTGCGAATTTGCGATCCAGGAACCTCCCAAAAATTCCAAAGATCTTCCATCATCTCAAAAAGGATTCCCCCAAGTAGTGGATGTCCCATTACAAAGACAAAAAACATCAGCAAATACAGGCAACCAAAGGCAGATTGAAGATCGTCGAAACTCGTGTGGAGACATTTCCAGCACAGGCTCTTTGCGCGATGTCCTTGAAGAACCCCCAAAACTTAAACACTGCCACCTATCTCAGATTAGCGACAGATATTTCACATGTACCATTTGAAACCAAAGTTGTGTGTTGCATGTTTTTGCTATATCGGTATTATTATTCATATTTCTTACTGTTTATAATTTGGGTCTGAAAATGGGATCAGCAATGGATTTAGGGGTACCCTATGATAAAACAAACCCATATATGATTCGATGCCATCCTGTCCCCACTTGTTCTTTGGACACAGCAACTCTGCAGGAGAGAGGGGTCGCGTCAGCCTCATGCCGTCCAAGATGGCTTTGTGCTAAATAAGGTATACCTTGAAACGCCCACAAAAACCTCATGAGAAATCATGGGAACCCTTCGATTTCCATTTATTCTTTTCCAAGTTGATTTTGACATGTTATGACCAGCTTTGTCAAAATGATGTTGACCATTCTATGACCACTTTATGGTCACCTTGTATACGCTTGTGTCTTGGTGAAGAACTCGAATTTCTTCGAAATCAGTGGCCAATGGTAAATGGCTACAAACGTGCCTGAAATACATCCCCCTGGAAAAATGGAATTTAATGGTGATTCATAGGGATTTAACCAACAAAAGAATGGGAATTTCCATCTAATTTAAGATCGTGATCGACAATGGCCTATGATGTACCTGTTAGACATGATGGTGTTCCATAGCTATGTTATTATGTTAGTTACTAGTTTGGAGGGTAAACGCAATTTCGTAAACCATCCTATTCACCAACGATTTGGGGCATCGATGGCCCCGGTGTGGAACTCAAAATCCATGCTGAGGAAACAACTTTTATCCACATGAGAAAGAACTGAAGAGTGTGGCCCCATGGTAATAGTGTGGTAAACCCAAAATAGACCATCCCCAATTTGACCAGACATGATGGTTTATTTGAACTAAATGTGGTAAACCCAACTAAATGGTGTTAGTTGAAGGGTTTACAACAAATCATCACCCATTTAGTTCGATGATTTTTCCCGCTACGAGTAGAAACCTCCATGGATGACGGGGATGTACCATTGCAGGGTGGATCCCACATTACAACTGGGTCCCCAAACGATGCCACGTCTTTCCTTGCATCCTCATGGTTTCACGGGTCCATGAGCAGTTGGCTCTGAAAATTTGGAGGAACCCTGCAAAGTCCCAGGGTTTCTGGTTGGTTTATCACAATTTTGACGATCAAATTGCCATGTTCATACATCATTTTCAGACAAACCAATCAGAATTAGCTCACGGATTACATATACCAACTCTTTTTAGTTGCATGGTTCCCTCACAGTGACTGGACTTGATGAGTTAAAGGAACTTTCTGCCCACACTGTCCGCGACTCCGACTCCGAAGCTTCTGGCTCAAACTGTTGTGAATTCCAAAAAGTGATTGGGCTGAATTGTAGCTCACCAAGTCTCAGCCATCAAACAATTTGGAATTCACAACAGTTTGTGGGTGTTTGTAGCTCACCAATTTGTTTGGGTGTAGCTCGATCAAATTATTTAACATAGCCATGGAAAATCACCATTTTTAATAGGTAAACCATCTATATATACATGGGCCATCTATACCATGGCTATGTTAGTCATAACCAGAGGGTAGCTCCATCAAACACCATCAAACACCCACATCAACTCTCACAACGCCGCCTTGCCTCCAGTTCCTTCACTTTTTTCCTCAGGGCAGCGACCTAGGGCCAGCAGCACAAACATGTTTGGTGGCTGCCTTGAGGCGAAAACCGACCAACTGACTCCTCGGATGCGCATACCGTAATTGGAAGAGAACCCATAGACCCAAAGATCACAAGAGATATCGGGAATTCCATGGATATCCCATAATCAATAACCGTGGTCATCAACAACCTGTACCAACTGCATGCACTTGAAAGCAGACTTTCCGCGCCTCTCCTTCCAAATGTTGGGACTTGTCGGCAACTGCCTCAAGGACAAACACCAAACCCAGCCGAACCTTACCGACATCCTCCTTTGGATGGGCTCCACCCCCTCCAACCCACTCCGTCAGTTTATTTGAATATGGACAACCACAGAGTAATGCAATGCAAAGGGAAACGTTCTTCAAGCCAGCAATTCCAGCAATGGCACAAGATATGTCAATACCTGCGAAGTGAAAGCTCAAACACTAAGTCAGAAATTCCCGGAGTTTTCTGAGTTCCCTTGACAAAAAAATCAATGATCCTTTTCTGGGCCACAAAAAATACACTTTGCTCAGTGATTTCACTTAAAATACGTCGACTTCCGGTCGTGCTTCGGTCCCAACCTGCAGTTTGTCCAGTTTGTCCTTCAGGCTTGGAGCCTTGCAACAGTAACGTCCCATCTTCGATCTGCCAAGCATTAATGGATTTAGAAACAAAACTGATAGAAACTGATAAAAACTGACAGGAACTGAAGGCTCGGATACCTGGACTTATTCAATATATTTCAATCTTCTGACATGTTGCGCAACACAGCCGTTTGCTGGCCTATATCTCCTACGAATTGTACATGTGCACTCTGAGTCAAGATTGCGAAACACATGAAACAGTGACACAATATCGTCGCATCTTGTGTCACGTTTCCCAAATTATAGAGATTGAAACATCACAAATTCCAAATCATTCTAAATGATTTGCCATTGAAGTGTCATAATGGTCATTATAAGCATAATTGTATATATATCTATATATACAAATATATTATTTTGTATGGCCATAAATATCCAACCCACCTTTAAAACCATTTTCTCATCAAATCATTCCGGAGAAACCTCCCCTGAGTCCACCTCTGTGAGGCCATTGGACACAGCTGAAGCCTGCGCTGTGTTTCACGCGAAACGCGCTTCCCGCTTCGCAGCCAAAACAATATAGGTCATCCAGGACAAGGGACCCCCCTCAAAAAAAATTAAGGCCCCATTTACGATAGGCAAATTATGGCAAATTGATGTGGAATTTGGTTATCTGTTGGATTTGTGGGGGATATGACTGATATAAGATGTAGAATAGGGTTTCCAGAACATGATAAGACAAGATCCATACTTGAGAAGGCCCACCTTGTAAGGATGATGGTCCTACCGACCCTCTTATCATGCGCAAAAAAAATGTTGAAAAGGTCACACCTGTGTCAAAAAAAAAATGTCCATGTTCACACGATGGGTTCGACACCCAAGATTCTAAACCCATCACAAGGCCATTGGTGTATGCCTATTGCAAGCGGATCTCCATTTTGATGATGAAACATACTAAATCCGCATTTTGATGTTTTAGTGCTGGCTGAAGTGATCAACACCAGGCTAAATCCAAGTTACAACCCCAATTTGGCGGTTTAAACATATGAAAATGATCAAACAAAATCGTTCTTTTGCTGTTTTTTTTGCAGGGAGGGGGCCTGCAGTTGTGAGTTACCCCATCTAAATAATTCCTATGAATCCAATCACTAAAATAACAAAGATCCCACAAAAACCGTAAGAAACAAATCGTCAATCAATTATATGTCAATCTTTCCCAACTGCCGGGCGAAGTTCTCTGGATTTTAACCATACATCCCGGGACCTGCCCGCCCACACACACTGGTGATACACCCGCAGGCACACGCGCATGAACACACACGCACACGCACGCACGCCCACACACGGGCACTCCTCACCAGCATGAGACAAAGTTTTGAGACAAAGTGCGGTCTTTTCGCTTAGCGCCTTGGTTTGCATTGCCCATGACGAGACGAAGAATGCAAACAACTTTGTTGGGAGGTGCTCACCGCATTTCCTGTATGTGATAAATATATCTTTCCCACAAACAAACGCACCCTCATAGCTACAAGCATCGCCAATTTTTCCAGTGGCATTCAGCCCAACAGGATGCTAAGCCAACTTGGTGGCTACAAAGCAATCTTGTTAAGCCTCACGCCCCCCGAGCAGGCCCGGGAGCTGCACGCTGCACGCGTGCGCTCCACGCGCCAAGCACGTAATGATTCTTCGTACAGGGCTGCTGGAATGGTCACCCATTCTTTGTCGGTGCCCTCACCTATTGTGAGGAGCACGTCTAGTCCAACCTGTACTCCTGCGGTGGGTACCTACAAATCTCGGCGTGGACGCCCATGGCGATAGCAGAACGACCCCATCTCCAAGGGGGCCAGGGACGGGCCGGTAGTAGACTCAGCAACGACCAGACGCAGACCAAAAGAAGCTACAACCAGCTAAAGCCAGCGCACAGCCAAAGCCAAACAGCCGAACCCAACGACCCAAAGCCCTTCTTTTCGAATTTGCTGATGCCTGAACCATCCGCCCTTTTTCTTTTCATCTGGACACAGAGGTAATTGTGTGTTTCCTTGGCCCTCAATCTGGTTTCTTCCTGTGTCTGGTCTTTTTATCCAAGGAAATCCCTCCCAAGGGAAGCTTCGCACCACTGTGCACCACAGTGCAGGCATGGCCCCCGTCAACCGTGCAAGATTTGCCCCAGGTTTCTCCCATTGACGCAATGGCGAATAGAATGTCAGTACATATGTCAGAGAGAATGCCAGATAAAATACCAAGAAAAACGTAAG